GGTAGCTAATGAGGAGTCAGATTGGAAATACCTTGGGATTATCCATTTCTGCTCTTACTTGATGGTGTTTTCGGCGAGGCAGAGAGTCAGGTATCTGCAGCTGTATGTTTTTGAGTACCCATGAACAACTTGGTAACCTCAGATGTTAAAACCTATTTTTTTCTAAAGAAAAGAATGTTAACTGGGCCTTGAAGTTTGTCTCCTGTCATTTAGGAAAGGCCAGAGTATCAGATGGTGCATTTAATAAGCATATGAGGCTTTGTTTTTGGTGTTGGTATGGGAGGATGCAACTCTAGCTTAAATCCCTCTTTTTGGGTTTGATCTCACACGTTATTTGAGTTAGCAAGGGTAGAAGGTTGTGTTCAGGAGTAACCTCCAGTAAATACATCAAAGAATGTGGTTAATGGTTTTCTAGAGCTGCATATTTGAAAAGTTATCAAATGTCTAGGAGAGCACACCTTCCTTTATTGAACACGAGCCTGTGCTCTGGCAGGAGGGCTGGTAGGCATCTCCCTTTGATTTCTGCAAAGTAACCTAATTTTGGGGGCAGAGGGGGAAAAACCCTCCTAGCATAAGGGATTTGCGGGAAGCCCAAGTCTCCTTCCTTCAAACATTCAGTCATGGTTACTCACTGAACTTGAAATAAAAAATAGCTAGTGGTTTTCTTGTTATTCCTTTCCCCTGTATCGGCAGAGCTTGGAGCTGCTGTTATTTAGTCTATTTAGAGAGTCTTTGCTGGCAATGATGGGAAGGATAATTCCTTATACGTGTCCGACGCATTACAGTTATTCCAACAAAGCTCTTTAGACAACAGCTTGGGCTGACTTGGACCTCTCTCTGCTTTGCAATGTGCTGGAGAACTGAATTTGCTTGGGAATGTGCTTAGACCCCATGTGAAACCATGAGCCGTAGGAGCTGACCTCCGTTGGGGCATCCCTTCTGGGGTGTAGAGGGGAGCATCTATCTCCAACTCGCCAGTGACATTGCAAAATCGTCAGCTGGATTGGTGGGGTTCTTATGTAGGGTGAGAGCGCGTAGGAGTATCAGATCTAAGTGGCAGGTTTGTGTCTTTGTGTCTAATTGCTTTCTGAGAGGTATTTTATTGATCCTTTTATGCATTGCTATTTTTCCCAGGGCTAAAGGGTAGGAAGGATTGCTACGATGGGGCTGGAGTTCAGTTTCCATTATGTCCTCATCTACAAAGGCAGCTTAAATGTCAAAGAACAGTGTCTTCTTCGTGCTGTTTGTTTGGGTCCTTTTTAGTATCTAGACATAATAGCACTAAAAATAGTTTGTTGAGATTCTTTACTAATCTTTGGAGAGGGTATGTTGAAGGGGGGTGTAAGTGAGGCTTAGTTTTTGGTTATATAAATAAGTTTGTTTGGGAAATGAAAGCTAGGAGAGCCTCTTAAGATTAATAACTGTTTTTTGTATGGTGTGACCTGCCCAGCTACTGGGTACGTGCAGCACGATGTCCTCGAATGCCAAGTCTAATTGCCTCTCCTGTGAGCTCGTGCCTTTGGGTGGTTGTAGTGCTTCTGGCGCTTGCTCTGTAAGTCAGATCCTAATTTTATCTTGTTACCCACACAGCTCGGTGACAATGTGACATAGCAGTGGAAAGGGAATGACATCAGTGGACAAACAGATCTGTCGAAAGCTGCGGCAGGGATTTTTTTGCTTTTATCGAGAATAAGCCATGTCAAGGTGTTTCTGCTTCTGGAGCTTGTAAATTCGTGCAGTGTGATCTCCGTCACAAACTGCTAGCTGCGTGAGGCTGCTAATGTCCTGTGTTGTTTTTGCGGGGTGATTAAGGGCTCCCCATTTGAATTGGGAATGCTCTCCCTCTTCAAACACCTTCATACCTACAATTCCAACCATAGTAGTCTTAAACACCACGAGCTTGCAGTGCTGTGGCTTTTGCTGAGAAAAGATGGGGTCAGTCCCTGCGTTGAAAGAAAACACAACAGCTTCTAACACATCAAGAGGTGTGTGTGAGGTGAGGAGCTGCTTTTTTATGCTAGCCATCCACTTTGAACACAGAGGAAGACTTTCTACCCAGGAGTTCAGTGGATATCTGGAGGCAGCTGGAATCCTGTCAGCAGTGCTGGGAATTAGGAGGATCACGTAAGAATAACAGTTGTTTGGATGGGACGAGAGTGATACGTGTATATTTGGTGGGAACGATTGTTTTACATTATTCTGCCAGGATTTCTACGTGTGGAGGAAGCTTCTTGTTTTGGAGAGTACATAGTGCTCCTAACAGCTGCTGATATTATAACTTAAAGGACATTTTAGCTGCCTGTTACTTTGCTTGCTCCTTGGTGAGGAACAACCCAGGTGCAGAGCAACTGTTGAGCCTGCATATGGTGTCTTATGAACCAGGACCACGCACGTTCCCGTAGTGATTATTGGCAATTGGGAGGGATAAGAGGCAAAAATACCAAGTATTTTGCAAGAAGTGGTCTTCACAGGAGTAGGAAGGAGTGAAACTGAGACTAAAGGGCTCGTTTGGGGAGGGTTATCATGATGGCAGGTTTTTGAAGGATCCCTTGGAATACGTGTTGAGCAAATTTAAACCACTGTAGTGTGTTTTTTGTGTTTTGTTGGTTTTGTTTGTTTGTTTGTTTTCTTCTCTGGGAGGGGAAGTTGCAGGGTCTGGTGTCAGAGGATGCAGTCAGAGGAAGTCTGGCACATGTGAGGGTATGAAGAGCTGTCTGGCCGTGCTCGGAGTCAGTGTGACGGCCACATTAATAAGAGTGTTTTTCAGATGCTGAGGTTGAGCTGACGCTTTGCAATTACATGATCTCATAGTCCGACGTATGGACCGCAACTTTAGCCCCAGGACTGACCTACACAGCCACCAGGAATGTAGCAACGTGGCTTTTGTCAAAGCCATCTCTCCTCTGCCAGGAAGGAGAGAGGGGAGAGCAGAACGGAGCCTTCCTCGTGGCTACCGTAGTGTCCCACGGTCCTCGCTGTGGGCAGTCGTGCTTGCCTGCCCTAGTTGAGCGGTTCAGCGCTGCGGTTCTGACTCACAGCTGGCTTCGTAGCCCTGCGCGGCGCCCAGCACTACGCGAAATGAGTTGAGATGCTCTTGAGCGTGCCTTCCCCCCGCCTCTGCCCCGTCTTCCTGTCGTCCCTCTCCCCCCACGTGCTGAAGTATTTAATAAGGGCTATTTAAGGAAACTTCCTTCCAGTCCAGTGCTTACAGGAGGCCCTGGGGAGGCGCGATGAACGATTTGAATTTGAAAAAGTGTTTTAAGGACTCTTCTATAGCAGGATATAACCTCTTCTGGCGTGATGCGGGCAGATGAACTAACCCCTTCCCCTTAATTTGACTTTCATTGTTTGCCGCCAGCCGCTCCACAACATGTTCCTTGCCGGGACATCCGTTTTCCTGCTGCCTGTTCCCAGCTGGCCATTCCTCTGGCTTTGCAGACAGGAGGCAGCTGATGAACGTTTTTCTCCATCCTCCTGTGCAGCGTTGGGATGGGATTTTCCTCCCAGTCCTCTTGAAGAGGAAGGAAACTGCAGGTGTGTTTGCCCTTGACGGGAGGCTCTAGCTGTGATCTGGCCTTCAGCTCCACGCTACGTGAAGCCCCTGCCTGGTTTTATTCTTACAGATCACCCATTGCCTCCCAGTACAGAGTTTGGTAGGAAACTCAACCTCCCACCTACCTCTTGTCTTCCCAAAATGGTTTATAACTATTCCCTTCTAGATAGAGGCTACAGTGAGCTGTTGGCCTGTGTAGCTGCATGACCAAAAGCAAACACTGAGGTTTGGCATCTTGTAGAGACTTGCGTTCATTCCCTGCTTACTGGGGCATCAGGGAATTGCTGTGCAAACCAGTTTCTTTACCGGGTTGTCTCTGCTGTGGTTTTTGACAGCAGGGTAGGCTCTGCTGTCAGTGAGCTTTCAGTGTAGTTAAGCAAACCAGCCTGAAAAGTAGAGCAGCTGCATCCTGCCAGAAGCTTGGAATTTCCTTCAGTATTGCCAGTTATTGGCTGGCGAAACTAGGACACTCAGGTAGTTTTGTTTTGGTTTTTGTTTTAGTTTTTTTTTCTCTTCATTGATGAGGAAATAAAACACATTGCTGTTTCAGAGGCTCTTTTTATAGCATTGGCAGTCGTGAGAATCTAAAGATATCAGTGAGGTTGGGGAACGTTACCTAAAGAGACTGGGGCCAAAAGCTGGCTTTATTTTTCTGTTTAGCAAGGTTTCTCTGCATAATTGCTCTGATTGCAAAACATAAACACCTTTGCTAAGGTAGATGCAAGCCTTGGACAGAAGTTGACATGCTTGAAGGCACGCTCTGTTGGCATTCAGGGGTGATTAATACATCTTTCCGCCGATTGATGACTCGGCAGCTATGTTGCAAAGGGAAGGAGAAGCGCAGTGAGGCTCGGCTCTGCTCCGACGAGTCCTTGGGTGCATGTCGGGCAGGGCAGGGACTTTTTTGTGAAGGAGGGTTATTGCAGCAAGCAGCAGGAATGCAGACCTGCTGGCTAGTCCTCCGAATGGCTGCAGGCTCTGGGGCTGAGCTGCCCCACTGAAATCAAGCGTGTAGGCTGATGCGGATCGCCCCAGCCGGCTGCTGGTGCTGCCTCTCTGGCCGAGAGGTTTGGCGTTGGTTCCTGCTCGGATCTGGGAATACCTTGCTGCATATTCCTGTGGCTCTTTACCCTTAATAGAGCTTTCTTGCCAGATGAAGTCCTTAAAATGAAAGATGAGTGCCTCGCAGCTGCCCTCTCACCGCGATACGCAAATTCCACAGCCTGCTGTAGGTGTATTAATGGCTACGGTAGAATATATGTGGTGGCTTTGCTTTTCTCTGCCTCTTGATTTGCAAGTCATCATCAGAGGGAGACGCACGCTCTCTCTGCCCCCTTTATAGTATGGCTGTGTGGAAGAGTGAAATTAAACGTGTGCGCCGACAGGCTCAAACTCCAATCTCTAGGACAAGTCTTCGGGTTTTTATTTTCATCTCCTTCCCTTCTAGGAAATAGACAGACGGTTGGAAAAGAAGCTGAAGATCACGCAGAAGGAAAGGTAACGATGCTGCGTGTTTCGGTAAAAAAAGCCTTAATTTCTCAAGGTGCCATTGGACATCAGAAGGCCTGGGGAGTGGGAACAGTGGGGAGACAGCTTCCAACAGAGCAGAGCACGCTGGGTTTGCGTTCAGAAATAGGGGATCTTTGTAATCGTGCCACTAGATGGCACTTTCGATCCATGGTAGGGTAGCGGACAGCTTCTTGAGAGTGATTTTATTTCAGAGCCGGGTCTTCCAGACTGGATGTAGCTACAGCTATGGGGAAGCCATTTAAGAAAAAGACACTCAAAGGAAGAAATGGGTGAGTCAGGTAATCCCAACTCATGGCCCTAAATCGGCTTGCTGTGTCTTGTGTCAGTAGGACTTTCTTTTCTTGCTTACTTTGGGTTGGGGAGGGGGTGTGTGATATTCTCTTCTAGCAGAAATATTTCTCATCGCTTCTGACAAGTCTTTTGTTGTTGTTTTTTTCCCCCTTTGATTCTTAGTGGGCCACCTAGTCACGTTATTACTTCTCTGGGACTTTTGCACAGAGAAGGTACCATAAAAAGAATTCAAATGGGGCCAAGGCTGGCTGTGAGGAGTGAAATGGCAGAGGTGGAGTGGAAGGCTGGGTATCTTGGTGAGAGAGAAGCTCTAAGGTCCGTGCAGGGAATAGAATCAAGGTGCTTATTACCAGTATCCTCGAATACAAGCACTAAAACTTTTGCCCGGTGTCTTCCCTTGAGTTGAGTTTAAGACATGTGGAACACAGCAGGGACTGGTTTTCTGTCCCTTACTGAGCTAACCTCCTGCAAACCTGCCTGCCATTCTAGTTTAGGGTTACAAATATAACGAGGTCTTTAATTATTACAGGCTGCCTCTTAATCATGGGAATGACATCTGACTGGGAGGAATTCACATGCAGAGTGAAAAACATGCTCGCCGTAGAAAACAAGTGCCAACCAAATGTATGTTTGTTTGTTTGTTTTTCTTTTAAACAGTAGAAAGTCAAAATCTCCTCCTAAAGTGCCGATCGTGATTCAGGACGACAGCCTTCCTGCAGGTCCTCCCCCACAGATCCGCATCTTGAAGAGGCCGACGACGAACGGTGTGCTTAGCAATCCCAACTCGGCCAGCAGACCGGCCTTCCCCGTGAAATCCTTGGCACAGAGGGAGGCGGAATACGCGGAAGCCAGGAAACGAATATTGGGCAGTGCGAGCCCTGAAGAGGAGCAAGAGAAACCTGTTCTAGATAGGTGAGGATCCCGTTCTAGATAGGGGGTGTGTGTGTGTAATGTGTTCTAGATAGCTGGGGAACATAATTTAGATGGGCGAGGAAACACATTCTAGAGGAATCCATTCTAGATAGATACAGAACCCTGTTTTAGATGGGGGAGAGCAGCCCTTCGTGCCACAGCAGCTTCACTTGCTCTCTTTGCTCCCATATACTTGAGGTTTACGATGCCCTGCTTGCTAACAAAGCAATCCTTTGTCCTTGTCAGCTTCACTTTACTCTTCAAGGAGCTTGTCCCTCTCCTGATACGAAGGTGTTTGCAAAGGGAAGCTCAAGTGCCTGATAAGGCCATGAGGGTTATCTTAGACCCGTGGAAGAGGAATGTGGACAACCAGAGTTATCCTGGCGGGGCATACCTTTGTCTTTTCTGAGGTTTTTGACTTAAGGGAGCGGCTCTGTGCAGGCAAGGAGCATCCAGCATAAGCACTCTTAAACGAATGCAGGTTATTTGGAGGCTCAGTGCTTGCCATGTGTATTTGCAGCGTGGCTCTCGGTTACTCTGTGGAAAGAAATGAAGTACTAGTTTGATTGTGGGTGATGTTCCCTGTCCCAGGGAGCAACGCGTGCCGGTTGTCCCACGGCGGTGACCTCCCACCGAGGCGAGTGCCCGGGAGTGTTAGCTGAAGGCGCACAGTGTTACGCAGCTGCGTTGCCTCCACCTCTGATCTCCTTTCTCCTTGCAGGCCGCCAAGGATCTCGCAGCCAGAAGACACCAGACAGCCCAATAATGTGATTAGGCAGCCCCTGGGTCCCGATGGCTCACAAGGCTTCAAACAGCGCAGATAAATGCGGGCGAGAGATGCTGCTGCGGAAGGCAGGGTCCGCCGCCACGGGTCGCACTGCCGTGACGGACAAACGGACTTGAGCAAAGGGAACTACCTGGTTTATTTGCACTGTGATCCCCTTTGCTCTGCCCACTGTGACCTTCAACCCCACGCACTGTGACCTCCCCTCTCCACCCACTGTGACCGGCAAACTGAGAAGGGCTGTCCCCAAGTCGCTGTCAAAGGAAAGGGGACAACGAGGTGGGGAGGGGTATAAAGGACTCGGACGGGTGCAGGGAGTCGTGTGTGTGCCACTTGGGTTGAAGCTAGCGCCAGCAATAACGTTTGTTGTACTCATAACCTGGCATTTAAGGAAAAAAAAAAAAAATGGGAAGCCTCCCCAGACACGCATGTTGTCCTCATCACTTTAAGAGCAAGTTCTGTTTCAAAGGATCTCTTATTTTATTTTTTCTTGTTTGTTTTCTGTATATCAGATCAATGGAGTGCATGGGAAGGGGTTTAACTGTTTGTTTTAATTGAGAGAGGTAGTTATGTGTTTGAAAAGGAGTTTCAATGAATTTCTGCAACTTTCAATGGCTCGGGTTTGGCAAACTCTTGCTTCTCGTTCTCTATTTCTATCGCTGCCAAGCACGTGGAAGCGGACTCCCGGATACCTGGCCTTTCCGATTGCCTTGGGAGCTGGTGGAGTCTGACGACCTAGTTTACGTTTTGCACCTGTTAAAGCTTGGCTACTGTTTTCTCCTGGCTTTGAGGAAAAGCTTAAAATACATCTTTTTTTTTGTTTTTTTGTTTTTTTGTTTTTTTTTTTTTATTTGGGGAGAAGGGAATGCAGACCGATCCCGTGAAAATGCTTGCTGCCCGGCTGCTGTTTGAGGCAGAGAGTGCCAGGCGGCGAAGAATTAGGGCTCTGTTGCAAGGAGGAGAATAGCCAGCGCCGCTCCGGTCCGTGAAATAAATCGGTGGCGAGGAGCCCCGCCCCGTATGGCCTGCGCTCGGCGAGCGGCTGGCGTAAACACGGGGAGCGTGGGACGTCCCGAGGGTCCGAACCCGAGCGGCTTAACGGCAGAGCAGAGGCTCCGATCGATCTCTCGGTCACGGTACGAGCTGCGTTTGCCTCTGGAAATCAGAGACAGCGGGAGCGAAAACGGCGTTGGATGGAGTCTGGATGATTTCCCCAGTCTTCCTGGCGGCAGCTCCCCACGAGGCTTCAGGGAAGGGATTTTCCTCCTCTGGCTCCCGGGAAGAGGAGAGGGAGAGGCTGGTGGTCCGCAAGAATGCGGATGTTTCCCCTCCGGACGAAGCTGACCTACCTTAATGTCACTTAGATGAACACTAAACGCTCTTCTTGGAGGGGACGGTACCTAGAAAACCGTTTCTGGTTCTCGGCGGATTGCTCTGTACGGGTGCAGCCTCCCCGCCGCTTCGTGCTCAGTAGGTTCAGTGGTAAACGAGCAAATCTTGACGTCTCCCATGCGAAGGGAAGCGACCGTACGAAAAGACGTGTATGGAAATACAGCTTAAAAAAAAAAAAAAAAAGTAAAATAAACCTACCTGTGTTTAAAAAGAATCTGCTAGAGCATTAATTAGCTGATTCGAGCTGATTAAAGCACTGAGGATGGTGGTGGTGAGGTGGCGGACATCGGCCCCAGGGCTTCCCCAACTACTGGCGCTTTTTTTGGGGGGTGTCTCATATTTATCATCCCCCCGAGCTGGTGGTCAGGGTGAGTCCCCAGGGGAGAACGGGAGGGGAGAAGGACGTCAGCAATAACCGTAGTCACCGCGCCTTTCCTTAATTATTACTAAAAATAGCTTTTAATGGCCAAAAAACCCCCCAAATCCGCCCGGTTCCTGGTGTAGCTGACTAGTGTTAAAATGGCCACCTCCTCCACCACCAAAATCTCCGGCTCTGGCACCAAAATCTCCAGCACCGAAATCTCCCGGCTCCTCTGTCCCGGTGACCAGGATACGTCCCGCCCGCGGGCAGGGCTCGGTGGCGTTCCTGCGGGAAGCCCCTTCGTCCCGGGAAGGTGGAGGTTAAACATGATACCGCGTGTTTTCACCCCAAAATGTGTGCCGAAGAGAAAACCATTTTATAAATTGTATTTTAAATAAATGTCTTTAAACTTTCAATGACTTATTTTTTTTTTTCTCCTTTATCCCCCATCTCTCACAGGGGCTGCTGCAAGAGGGATGTTTCGGTGGCAGCTTAAGCAAGAGTAGATGCTTAAAAATGCATCAGGAAGGTAAAATTGGGGAGCACTAGGCTGTAATTGTGCCAGCATTAACCTAAAAAAGGGAAATTTTGCCCTGTTTTTAGGCTTGCTGGGGAGACGTGGTCTGAGAAATGGGGGAAGTTGCAGTGCTCAGAGGGAAGGTGTGGTTTCCAAACCTGGGTGTGAGCTGGGACTGTGCTGCCTCTTTCCATGGAGGAGAAAATAAGTAGTTTATTTTGTTTTATTTGTAGTATTTTGCCACATGCTGGCCTCCCTGCTCGGGTGTTGTGCTCGATAACCATCAGAGAAGGTGGGCAGAGGCTGTCGGGGTGCCTCTGGCTGAGGTGAGGAGAGCTCAGGGTGTGCTGGCAGCTCCCGCAAGCACTGACTCCCTTCTAATTACTTTTTTTTTTTTAATTATTATTAATGTGAAATTGGGGGGAAAAAAAAGGACTTTTGATGAGCTGGAGTTGCTCAGTGCGCTGTGCAGCCGCTCCCCACGACCACATACTGGTTCCCAGTTCCCTTTCGCAACCCCCCTGCAGTGGAGCCTCCCGTCCGCCAGGCGGCGCCGCGGCGGCGGGTGCGGCAGCGCCTCTCCTTCCTCCCCTCCTCCGTCCCGCCGCGGGCAAGGGGGCGGTACCATGGAGGCGGGCCGGACCATCGAGGCGGGGGCCAGAGCGGCGGCGGGCGGAGTTCCGCCGCAATGGCGGCCATGGCAGCGGAGGAGGAGGAGTACGAGGCGGTGCTGTGCGTGAAGCCGGCGGTACACGTCTACCGGGTGCCGCCGCGGGCCTCCAACCGCGGCTACAGGTGGGGCATGCCCCTCTCCCGTGGGCCCTGTGTCGCTGTGGGGTGCTTCTGTCCCCCCCGTGGGTTACGGGGCGCCTGTCCCCTCCTTCCCTAGAGGTTCTCAGTTCCCTCCTGTCGTGGGGGTGCGGGGGGTCTCCTCCCCAGAAGTCGTACGGGACCTGCCCCTCGTGAGGTGTCCGCCCCCCGTCGCACCCACCGGGGGGGATCCCTATCCCTCCGTGTGTTTTGGGGCTCCTCTCCCCTCAGTCCTCGCCCTGGATTATCATTAAACGCCAGGGCTGGCCTAGCAGAGCCAGGCTGTAGCTAACGCAGCTCAGCGCCTCCGAGAAATTGTTTTTGAGCCAGAGATCCTGTGGAAAGGGAAGTGAAACCTCTTGTGCAATTTTTGCCTGGTTCCCCCTGGGACCTGATGCCTGGTTTCACAGGGGGCCAGCTGGTTTGGGGTGCAAAGAGACTTGTTGTTACCAATCCACCTCCTCAGCGAGCGCAGGTGCAAGCGGGTTCTCACACTGCGTTAATACTGTTAATGAGGAGAGTCAGGCAGACGAGCTCCATGCTGCGTTGTGGCAGTGTTAAAATCGGTCGGTGCTGTCGTCTGGGATGTGAGAGGCGGCTCGGATATCCGTCACTGTTTCCTCTTTCTCCAGAGCTGCAGAGTGGCAGCTGGACCAGCCGGCGTGGAGCGGCAGGCTGCGGATCACGGCCAAGGGCAAGATCGCTTTCATCAAGCTGGAGGACAAGACCTCGGGTAGGGAGGGGGGAAGGCAACAGCTCCACACCTCTTTGGAGGGGAGGAAGACGGTGCAGAGGTGCTACGCCCTGGTGTTAACCCGCTCTCATTTCTCTTTTTCAGGAGAGCTTTTTGCCCAGGCGCCAGTGGAGCAGTTCCCTGGCATTGCTGTGGAGAGCGTGACGGACTCCAGCAGATATTTTGTCATCCGGATTGAAGACGGGAACGGTACGTCGCGATACACGGGGGACGGGTTGGGGAAATCGCCTCAGAACAGTCTTCAGTACCTTGGCCGTTCTTATTTGTGGAGGATTTGTGCTCTCAAGGGCTAAATACTCCCTGTGTACAGTAGCAAAGGGATGAATTCTCTCGCTCCCACACACCAGCTGCGCTCTGTCCTTCACCAGGAATAAAAACAGTTTAATCTCGCTGCTCGCCATTAGCGTGAGGACGCCTCTCCGTGCAGGGCTGTTGCCACGACGCCAACCTCTGCTTTGACGTGCTTACATTAATTCAAAAGCTGGTTTTACTTAAGCCTGTATATGCAACCCCCCCAGCTAAAGATATCTCCATATCTCGGTCTCTGGAGTTCCAGCTCCAGCTGGAGGAGGTGGCTGACACGAGGGTGTGTGGGATGGGGTATCCCCTCCCTCATCCTCCGCTGCTTTGCGATTCCAGCCCTTGTACTTCTGCCTTCCCCAGGCCGCCGTGCTTTCATCGGAGTCGGCTTTGTCGACCGAGGGGATGCCTTTGATTTCAACGTGGCTCTCCAAGACCATTTTAAGTGAGTTCATGCCTCGCCCCGTGTCCTCTCGGCTCTGCTTTTTTTTGTGGATGTCCGCCAGAAACGGTGGGGGAGAGGAAGCTGTGAGCGTGGTGCAAAGCGGTGGAAGCGCCTGTTTCTCTGCGCAGCCTTTGTGCAGGCAGCTCTCCCTCTCCCAAGTATTTCCCGATCTGTATTAGGAAGGTCCCAGATTGGGCTTCCCAGTCCAAAACTGGGAAAATTCCCTAATTCCTTTCCTCCTCTTCACATGCCACCAGTAAGGGGCTGCTCCTGAGGGACTGGGATGCTGCTCCCGCTGCTGGCAGATTAGTGGGGGCTTTGGATGGGATGTGCTGCTGGCTGGAGGGTCTGTGCGGCTCGAGCACTGGTGGGAATCCTTCCCCCGGCGCTGCCCGCAGCGCGTCGCTTCAGCAGGCAAGGTCTCAGATCACATCCAGCGCCTTTAAAGAGCCGCTGCCAAGCAGCGGGGGACGATCTTGAGCAGGATTTGTCTGGGAGAGCTTCAGGCTGGTTGTTCGTGTCTCCTTTTCTGCTTGTTTTCATTCCTGCAGGTGGGTGAGGCAGCAGAGCGAGCTGGCCAAACAGGCCGAGAACCCTGATCAGGGACCCAAACTGGATCTGGGCTTCAAGGAGGGGCAAACCATCAAACTGAACATTGCGGTGAGGGGCTTGTCGGGCTAAATCCGCTCCTGACCTTTCCCTTGGGGTGGCACAACAGGGAGCAGCAGCTTCTTCTCCAAATCCCTGTGCAGGAGGAAGCCCTGAGCAGAGGCTTTGTGATAACGCTGCATGCAGTGAGTTACAGAGGGGTCGTGTTACAGTTCCTGGTTACAGAAGTGGGTCTGTGGGTTCATGGGGGGGATTTGCAGGTAAAAATCATCCTCGGTTTGACCCTTTTTGCTGTGGGATGTCGCTGTGCAGCCGTTTGGTTTTTTTTTTTCCCTCAGAATAAAGCAATTTGGCTTCCTGCGAGCCGCAGCTGGGAGGAATCGCGCTCTGGATTTAAATGTGGCATCACCCAAGTTTCCCTCCCTTCTTTCAGAATATGAAGAAAAAGGAAGGAGCAGCGGGGAATGCCAGACCACGTCCCGCGGGTCCTGGGGGCCTGAGCTTGCTCCCACCACCTCCCGGAGGAAAATCTGCTCCGGTTTGTCCTTCGGGAGAGCGGCCGTCTTCACTCTCTGTGCCTGCCCAGCTCCCAGGCACCCCCATCACAGGTCCGTGGTCACGCAGCGACGACTGTAAAGCTGTTTAGAGTTTCTTTTATCCATTAAAGTTGGGAAAACAGCAGGGGGAATGGGGGAATAAGAGAAGGAAATAACTCCTGGGTGTTTTTTTTCTTTCTGACTCCCCTGGCTGCTGACAGACTCCCTCTTGTCCTGGCCGCAGCCCGCTGCTGCTCCCTCCGCCGCCGCCGCCGATGTCTGGGGAGACTTTGCCAAAGCTTCGGGGTGAGGCCGCGCGGGGTTTGTCTGCGAGTGCTGCAAATCCTACTTGTTTTGCTGAAAACCCCCCCGTTGGGGATTTAAAAGGGGCTCTGTGTTGCAAACACCTCGAGTTCAGCGCAGGTCTGTGGGCACTGCCCTCCTCTCCCTCCCAGCACCATGCCCCGTCTTCCCCTGGCGCTCTATGCGGCAGGGAGAATTTTGGGGTGACCTTGGAGGACCCACTTCTGGCTGCCCAGCTCCCTCCCTGTGTGCCACAGTCCCTTTTAATGCCTAAAGCCGTTTTTCCCCCTCTTTTTCTCTCTTTCCAGGTCGGCTTCTAACCAGACTCAGGCAAACACAGGCTGGGTTCAGTTCTGATCCAGGCCCCCCCCATCTGCGGGATCATCATGATTCCTTCAGGACCAAAGCCGGGGCTTCGGGACACCCCACTCCTGCCCTTAAATCCCCGGCCCCGGCATCAAAATACTGAAATAAGCGCTGGAGAGCAAATGAGCACGTGCCTTAAAACACTCCACACCAGCACCCTCCACCTCGGGGGGGGGGGGCTTTTATTTTCTACCTGGATCGCAGTAAACCTCTGAGGCTTTTTTCTGCAAAAAAAAAAAAAAAAAGCTGCCAGCTTTGTCACCTCTCTGTAATAACGAGAGGGCAAGCGAGTGCGCAGAGCAGGACTCCTGCTCGCAGCGCTGCCCCAATTAGGGTAATTTTCGCTAAAGTTTCATGCACTAGAGCCTCCCCAGAGTCTTCTCTGTTTTCTCCTCACATATTTGGGCTGGATAAATCCTTCCCTCGGCGGGGACCATCCTCTTGGAGACATCTCGCCTGCGATACCCAGACAAACGCCCTGCCGAGGCGCCGAGCGTCACCCCGTTTTTTTTTTTTCTGAGCACTTAACTGTGATGCAGGAGTCGGATGCTGCGTTTCGATGCTGAAATTCCTCATTTCTTGATCTGGGAAGTTTGTTTTTTTTTCTTCTCTGTTTTGAAGAGAGATTTTTACTTCTTTCTGCGGACATTTTATTAAACAATATATGCAATGAAGGACAGAATGGAGTCGGTCTCTTTGACAGAGCTGGGGTTGAGCTTCCTTTTTAAACGAATAAATATTTTCTTACCTATTTATATTAAGGCCTTTCGGTGTACAAAGTCCTGCTTACTTTTTTTTCAGTGCCTTGGATTTTTATTATTTCCATTTCCAACTTGACGCCGAGCATTTTGGTTTCAGAGCTCAACTGTGCCTGGCAGCGAGCGCACAATCCCAGGTGAGAGACGTAACACTTCAAATAACAAAATGGTTTTGATGCCAAATACTTTTTTTTTTTTTTTACCCCTCCCGGTGTGCGCTCGGAGGGGCTGTGATGAGCTTTCGTGGTTCCCCCTCCTTGCTGGTGTCGAGGAGACTGTCAGGCAGTGAAGCACAACAGACGCTTGTTGCTTAGCGCTGGTTTTACGGTTGTGAAGCGCTCTGGGAGGGGAAGGTAAGGAAAGAAATGAAGGGAAAAATAAGGTTTCTTACATCCCCAAAGCGAGGGGGGAGCCTGGAGGCAGCTCCCACTGGGTGGAGGGGCCCGTGACACCCTAAATCCTCGATCCCATCTGCTTGCCCTGGCCTCGTCTCCCCCTCACCGTTGATCTGGGGTTCTTGGGGAGGAGAAAGGGCCGTTCCCTTTGCGGGGGGAGACCCCGACCCCCTCTGGAGGGTGGCGCGGGGTCAGATCCGTGATTTATTTTGGGGGCAGCGCAGGGGATTTGGAGCTGAGGTTGGGGATTTACCAACAGCTTTCCCTGCCAGGGTTGGGGAAATAAGCCCTTAATTACTCCAGGGAGTAAAATTTGCTGCCCCAGGGTGGCAGCGGAGGCTCTGGCACAGGGGGGGGGACGCAGCCCCGGGGGGGTTAATGCTGCTTTGCCCCGTAGCAACGCTGGCACGCTCCACCCCAAGGCTTTTCCTGCCAGAGCAAACCTCTGGGCTTTAATGAGCTTAACGAGGGCCAGGGCTTAACGAAAGGGCTGGCTTACTTTCTCCAAGGAGCTCCTTTCCCCGGTGGGACCCAGCAGCATCCTGCCCGGGGGGGCCAGCGCAGCAAAGTAAGCACATTTCCACCCATTTTGGGCACGGGGCAGGGCTGGGCGCTGCTATTTTTGTATCTATTTTCCTGTGTTTTGCTCGTTCTCACCAAGAGCCTCGGTGGTGGTGGTTATTTACAAAGACCCTGCCTGGCCGGGGGGATATTCGGCGATGTTTGTGGTTGGTGGGTGTGAAATGCTGCTGGTCGCGGTCCCGCCGGAGGCGTTGGGACCCCCCGAGGCGGCCAGGAAGAGGAGGGTCCGCGGCCCCGCCGTCACGCAGGGAGGGGAAGGCGAGGATTTCGGGCTAATCCCGAGCACGCATCCGCTTTTCCGCTCGCAGGCGACGAGCCAAAGCGGAGCCCCGAAAATCCCAGGAAAGGGGCTTCGGAGAGAGGAGGCCCGCGGCAAGGGGGGGGTGCGAAGGGCTGGGTGCCCCCCCCTCCCCCGGGGAGCCCACGGCCGAGGCTGTGGTTGAGGTGGGTGTGGGAGTGGGTGACCGTGACCGTGTCCGTTCCACCCCCCCCCCCAGCAGGAACTGGTGGCTGTTCTCGCGGGAGCGGCCACGGAGCCACGGCGTGTTGGGAGGGCGGGGGGGGGGGGGGGGGGAGGAGGGCTTGCAATTGCAAATGGAACTTTTGCAGCGGGTTTTGCAAGTGGAAAAGGCACTTTTGTGATGGCAAATGGCAAATCGGCGGCGGTTCTTGGGGTTGCCTAAATCTGCGCTGGTTTGGGGCTAAAATCTGCAGCGCTCGCGCGATCGCAAACACAAATGTGCAGACGTTTTGCGATCGCAACCATAAATCTGCAGGGAGGTTGGGATTGCAGCAGCAGCTCTGTAGTGGTTTTGCGACAGCAGCTGTGAATCTGCAGCCCCGTTCTGACCGCAGACACAAATTTGCAACAGTTTGGCGATTGCAGCTGCAAATCTGCAGCGGTTTTGCAATCACAAACAGAAATTTGCAGCGGGTTTGCGATCATGACTGCAAATTTGAGGCGGTTTTGAGATTGAATCTGCAGTGGTTGTGTGATTGCAAGCACAGAACTGCAGCGCCTTTCTGTTCATAACTATAAATGTGCAGTGGCTTTGCGATTGCAAACACAAATTTGCAGCAGTTATGCGCTTCCAACTGTAAATCTGTGGCAGTCTTTTGATGACAACCACGCATTTGCAGAGGTTTTGCGATTGCAACTATAAATCTGCAGCGGTTTTGTGATAGCAACTGCAAATCTGCAGCGATTCTGCAGTTGCAGCTATAAATCTGCAGCGGTTTTGTGATAGCAACTGCAAATCTGCAGCGATTCTGCAGTTGCAACTATAAATCTGCAGCGGTTTTGTGATAGCAACTGCAAATCTGCAGCGATTCTGCAGTTGCAACTATAAATCTGCAGCGGTTTTGTGATAGCAACGGCAAATCTGCAGCGATTCTGCAGTTGCATCTATACATTTGCAAGAATCTTGCAAACAATTCTTTAGCACTTTTGCAATTGCAAGGGCAATTCTGCAGCAGTTTTGCAAGCGCAGATCTGCAGCGGTTTCGTGATCACAGCTATGAATTTGCAGTGGCTGTGTGATCGCAGCTGTAAATTTCCAGTGGTCTTGCGACAGCGACTTCAAATCTGCAGGAGTTTTGCTGGTGCGAACTGCAGCGCTCAGCACGGCTGAGTTGCAGGGGCTGCAGCGTTTGCAGCTGGGGGGGAAAAAGTGCTTTTTGTGGGCTTGGCTGAGCGCGTGGGGAAGGCTCAGCCCAGCCCCCTTTCCTGCTGAAGGGAACAAAGCAGCTCTTGCTAGGAAAGGGCATCTTGGCTCCATCCCGGGGCCGGATCCCCATCCTGCTGCGTTCCGGAGCCGCCCTGAGCCCCGTCCCCGTCCCGCAGCGGCCGTCGCGGGGGGCCATGTCCTCGCTGCTGTCCCTCCAGGAGGAGAACCGCATCCTGCAGCAGGAGCTGTCGCGAGTCGAGGACTTGCTGGCTCAGAGCCGGGCCGAGCGCGATGAGTTGGCCATCAAGTACAACGCCATCAGCGAGCGGGTACGTCGCCGACCGGGTTTAACCCAAACCCACCCGTCTGAACCCCAAAATCAAGGCGCTGTAAGCCGTAACCTTTGCATTCCTGGCGCTCCAAGCGGGAGATGCCGCGGTGTCTTGCAATATCCCGGTGAAGGGAATTTTGCTGCGGCACACCCGGCTTGTCCGGACCTGTCCCAGCTTGCCGGGGCTTGTCCTGCAGGATGCACAAAGCATCCCCATCCCTATTTTATTTATCCCGCTGCTTTTTCAGGAAGCAGGACCTCCCCCCATGGGCATCCTTCTTTGCATCTCTTTACTGTGGCAACGAGGGAATTAAAAAGGGCTTTGGGCAGCAGCCAGTTACGTGGCTCCTGGGGAGACCCAAATCAAGGGGCTGCCATGTTTTTGAGGGGGAAACCCCTCTATTTGTGTCTGGTTATTTACCAAAAGAAGCAAATATTGGGAAAATACCCCCAGGGGAATCACCACCACTGCACCTAAGGATCCTCTAGCCATCAGCTAATCCCTTGCAAGCCGGGATGGGGCTTTGCCAAACTCCCAGATTCAAAGTTGGGTTATTTTTAAGAGCACCCCCAGATTTTGCTCTTCACCCCAACCCTGTGCATGCAAAGGGAGATGCAAAATTTTGGGGGGGGGGGGGCTGTCTCAGCTTCGGCCATGTGGGGGTTTGCTGTAGGACCAGCCCAGAGCGATGACTTTGTCCGGGGTGGGGTGTTGTGAGTGAAGTTGGAGGATGCTCAGTGGGTGCTGGGGTTGGGGGGGGGGGGGGGCTTAGCATTCCAGTGGGTGTCGGGGAGGGATGGGGATGTCCCGGGATCTCCCGCCTCCCATCCCAGCTGGAGCAAACCCTGCGGCTGGAGACGGGCGAGCGGGAAGCGGCGGAGAGCCGGAGCTTGGCGCAGCACAACATCGAGCTGCGGCGGCTGCTGGAGGAGGAACAAGCCGCCTACAAGCGCAAGCTGCAGGCGTACCAGGAGGGCCAGCAGCGGCAAGCCCAGCTGGTGCAGAAGCTCCAAGCCAAGGTAAATCCTTCCTGGGGGGGACACAGGGACATTTTGGGGACCCCCCCCGCCCTCGGTGTCACCCACCCCATCATCCCCTCTGCCCAAGGTGTTGCAGTATAAGAAGAAATGCGGCGAAGTGGAGCAGCAGCTGCTGGAGAAGGCGACGGAGCTGGAGCAGGAGAGGCTGACGGTGAGCGCTGGTTTTTGAGGGGGGTTCCCCCCCCCCCCCTCCCCAAATTGGGGTGATGGCAAGCAGAGACGTCCCCGCAGAGCCAGCTGGATGCGAGCAGCTCGCTGCCAGAGGAAGAGAGCACCAATGAGCTGGAGAATGCCCTGATCCGGCTGGAAGAGGAGCAGCAGAGGTGAGTGGGGGTCCCCGGGGAGCTGCGGGGACACCCCCCCCCTCTTCCCGGGGTGATGCTCCAGCGGTGTGTGACCCCCCCCCCCCATCCCAGGAGCAGCAGCCTGGTGCAGGTGAACTCGATGCTGCGGGAGCAGCTGGAACAAGCCAACGTGGCCAACGCGGCGCTGAGCGAGGACATCCGCAAGCTGACGGCCGACTGGGCGCGGGCGCGGGATGAGCTGGAGCAGCGGGAGGCCGAGTGGAGGCGCGAGGAGGAGGTTGGGGGGCATGGGGGCCCCCCCCCCCCCCGAGGATGTGGTGGGGTGTCCGGGGGGGTGCAGGAGAGAGCAGGACGGGGGGGGGGGTTGCAGGGAGAGGGATGCAGGGATGTGGGGGCGGGATGCAGGATCACCAGGCGGGAAGTGGGGTCACGGATGTTGGGATGTTGCGTGGAGAAGAATTTGGGGGCGCAGGGGATGCGGCATGGGGTGGGAAGGTGATGTGGGGGGATGAGTCACGGAAAGGGAGGCGGGACCACCAAGAGGGATGTGGGACATGGGGGGATGTTGAGTGGAGAAGAAGTTGGGGGTGCAGGGGATGCGGCCCGTGATGGGAGGTGGGTGGTGCAGAGAATTGGGGCGGGGGGCTGCTGGCTGCGGAGGCCTGTGGGGGGCAACGGGTGGAGGCGTGAGGGTGTTGCGTGGAAATTTGGGTGCTGAAGGGAGAGAGGGATAGGGGGGTGGGAGGTGGGGGGGGGGGGCTGTGAGGCGGGGAGGGCCCCCCGCACCCGTTGGGCAGCCAGCCGGGACCGACGCGGCTCCGTCCCGCGGGCAGTCCTTCAACACCTACTTCAGCAACGAGCACAGCCGGCTCCTGACCCTCTGGAGACAAGTGGTGGCCTTCAGGCGTCACTTCGGGGAGATAAAAGCCGCCACCGAGAGGTCAGCGGGGTTGGAATGGGGGGGGGGGTGGATCCCTAAGGGATCCTCAGGGCCCGATCCTGCATCTCCCGCCGCAGGGATCTGGCGGAGCTGAGCCACGAAGCGTCGCGGACGGGCAGGGCCGCCCACGCCGCTTGCCTGCACTTGGCTGCCAACCTGCAGCTGGCCGAGGGCCGGGCGGGCGCAGCGCGGGAGGCGCAGGCGCTGCGGCTGCTGCAGCTGCAGGAGCAGCTGGCGGCGCGGGAGCGGGACGCCGACCTGGAGAAAGTCGCCCTCGGGGCCAGGTAGCGTGGGTTTGGGTTGGTTTTTTTGGGGGGGTGTTTGGTTTTGTTTTTTTTTTTTTTTTTATAAAGAAGGGTCGGGGAGGGGGTTGTGACGGGTGTGTCGGTGCAGGCTGGCGGAGCTGGCGGCGGCCCTGGAGCGGCTGCGGGCTGAGGATGGGGAGAAGGAGCAGGCGGTGGAGGCGCTGACCCTGCAGCTGCAGAGCCTGGTGAGCGCCGGGCGCGAGGAGTGTTGGGGTGGGAGGCGGGCTGGGGCACGCTGCACGCCAGCGTGCGATGCGCCTTGCCCGACGCCGCGCCGGCGGGTTTTGCAGGAGGCCGCCCGCGCTCAGGGGCCGGCGGAGGTGGAGGCTCTGCGCTCCGAGGTGGAGCTGCTCCGGCAGACGCTGCAGGACGTCACCCAGGTGCTGGGCATTGCCCGGACATCCCTGCCTCAGTTTCACTTCTTCCCACTTCAGTTTCCCCTCATCCCATCCCAGTTTCCCTCTTCTCTGGCCAGTTTCCCCCCTCCTCGCCCCAGTTTCCCTCTTCCCACCCCAGTTTCCGCCCTCCCTGCCTCAGTTTCCCTTCCTCTCACCCCAGTTTCCTCCCTCCCCGCCCCAGTTTCCCCTCTTCTCACCAGTTTCCCTCTCGCTGCCTCAGTTTCCCTTTTCCCCACCCCAGTTTCTGCCCCCCCTGCCTCAGTTTCCCCTCTTCCCACCTCAGTTTCCCCCTCCCCACCCCAGTTGCCCCCCTTCCTGCCCCGGTTGCCCCCCTTCCCACCCCAGTTGCCCCCCTCCCTGCCCCGGTTGCCCCCCTTCCCACCCCAGTTCCCCCTCTTCTCACCCCAGTTTCCCTCTCCCTGCCCCAGTTCCCCTCTCACTGCCTCAGTTTCCCCTTTTCCCGCCCCAGTTCCCCCCCTCCCTGCCCCACTCTCCCCCTCGGTGACACCGGGGGGGGGTCTCTCCCCCTCCCCTCTCAGGCGGTGCTGGCAGATGACCCCGAGCACCCCCCGCCATCCCCGCTGTGTCCCCCCGCGTCCCCTCGCCGCAGCCTCTCGCCCAGCGCCGCCGCCGCCGCCGTGCACGCTGCCCTGCGCCGCCGCCGCCTCCAGCTGCAGGTGAGCCCTGGGGGGGGGGGGGGGGGGGGCTGCAGGAGGAGGAAGAGGAGGAGGAGGAAGGCTGACCCCCCCCCCCTCTCCCAGGACGCCCGGGGGCAGGCGGAGGCCAGCGAGAGGCGGCTGGGGACGCTGGAGCGGCGGCTGGAGGAGCTGAGCGCCGAGGCCGGGGGGTGCCGGCAGGCGCAGGATGAGGCCCTGCGCGAGGTGACCCGCCTGCGCGCCGAGGCGGAGGCGCTGCGCAGGTACCCGCTGGCTGTCTGTCCGTCCGTCTGTCCTCAGAGCTCCAACCCCCCCCCCCCCCCGCTGTGGCTGTCCCTGTGCTTGTGTCCTGGCGTGTCTTGTCTGTCCCTCTGCGTCCTGATCCGCCCGTCCCCGTGTATCCATCCCCGCACATCCACCCCCCCTACATCCTGGCATGTCTGTCTGTCTGTCCGTCCGGCCATCTTTCCCTGTACATCTGTCTGTCCCTGTGTATCCGCCCCTGTGCTTCTTGGCCTGTCTGTTTGTCTGTCCCTGTGTGTTTCTATATATCCCTCTGTCCCCACCCATCCTCGCCTGTCTGTCAATCCATCCATTCCCCCGGCCTGTCTGTTTGTCCGTTTGTCCCTGCACACCCTTCCCTCTCCATTAATCCATCCCTGGGCATTTCGGCCTGTCCATTAGTCTGTCCATACACGCATCCCTGCACGTTAATCCCTGTGCATCCTGCCTGGCTATCCCTCCCTGCCTCGCCATGCCTGTCCATCTGTCTGTCCCTGTGCATCCCGCCCTGTCCGTCCGTCCTTGTGCATCCCACCCTGTCCATCTGTCCCTGTGCATCCCGCCCTGTCCGTCTGTCCTTGTGCATCCCGCCCTGTCCGTTTGTCCCTGTGCGTCCTTCCCCATCTGTCTGTCTGTACATCTTGCCCTCTCCATCTGTCTGTGCATCCTAATCTGTCCATTGGTCCTTGTGCCTCCTGCCCTGTCTGTCTGTCCATGCATCCTGCCCCGTCCATCTGTCCCTCTGCATCCCACCCTGTCCGTCTGTCCCTGTGCATCCCACCGTGTCTGTCTGTCCCTGTGCATCCTACCCTGTCCATCTGTCCCTGTGCATCCTACCCCGTCCATTTGTCCTTGTGCATCCTGCCCCGTCTGTCCATCCCCGTGCCTCCTGCCCCATCTGTCTGTCCATGCATCTTGCCCTGTCCGTCTGTCCTTGTGCATCCTATCCCGTCCACCTGTCCGTTCATCCTGCCCTGTCCATCTGCCCATCCATCCTCGCACACTTACCTCTGCCGGTCCCTGCGCGTCCCCGGCACATCCCTCCATCCCGGCGCACCCACCCCCGAGCATCACCCTGTCTGTCCGTCCGTCTGTCCCGCAGGGAGCGGCTGCAGGCGGAGGAGGCGCTGGCGGGGGAGCAGCAGCGGGCGGGCGCCCTGCAGCAGGAGCGGGCGCAGCTGCAGCACCGGGGCGAGGGGATGGAGGACGCCCGGGACGAGGCCGCCCGCGCCGCCGAGGCCGCCCGCCAGCAGCTGGAGCGCAGGTGGGGGCGCGGGGGGGACACACACACGGGTGGGTGCTGACACCCCCCCCCTCCCCCGGCCGTGGCGTGTTGCATGGTAGTGGGTGCTGCAGCATCCCCCTCCCCACGTGCGTGCTGCAAAATCACAGTGCGTCTCCTGCAACCTCCCCCCAAGCTCTGGGTGCTGCCACCTTGCCCCGCACCCCCCCTCCCAAATTGGGTGTTGCACCCCTCTGAAACCTGGGGGGCTCCCCTGAAACTCCCTCTCCAAGTACGTCCCCTAACCCCGCCCCCCCCCGATGTGGGTGCTGCCACCTCTCCCCCCACCCCCAAATTGGGTGCTGCAACTTCCCCTCACCAAGTGGGTGCTGCAGAATCTCTGTGGGTGTTGCAGCCCCCTCAGGTGGGTCCCCTGACCCCAGCCAGGTGGGTGCTGCCACCCCCACAGTGGGTGGGCTGCAGAGCTTCAGCGGGCGCTGCCAAACAAACAGTGGGTGCTGCGAGGCCCCCCTTCCCGCCCCGAGTGGGTGCTGCAACCCACCCCACCCTTTCCCCGTGGGCGCCCCGCGGGCAGCCAGCAGCAGGTGGAGGAGCTGGAGGCGCAGCGGGCCGGGGCGCAGCGGGAGCTGCTGGAGGCGCGGGAGGCGCTGAGCCGGGCGCTGCTGGAGGCCGAGGTGGCGCGGGGCGAGCGGGAGGCGCTGGCCGAGGCGCTGGGCAAGGTGGGTGCCCCCACACCCCTCGTGCAGCGGGTGCAACCCCTAAGCCCCACGTGCAGCAGGTTTAACACACACACACACACACCCCAGCCCCACGCATCAGGCCCAACCTCCCCTGTGCAGTCGGTGCAGCACCCATGCAGTGGGTGCAACCCCTAAGCCCCACGTGCAGCAGGTTTAACACACACACCCGCCCCCCCCAGCCCCACGCATCAGGCCCAACCTCCCCTGTGCAGCCCCTAAGCAACAGGGGCTGTCCATGCAACGGGTGCGAGCCCAGGCAGCAGGTGCAACCCCCAAGCAACAGGCACAGCCCGTGCAGTGGGTGCAGCCCCTAAGCAGTGGGTGCAACCCCTAAGCCACGGGTGCAAGCCCGTGCAGTGGGTGCAACCCCTAAGCAGTAGGTGCTGCCTATGCAACGGGTGCAAGCCCATGCAGCAAGTGCAACCCCCAAGCAACAGGCACAGCCCGTGCAGCGGGTGCAGCCCCTAAGCAGTGGGTGCAACCCCTAAGCCACAGGTGCAAGCCCGTGCAGTGGGTGCAACCCCCAAGCAACAGGCACAGCCCATGCAGTGGGTGCAACCCCTAAGCAATAGGTGCAACTCCATGCAGCGGGTGCAGCCCCTAAGCAACAGGTGCTGCCCGTGCAATGGGTGCAACCCCTAAGCAAGGAGTGCAAGCCCATGCGGTGGGTGCAACTCCCAAGCAACAGGAGCAGCCTGTGCGGCGGCTGCAGCCCCTAAGCAACGGGTGCAGGCCCCTGCAGCAAGTGCAACCCCCAAGCAACAGGTGCAGCCCCTAAGCAGTGGGTGCAACCCCTAAGCAATAGGTGCAACCCCTAAGCAATGGGTGCAGGTCCCTGCAGCAAGTGCAACCCCCAAGCAACAGGTGCAGCCCATGCAGCCCCTAAGCAGTGGGTGCCAGCCCATGCAGCGGGCGCAGCCCCCAAGCAGAGGGTGCCAGCCCCAATCCCCGGGGGCGGCAGGCACATCCCCCTTGGCGCTGGGTGCCACCGGGCGCTGCGACGGGGCGCGGGGTCCGTCCGTCTCTGCCGTCAGGCGCAGGGCAGCTGCGGGGAGCTGGCGGCGGCGCAGCGGGCAGCGGCGGCGGAGGAGGCCCGGCTGCGGGACGCCCTGGCCAAGACGAGCGAGCTGGCGGCTGGGCTGGCGAGGGAGAAGACGGAGCTGAGCCGGAGCCTGGCCCGGCTGGAAGAGGAGCGGGAGAGCGGCCGGCTGCGGACGCGGGAGCTGGGGCGGGAGCTGGCGCTGCTGCGGGGGCGGCTGGAACGGGGGCGCCGGGCCGGGGCGGCCGAGCGGCTGGGGCTGGAGCGGGCGCGCAGGGCGGCCGAGGAGGGCTGCCGGGGGCTGCGGGCAGAGCTGCGGGCGCTGCGGGGCCAGCACCTCCGCCTGCGCCAGCACCTGGGCCAGGTGGGCTACTGGGAGGGGCGGGGAGCGTGCCCAGGGGGGCTGGGAAGAGGGACGGGGAGGGTGCGTGGGGTAAGAGAGGGCTGGGGGGGGAGGGTGCGTGGGGCAACTGGGAGTGTGCAGGAGGGGTAACTGGGAGGGGTGGGGAGGGGTGGTGGGGAGTGTGCAAGGGGTAACTGGGAGGGGTGGGGAGGGGTAACTGGGAGGGATAGGGAGGGGTGGGGAGCATGCGTGGGGTAACGGAGGGATGGGGAGCATGCGTGGGGTAACTGGGAGGGTGTGGGAGGGGTAACTGGGAGGGATAGGGAGGGGTGGGGAGCATGTGTGGGGTAACGGAGGGATGGGGAGCATGCGTGGGGTAACTGGGAGGGATGGAGAGGGTGTGGGAGGGGTAACTGGGAGGGATAGGGAGGGGTGGGGAGCATGCGTGGGGTAACTGGGAGGGATGGGGAGCATGCAAGGGGTAACTGGGAGGGTGTGGGAGGGGTAACTGGGAGGGATAGGGAGGGGTGGGGAGCATGCGTGGGGTAACGGAGGGATGGGGAGCATGCGTGGGGTAACTGGGAGGGATGGAGAGGGTGTGGGAGGGGTAACTGGGAGGGATAGGGAGGGGTGGGGAGCATGCGTGGGGTAACTGGGAGGGATGGGGAGCATGCAAGGCGTAACTGGGAGGGGTGGGGATCATGCAAGGGGTAACTGGGAGGGATGGAGAGGGTGTGGGAGGGGTAACTGGGAGGGATAGGGAGGGGTGGGGAACATGCGTGGGGTAACGGAGGGATGGGGAGCATGCAAGGGGTAACTGGGAGGGTGTGGGAGGGGTAACTGGGAGGGATAGGGAGGGGTGGGGAGCATGCGTGGGGTAACGGAGGGATGGGGAGCATGCGTGGGGTAACTGGGAGGGGTGGGGAGCACGCAAGGGGTAACTGGGAGGGATGGGGAGCATGTGTGGGGTAACTGGGAAGGCTGGGGAGGCTGCATGGGGCAACTGAGAGGATGCAGGGTGTAACTGGGATGGATAGGGAAGAGTGGGGAGTCTGCATGGGGTGACTGGGAGGGGTGGGGAGGGTGCACAGGGCAATCGGGAGGGGGTGAGAAGGGTGCACAGGACAAGTGGGAGGGTGCAGGGGCCGAATGAGGAGGGACGGGGAGCAGGCACCGGACGGCTGGGGGGGCGCAGGGGGTAACTGGGAGGACTGGGGGGGGGGGTACCCCGGCAGGCGGTGCAGGAGCAGAGCGCGGCGGGCGAGGCGCTGGCGCAGGCGCGGGGGGAGCAGGAGCGGCTGCGGGGGGAGCTGCTGCGGCTGAGCCGGGCCCGCGAGGGGCTGGCCAAGGAGGGGGCCAGCCTGGCCGTCCAGCTCGCCGCTGCCCAGCGCCACGGCCAGGATCAGGCCCAGGAGGCGGCCGGGCTCAGGTGGGTGCTTGTTTTGGGGCGTGGGGGGTGAGGGTGTCTCCCCATCCTGGGGTTCGGCAGTGTGGCCGGTGGCGTTTTGGCAGGACGGAGAAGGAGGGGCTGGAGAGCAGCATCTTCCAGCTGCAGCAGCGGCTGGCGCAGCTCGACACCCGCAACCAGCAGCTGGAGGCCGAGGGCCGGATCCTGCTCCAGGACAAGGAGGCGCTGGAGGGTGAGGGGGCCTGGGCCCCACTCTGTCCCTGTCACCCCAGCCATCCTCATCCCTGGCCTCATCTTCATCTTCCCCATGCCTGCTTATCTCTGTATTCCTCGCCATGCATTCTCATCTCCATCCTCGTCCGTCCCTATTTCTCTTCATCCCCATCCATCTTCTATCTTCATCTTCCTGCCCATGCATCCTTATCTTCATCCCCATCCATCCCTGTTCCTTGTCATCCCTGTCCTCATCTTCATCCCCTTTGCCTTCTTCAGTCTCTTTCCCATCCCCATTCACATATTCATTCCCATCCCCGTCCATTCCTCTCCATCCCCATCCATCCCCATCCATCCCCTTCTCCATCCTCATCTCCATCCATCCCCTTCTCCATCCTCATTTCCATCCATCCCGTTCTTCATCTCCATCTATCTCCTTCATCCTCATCTCCATCCATCCCCATCTTCATCTCTATCCATCTCCTTCATCATCTCCATCCATCTCCTTCCTCATCCTCATCTCCATCCATCCCCTTCCTCATCCTCATCTCCATCCATCCCCTTCTCCATCTTCATCCCTATCCGTCTCCTTCCTCATCCTCATTCTCATCCATCCCCTTATCCTCATTTCCATCCATTCCTTTCTCCATCCTCATCCCCATCCATCCCCTTCCTCATCCTCATTTCCATCCATCCCCTTCCTCATCCTCATCCCCATCCATCCCCTTCTCCATCTTCATCCCCATCCATCCCCTTCTCCATCCTCATCCCCATCCATCCCCTTCCTCATCCTCATCTCCATCCATCCCCTTCTCCATCTTCATCCCTATCCGTCTCCTTCCTCATCCTCATCTCCATCCATCCCCTTCTCCATCTTCATCCCTATCCGTCTCCTTCCTCATCCTCATCTCCATCCATCCCCTTCTCCATCCTCATCCCTATCAACCCCCTCCACCTTCACCCACCCCTGTCCCCCCCATCCATCCCCATCCACCTCCAACCGGGTGATGACAAACCCTCCGCCACTGCGTCCCCCGCCATCTCCCTGCTCCCATCACCCAACCCACCCCCACCCTGCCCTCCTTCGCGGGGGGGGGGGGGTCCCCACTGACGGGGTGCGGGGGGTTGTTCCCCGCAGCGGAGCTGGGCACCGCGCGGCTGGAGCGGGAGCAGGAGCTGCAGGCCCGGCGGCAGGCGGTGGCGGCGGCCGAGGCGGCGGCCTTGCAGAGCGCCCGCGCCACGCACCGCGACGAGCTCGACCGCCTCCAGCGTGAGAAGGTGGGCACGGGGGGCGGGGGGAATGCGGCTTTTTGGGGTGCAGTATTGATTCCTGGGGCCCGATGGTGATTTTTCTTTTTTTTTTTTTTTTTTTTGTGATGTGATGCTGATTTTCATGGGGGGAGCAGGAGGAGCTGGAGGCCGAGCGGGGCCGGCTGGCGCGGGAGCAGGAGGAGCTGACGGCCGAGCTGGCGGCGACGCAGCGGCAGCACGAGAGCGAGAAGCAGCAGGTGGGTGTCGTGTCCCCCCACCCCTTCCCAGGTCCGGTGTCCCCCCCAACCCCAGCTGAGCCGTGTCCCACCCCCCCCCAGGCGCTGGCGCTGCAGGAGGAGGAGCGGGCGGCGCTGGCGGAGACGCTGGGGGGGCTGCAGCGGAGCCTGGCCGAGGCCACGGCTGAGCTCGAGCAGCAGCGCCGAGAGGTCACCAGCCACCAGGAGAAGGAGCAGGTGGGGTTGGGGACCTGGGACCCCCCCAGAATGGCACAGAGACCCACATGTCCCCCATGCCTGGGTGTCCCCTGTGGCCCCCCCTTCATTTCAAACCCCCATGCCTGGGTGCCCCCCGTGGTCCCCCCCCCCCAGCCTCATTTCAACCCCCCAGGCCTGGGCGTCCCCCATGTCCCCCCCCCAAGTCCATAAGCTCATGGCTGGCCGTCTCCTCTGTCCCCCCCCACCCCATTACAAGCCCCCATGCCTGGGCATCCCCTCTAATGCAATCCCTAATGCCTGAGGCTCACCCCTGCCTCGCAAGCCCACCCCCCTCGCCCCCCCTGCTCGCAAGACCCTTTAATGACCTTCTCGCCACCCCCCAAACTGCAACTCCCCCCCCCAGCTCCCTGTTGCAACCCCCCTGGCAATAGGGATGCTCGGGTGTGGTACCCAGGCATCCTCATCCCCATCACAATCCACCCCTGGGACCCCCACACCGCTGGGACCGGGGGCGGGGGGGGGGGCATCAGGGTTCTTGGACTCCCACGGCACTGAGGCGGGGAGGGGGGCTGGGGGTTCTGTGTGTCCCCCCCCGACACACACACACCCTGCAGAGCCTGGCAGCGGAGCTGCGCAGCCTGCGGGTGCGAGCAGAGGAGACGGCAGCGGCCCACGAGCGGGAGGCGAAGACTCTTCGTGACCAAGCGACGGCGGCAGCCAAGCAGCGGGACGGTGCCCTGCGGGAGGTGAGTCCTGCCCCCCCCTAAACCCCATTCCACCCCCCCAAAACGTCCTGTCCACCCCCTAATCTCTGTTCCTCCCGCCCCGCCCCGGCTGCAGGCGGAGGAGGCGCGGGCGCAGCTGCGCCTGGTGGCGGAGGCGCGGGCGGCGGGGCGGCGGGAGCTGCTGGAGGCGCAGCGGGAGGCCCGGGAAAGCCGGGAGGGCCGGGAAGCGCAGCGGCGGCAGGCGCAGGAGGCACGCAGGGCCCTGGGCGACGAGGCGAGGGAGAAGGAGGCCCTGAGGCGCTCCAACGAGGAGCTGAGGGTGGCACTGCGGCGAGCCGAGGGCGAGCGCATCAGGTGAGGGTCGGGGTTGGTGGGGCTCGGGGTCGGGGTGATGCTCAGGACGAGGGGATGCCTGAGTTGGGAGGTGCAGGGGATGGGGTGATGCTCAGGACAAGGGGATGCTCGAGTTGTGAGGTGCAGAGGTCGGGGTGATGCTCAGGGTGGGGGTGATGCTCAGGACAAGGAGAAGCCCAAGTTGGGAGGTGCAGGGGTCAGGATGATGTTCAGGATCAGGGTGATGCTCAGGACAAAGGGATGCCTGAGTTGGGAGGTGCAGGGATTGAGGTGATGCTCAGGGTCAGGGTGATGCTCAGGACAAGAGGATGCTCAAGTTGTGAGGTGCAGAGGTTGGGGTGATGCTCAGGGTGGGGGTGATGCTCAGGACAAGGGGATGTCTGAGTTGGGCGGTGCAGGGGTCAGGGTGATGTTCAGGATCAGGGTGATGCTCAGGACAAGGAGATGACCGAGTTGGGAGATGCAGGGGATGAGGTGATGCTCAGGGTTGAGGTGATGCTCAAGACAAAGGGATGCCCAAGTTGGGAGGTGCAGGGGATGAGGTGATGCTCAGGGTTGAGGTGATGCTCAGGACAAGGGGATGCCTGAGTTGGGAGGTGCTGAGGTCAGGCTGATGCTCAGGGTCGGGGTGATGCTCAAGACAAGAGGATGCCCAAGTTGGGAGATGCAGGAGGTGGGGTGATGCCTTGAAAGGTGATGCTGGGGGGCCAGGGGATGCATGGAGCGGTGCGATATTTTGGATGCTCAGGGTCGAGGTGATGCTCAGGACAAGGGGACGCTCAAGCGAAGAGATGCAGGGGTTGAGGTGATGTTTTGCATGCTCGGGGTCTGTCGTGGTTTGAGCCTGGTCGGCAGCCAACCACCCCGCAGCTGCTCACCCACCCTCCCCCCCGACCTGGGAATGGGGGAGGAATTGGAGGGGTAAAGGGAGATAGAAACAGTTTAATAATGGTAATAAAATGAAAACAATGACCTTAATAGAAAATATAAACGGGCAATGCACAATGCAATTGCTCACCACCTGCTGACCAACACCCAGCCCGTTCCCAGCCAGCGATCCCAAAATACCAAGATCCCACAATCGCAATCCTGGAAGCGAGCAAGAGAGAGAGAGCGAGCCCCTTCCTGCCCACCCCTGCTCTATATAGTGAGCACGATGTTCCATGATACGGAATATTTCATAGGCCAGTTTGGGTCTGGTGCTCTGGCCGTGCTGCCTCCCTGCTTCTTGTGCCCTTGTGCACGGGCAGGACATGGGGAGTGGAGAGTCCTTGAAATCTCAGCAGCGGCTGAAAACATCCATGTGCTATCAGCATTCTTCTCATACCAAATCCAGTGCTGAATCCAAAGCACGGCACTATTCTAGTTACCAAAAAGAAATACTAACTCTATTCCAGCCCAAACCAGGGCAGGGTCAGAGGGATGCTCAGGGTAAGGGTGGTGCCCAGGTTAGGAGCTGCAGGGGATGGGGCGATGCTTGGGGTCGGGGGGATGCTCAGGAGAGGGGGATGCCCAAGCTGGGAGATGCAGGGGATGGTGTGATTCCTTGGAGGGCGATGCTTGGGGTCGGGGGGATGCTCAGGAGAGGGGGATGCCCAAGCTGGGAGATGCAGGGGATGGTGTGATTCCTTGGAGGGCGATGCTTGGGGTCGGGGGGATGCTCAGGAGAGGGGGATGCCCAAGCTGGAACATGCAGGGGATGGTGTGATTCCTTGGAGGGCGATGCTTGGGGTCGGGGGGGATGCTCAGGACAGGGGGATGCCCAAGCTGGGAGATGCAGGGGTCGGGGGATGCTCAGGACAGAGGGGTGCTCAAGCTGGAACATGCTGGGGAGGGTGCAGTGCTGAGAGTTGGGGTGATGCTCAGGACGGGGGGATGCCCAAGTTGGGACTTACACGGGGCGGTGCAGTGCCCTGGAGGGCGATGCTCAGGGCTGGGGGGGCTGCTCGAGGTAAGAGGCTGCTCAAATTGGGTGATTCAGAGGGTGATGCGCTGCCTCGGAGGGCGACGCACCAGGTTGGGGAAGTGCTCGGGACAAGGCGGGGTGGTGCGAAGCCTTGGACGTTTGGGGGTGCTCAGGGAATGGGGGGGGGATGCCCCTCGTCCCCCCTCCCGCAGCCTGCAGCGTGCCAGCGAGGAGAAGGAGCAGCGGCTGGCACTGGTGGAGGACGGGCGGGCGGCGGCGGAGCGGGAGGTGACGGAGCTGCGGGCAACCCTGCGAGAGCTGGAGCGCGCCCGCCTCGACGCCCGCCGCGAGCTGCAGGAGCTGCGCCGGCAGGTGAGGAGGAACACCCCCCCCCCCCCCATCTCTCCCCCCTTTCGAGGTGCCCCCAAACCACCCCTTGTCTCCTCCTCGGGCAGGTGAAGGACCTGGACAGCGAGAACAGCAAGAGAAGCAAGGAGGTGGACGAGCTGCAGGCGCGCGTGGCCCTGGAGGAGCAGCGGGAGGAGGAGAGCCGCCGCGAAGCCTTCGGCCTCAGGCAGAAGGTGGTGGAGAGCGAGGCTGGCACGGAGGCTGCCAGGAAAGAGGTGCCGGGGGGTCCCCAGCGCCCCGTTGCCCTGGTGCCTCACATTCCAAGGTGTCCCTGTTCCCTCACCCCACACCTCAGTGCCTGTTGTCCCCATCGCCCCATAACTGGTTCCCTGTGTCCCTGGGAGTGCCTGGGTGTCCCCACTTCCACGCTGCTTGATGCTGCGTCCCCGGTGCCCCCATCACCTCACTGCTCCATCCCCTATGTCCCCGTCACTCTACTCCTCTCTGCCCTGCATCCCTGAGGGTCCCTTGCACCCCCCATTGCCCTGTTCCTCACATCCCCATCATTCCCTTGCTCTGGGCCTGGTGTCCCCATTACCCCACTCCTCCATCCCCTGCATCCCTGGGAGGGTCCCCCCTTACCCTGTTACTCCATCCCCTGCATCCCTGGGGGGGGTCCCCCCTTACCCTGTTACTCCATCCCCTGCATCCCTCGGGGTCTCCCATCTCCCTGTTGCCATGCTCCCTCCATCCCTGGGGTCCCCCATCACCCCCTTACTCCACCCCTTGCATCTCCATCATCCTGTCCTCCATCCCTCGCACCCCATCACCCCATTCCTCCGTAACCCCGTCTCTCCACGCCCTGCACCCCAACTGTCCCCATGACCCCCTTTCTGCTTCCCCCCCGCCCCGCCCAGCTCCAGCACCTGCAACAGCGACTCTCAGAGGCGGAGGGGGAATTTCGGCAGCGGGAGAAGGACCTGGCCCGCAGCTTGGAGGAGGCTCGCGGCAACGAGAAGAAGCTGCTGGCCGATGCCCGCAACCTGCAGCTGAAGGTGGAGGCGGCGCGGGGCGAAGCGGCCGAGCTGAGCCTGCGCCTGAGCGCGGCCGAGGGGCGGGCGCAGGGGCTGGAAGCCGAGCTGGCCCGCGGCGAGGCCCTGCGCCGGGCTGCCGAAACCCGCCTGGGAGGCATCCAGTCCGCCCTGCGCCGTACCATGGGCATCGGCCGGGCACGGGCCGGCTCCCCGGGCAAGGGTGAGAGGCCCTGGGGTGCCCCGTCCCTTGCTTAGGGGAAGGGGATGCATCCGGCTGCAGCGCGTCCCGCTGCGCTGCTCCAGCCCCTGCATCTGTGGGAGTCCCCCATACCCCATTGCTCCATCCCCTGCATCCCTGGGGGGGTCCCCCATACCCCATTGCTCCATCCCCTGCATCCCTGGGGGGCTCCCCAATACCCCATTGCTCCATCCCCTGCATCCCTGGGGGGGTCCCCAATACCCCATTGCTCCATCCCCTGCATCCCCAGGGTACCCCCATACCCCATTGCTCCATCCCCTGCATCCCTGGGGGGGTCCCCAATACCCCATTGCTCCATCCCCTGCATCCCTGGGGGGGTCCCCCATACCCCATTGCTCCAGCCCCTGCATCCCCGGGGTTCCCCCATATCCCGTTGCTTCAGCGCCTGCATCTCCATCACGCTGTTGCTTTGTCCCCTGCCTCCCTAGGGGGTCCCCCATACCCCATTGTTCCATCCCTGGGGGTCCCCCATACCCTATTACTCCATCCCCTGCATCCCTGGGGTCCCCCATACCCCATTGTTCCATCCCTGGGGGGTCCCCCATACCCTGTTGCTCCCACCCTGCATCCCTGGGGTGTCCCGTATGCCTCTGCACCACCTGACATCCCCAGGGGTGCCCCCTATCCCATGGGCGCTTCCCACTCCAGCTTGCCGTCCTCCCTTGGGTCCCGTGCCCCAGTGTCCCCGTGTCACCCAGTTTGTCCCCATACAGGTGGGGGACCGGTGGGGTCGGGCAGCCCCAGCTCATCCCCGGACGCCGATGCAGCGGCCGAGCCCGAGGTGGTGCAGGCAGCCCTGCGGGATTTCCTGCGCGAGCTGCAGGGCGTGCAGCGGGAGCGGGTACGCTCCCCCTTCCCCTCCCCTCCCTGTCCTCCCCAAAAAGCCCATTTTCACCCCATTTTCTTGCCCCAGGAGGAGCTGCGAGTGCAGGTGGGCAGCCTGGGCCGGCGGCTGGCGGAGGTGGAGGAAGAGCGTGACAGCGCTGGTGCCCGGGTGCAGCAGCTCCAGAAACTGGTGGCTGAGAGCGAGGAAGGTGATGGGGGGTTTTGGGGGTTTATCCCCCTCCCCCCAAATTTCAGGGTTTGGGGTGATTTATTCTGCACTGGCGCCTCACTGGCAATTGGGGGCTTTTGGGGAAACTGAGGCACAGGGGGTAGTGACGATGCTGCCTGGGACTGCAGGATGCTCAGTGGGATTTCCCCCCATGCCTGGCCCTAAAGTCCTGGTAAAATTAGTAAAACCACCTGTGCAAACCCCATGGACCCCAGTAAAACCACCATGCATGTCCAGTAAACCCCAATAAAACTGGTAAAAGCCACCGTGCATCCCTCATAAATCTCAGTAAAACTAGTAAACCCCACTATGGATCCCCTGTAAATCTCAGTAAAACTAATAGACCCCCTGTGCACACTCCATAAACCCCAGTAAAAGTGGTAACCCCCCCATGGATACCGTGTAAACCCAGTAAAACTGGTAAACTTCATGTGCATCCCCTGTAAACCCCAACAGAACTGATAAAAGACCCATGCAACCCCCCATAAACCCCGCTAAAACTGGTATAACCCCCTGTGCAGACTCCATAAATCCCAATAAAATGGGTAAAAGCCCTTGTGCAGACTCCATAAATCCCAATAAAATGGGCAAAAGCCCCTGTGCATCCCCCATAGACCCCAGTAAAACTGGTAAATGCCCCATGCATCCTGTGTAAACCCCACTAAACCTGTTAAAACCCCTGTGCTTGCCCCATAAACCCAGTAAACTGGTGAATGCTCCATGCAGACCCCATAAATGCCAGTAAAACCAGTAAATGCTCTGTGCATCCCCTGTAAACCCCAGTAAACTGGTAAACCCCCTATGCTTGCCCCGTAAAGACCAGTAAAACTGGTAAAAGACCCATGCATCCCCCATAAACCGCACTAAAACTGGTAAAACCCCCTGTGCAGACTCCATAAATTCCAATAAAATGGGTAAAATCCCCTGTGCATCCTCCATAAACCCCACTAAAACTGGTATACCTGCCCTATGGATCTCCTGTAAACCCAATAAATCTGGTAAACACCCTGTGCATCCCCTGTAAACCTCAATAAAACTGATAAAAGACCCATGCAATCCCCTGGTAAACCCCAGTAAAACTGGTAAACCCCCGCTGTGCAGACTCCACAAATCCCAATAAAACTGGTAAACCCTGCCATGGATCCCCTGTAAACCCAGTAAAACTGGTAGATGCCTTCTGTATCTCATGTAAACCCCACTAAAACTGGTAAAACCCCCATGCTTGTCCCATAAGCCCAGTAAAACTGGTAAATGCCCTGTGCATCCCCTGTAAACCCCAGTAAAACTGGTAAACCCCCTGTGCTTGCCCCATAAACCCCAGTAAAACTGGCAAAAGACCCATGCGTCCCATGTAAACCCTGCTAAAACTGGTAACATCCCCTCTCCATGGAGCTCCTGTAAACCCAGTACCTCTGGTAAACGCCCCGTGCATCCCCTGTAAACCCAAATAAAACTGACAAAAGACCCATACACCCCCCCGTAAACCCCAGTAAAACTGGTAAAACCCCCTGCGCATCCCCCATAAACCCCAGTAAAAGTGGTAAAATCCCTGCGCATCCCCCACAAACCCCAGTAAAAGTGGTAAAACCCCCTGTGCATCCCCCATAAACCCCATTAAAACTGGTAAACCCCCCCCTGCAGACTCCACAAGCCCCAGTAAAACTGTTAAAATCCCTGTGCATCCCCATAAGCCCCAGTAAAACTGGTAAAACCCCCTGCGCATCCCCCACAAACCCCACTAAAACTGGTAGAACCCCCTGTGCAGACTCCACAAGCCCCAGTAAAACTGGTAAAACCCCCTGCGCATCCCCCACAAACCCCAGTAAAAGTGGTAAAACCCCCTGTGCATCCCCCATAAACCCCATTAAAACTGGTAAACCCCCCCCTGCAGACTCCACAAACCCCAGTAAAACTGTTAAAATCCCTGTGCATCCCCCATAAGCCCCAGTAAAACTGGTAAAACCCCCTGCGCATCCCCCACAAACCCCACTAAAACTGGTAAAACACCTTGTGCAGACTCCACAAACCCCAGTAAAACTGGTAAGACCCCCTGCGCATCCCCCATAAACTCCAGTAAAAGTGGTAAAATCCCTGCACATCCCCCATAAACCCCAGTAAAACTGCTAAAACCCCTTATACAGACTCCACAAACCCCAGTAAAACTGGTAAAACCCCCCGTGCATCCCCCACAAACCCCAGTAAAAGTGGTAAAATCCCTGTGCATCCTCCATAAGCCCCATTAAAACTGGTAAAACCCCCCGTGCATCCCCCACAAACCCCTGGAAAAGTGGTAAAACCCCCCGTGCATCCCCCATTAACCCCAGTAAAACTGGTAAAACCCCCTGCGCATCCCCCATAAACCCCAGTAAAACTGCTAAAACCCCTTATACAGACTCCACAAACCCCAGTAAAACTGGTAAACCCCCCCTGTGCATCCCCCATAAGCCCCAGTAAAAGTGGTAAAATCCCTGTGCATCCTCCATAAGCCCCAGTAAAACTGGTAAAACCCCCTGCGCATCCCCCACAAACGCCAGTAAAAGTGGTAAAATCCCTGTGCATCCTCCATAAGCCCCATTAAAACTGGTAGAACCCCCTATGCATCCCCCACAAACTCCCGGAAAAGTGGTAAAACCCCCCGTGCATCCCCCATTAACCCCAGTAAAACTGGTAAAACCCCTTATACAGACTCCACAAACCCCAGTAAAACTGGTAAAATCCCTGTGCATCCTCCATAAGCCTCAGTAAAACTGGTAAAACCCCTTACACAGTCTCCACAAACCCCATAAAAGTGGTAAAACCCCTCGCGCATCCCCCACAAACCCCGGTAGAAGTGGTGAAGCCCCCCGGGCGGTGGGTGACGGTGGCGTGGCTCTGGCAGGGCGTCGCGGCGGGGAGCTGAGCAGCACCCAGGCCACGCTGCTGCTGCAGGAGGAGACGCTGCGGCGGGGCGAGCGGGAGCGGCGGGCGCTGCGGGACAAGGTGACGGCGCTGGAGCGGAGCCTGCGCGCCGCCGAGGGCCAGCGCCGAGCCGCCCAGGTGGGCATCACCGTGGGGCTGGGGCGGGGGGGGGGTCACCGGATCCTGGGGCCCCCCCCCCTCCCCAATCCGTGCCGGGTGACGCGTGACCGTGCAGGAGAGGATGAGCGCGCTGCGAGGCGGCGAGGCCGAGCTGGAGGATGCCAAGAGGCGGCTGGAGGCGGCGGAGAGCCGGAGCACCCGCCTGGAGCTGCAGCAGCGGGTGCTGGAGGGCGAGCTGCAACGGGCACGGCTGGCCCTGGGCGAGCGGCAAGCGGAGGCGCGGGCGACGCACGACCGCGCCGAGCTGCTCCAGGAACAGGTGCCAGCGCCGATTCCTCTAAACCCCGACCCGCCGCGTTGCGCTTCGTAATTTCTATTTTTTTTTTTTTTTAATATATTTTTTTTGTTCCAAATGATCCTCTTTCCTCGTGCTCCGGGTTTCGGGGGCGCAGCTGGCGGAGAGCGAGCGGCGCGCCGGCGCTTTGCAGGCGGCGGTGGAGCGGCTGAGCGCGGCGGTGGCGGGGAGCGGCTCGAAGGGCGACGCGCCGGCCGGTGGCACCGCGGCCCACGAGCGGCTGCTGCAGCTCCAGAGCGCCCTGGCCGCCGGCGAGCTCGACCGCCGGGCGCTGCAGGTGGGAGCCAGCACCCAAGGGTGGGGGGGGAACAACGGGGTGCCTTCGCTTGGGAGGTCACCGGAGGTTTTGGGGGTGGGTGGGTGTGTGGGGGGGGTCTCCCCATCCCAGGAGGGGCTGGAGGTGGCGCGGCGGGCGCTGGCGGAGGCGCGGGAGGAGAAGGCAGCGCTGCGGGAGGTCACCGGAGGTTTTGGGGGTGGGTGTGTGTGTGGGGGGGTCTCCCCATCCCAGGAGGGGCTGGAGGTGGCGCGGGAGGAGAAGGCAGCACTGCGGGAGGTCACCGGAGGTTTTGGGGGTGGGTGTGTGTGTGGGGGGGTCTCCCCATCCCAGGAGGGGCTGGAGGTGGTGCGGGAGGAGAAGGCAGCACTGCAGGAGGTCACCGGAGGTTTTGGGGGTGGGTGTGTGTGTGGGGGGGTCTCCCCATCCCAGGAGGGGCTGGAGGTGGCGCGGCGGGCGCTGGCGGAGGCGCGGGAGGAGAAGGCAGCGCTGCGGGAGCAGCTGCGGGGGCTGCAGGAGGAGCGGGGGGCCCTGCAGCGGAGCAAGGAGGAGCTGGAGGCGCAGGTCCGGCAGCAGCAGGAGGTGAGGGCGGCTCCCCAAAATCGCTGTCCTTTACCCCCACGCGCCCCCCGTGTCCTTCGCCCACTCTGTGAAGCGTATTTTGTCCCCCGCGGTACCCTGCACCCTCTTATGCCCCCCCCCCCGTGCAGCACCCCATTGCCCCCATGCGACCCTTGCACCCTTCTGCCCCCCCCAGCACCCTATTTCCCCCACGCAGCCCCCTGCACCCTCTTACCCCCCCAGCACCCTATTTCCCCCACGCAGCCCCCCGCACCCTCTTACCCCCCCCAGCACCCTATTTCCCCCACGCAGCCCCCTGCACCCTCTTACCCCCCCCAGCACCCTCTTGCCCCCGCGCAGCCCCCCCTTTCCCCTCCCACACAGCATCCTTTGGCCCCCCCCCGCCGCCTTGCATCCCCCTACAGCCCCCCATACACCCACAGCACCCTCTTGCCCCCCCTGCCGCACCCCGGGGTGGGGTGGGGGGGCTGGTGCTGACCCCCCCGCCCCGGCGCAGGCTCTGCGGCAGCGGCAGGAGGATGTGGGGGGGCCGCAGGAGCCGGGGGGCAGCCCCCAGCGCGCCCTGACCCCCGCGCAGGGCGAGAAGCGGGAGGCCGAGCGCGTGGCCCTGCGCCTCGGGAAGGACGGGAGCGCCCTGAGGACGACCCTGGGCAAGGTGAGAGGGTGGGGGGCACCCTTGGGTGCCCCCGGGGCCGGCCCAGCACCACCCCCCTGGCGACACTAAACCCCCCCCCGACGCCAGCACAGCCAGGGCTTGCGGCCCTCCGTGGCCAGACCTGGGTGCAGATCAGACAGCAAGCCCGCAGGCCAGCTTGCTGACAGCACATTAATATTTGCCAAGCATGAAATATACTTTATCTATATGCTGCGTGCTGCTCCACTCTGAACAGAATCTATGTGCACTTAAAATATATAAATTTTATATGTATTTTATATATTAAAAACCAGATTTATACATTTATATATTTCATTATATATTTTACATGTAAAAATATGTCTTTTAGGCTCTGTATTTTGTTGCACATTTTATATATATTTATATGCAACATATATTGTACATGCAAAAACATATCTTTTATGCTATGTACTTGGTTGCATATTTTATATATTTACATGCAATATATATTTTACATGCAAAAATACATCTTTTATGCTATGTGTTTTGTTGCATATTTTATATATGCAATATATATTTTACACCTCAAAAATACATCTTTTATGCTTTATATATTCTTGCATATTTTATATATGCAATATATATTTTACACCTAAAAATATATCTTTTATGCTTTATATATTCTTGCATATTTTATATATGCAATATATATTTTACAGCTAAAAATATAACTTTTATGCTATATATATCATTGCATATTTTATATATATTTATATGCAGTATCTATTTTACAAGTAAATATATTTTATGGTGGTTTATGCTATGTATTTTACATGTAATATATATTTCACATGTAATATTTTAAATGTATCTATTGTACATGCAGTATTTTATGTGTAATCTTTTACACAGGGTATATATATTTTAAGTGCTATAGAATATGCAAAGGACTTTATAGGCAATATATAGTTTGTTGCATCTAGTTTTTAGGTATCATAGACATAGTATGTAAAATACATATTTTTACGTGCTACGTACGTGTATTTTACGTGCTGCCTGTGGATCTTACATCCTCCACACCCGTGTTTCGCACGTCCCCCCCCCGTGTGTCCGTGGCGTGGGGCGGGTGAGGCCTCGCTGCGGCTCTCGGCGGGGCAGGGCCGAGCGGGAGCTGGCGTGGGCGCAGCCGGCTGCCACGGGTGGGGGGGCCCCGGGCTCCCCCCGCGGCGCTGGGTGCCGGCGCTGGCGCCCCTGGGTGCTGCCCGCCTGCTCGCGGCACCCCTGGCTTGCAGCAGGATGGCGCTGGGCTCCTCTGGGGGGGCTTCCCAGCTTGGGGGGGGGGTGCTGGTGCTTGCACTGGGATGGCACTGGGCTCATTTTGGGGGTGCTTCCCAGCTTGGGGAGATGCTGGCGCTTGCACTGGGATGGCACTGGGCTCGTTTTTGGGGTGCTTCCCAGCTTGGGGAGATGCTGGTGCTTGCACTGGGATGGCACTGGGCTCATTTTGGGGGGCTTCCCAGCTTGGGGGGGGCTGCTGGTGCTTGCACTGGGATGGCACTGGGCTCATTTTGGGGGTGCTTCCCAGCTTGGGGGGGGCTGCTGGTGCTTGCACTGGGATGGTGCTGGGCTCATTTTTGGGGTGCTTCCCAGCTTGGGGAGATGCTGGTGCTTGTACTGGGATGATGCTGGGCTTCTTTTGGGGCGCTTCCCACACTGAAGGGAGGTGCTGGTGCTTGCACTGGGATGGCACTGGGCTCATTTTTGGGGCGCTTCCCAGCTTGGAGAGATGCTGGTGCTTGCACTGGGATGGCACTGGGCTCGTTTTTGGGGTGCTTCCCAGCTTGGGGAGATGCTGGCGCTTGTACTGGGATGATGCTGGGCTTCTTTTGGGGCGCTTCCCACACTGAAGGGAGGTGCTGATGCTTGTACTGGGATGGCGCTGGGCTCATTTTGGGGGCTCATCCCAGCTTGGGGAGATGCTGGTGCTTGCACTGGGATGGCACTGGGCTCATTTTGGGGGCTCATCCCAGCTTGGGGAGATGCTGGTGCTTGCACTGGGATGGCACTGGGCTCATTTTTGGGGTGCTTCCCAGCTTGGGGAGATGCTGGCGCTTGCACTGGGATGGCACTGGGCTCGTTTTTGGGGTGCTTCCCAGCTTGGGGAGATGCTGGCGCTTGTACTGGGATGATGCTGGGCTTCTTTTGGGGCGCTTCCCACACTGAAGGGAGGTGCTGGTGCTTGTACTGGGATGGCGCTGGGCTCATTTTTGGGGTGCTTCCCAGCTTGGGGAGATGCTGGTGCTTGCACTGGGATGGCACTGGGCTCATTTTGGGGGTGCTTCCCAGCTTGGGGAGATGCTGATGCTTGCACTGGGATGGTGCTGGGCTCATTTTTGGGGCGCTTCCCAGCTTGGGGAGATGCTGGCGCTTGCACTGGGATGGCACTGGGCTCATTTTGGGGGCGCTTCCCAGCTTGGGGAGATGCTGGCGCTTGCACTGGGATGGTTGTGGGCTCTCTCGGGGGGCTGCCCCCAGCCTGGTGGACCGCAGGTGCCCGGATTTGGGGTGACGGGCACCCCCTGCCTGCCCAGGCGCAGGTGTCGGTGCTGGAGCGCCCGTCCCCGCCGAGCCCCGCGCCGTCCCCGGAGCTGCAGCGGGAGCTGAGCCGCCTGCGCATCGCCCAGCTCCGAGCCCCGCAGGCGCTGGAGGAGCAGGTGAACTGGGGGGACACCCCGGGGTGGGTGGGGGGGACGACACCCCCATGCCCTCCTTGCTCCCCCCCCCATCTCACACCCCCCCCCCCCCCCCCACCTTTTCCTTGCAGATCGCGCTGCTGAAGGGGCAGGAGCTCCACCGGCACCCCGCCAGCACTTAGGGACCCTCCGCCACACCCGCAGAGACCGGCACAACTCGTCTCACGGGTGGGGGGGGGGGGAGGAGCCCTTCCCCAGCCCCGTGCTCAAAACACACATCGAATTTTGTCTCATCATTCCCTTTTCTCAAGCAAAAAGCCGCACTTTACCGCTGAGACGGTGAAACTCATCTATTTTTGATACAGTTTGGGGCCCAACAGGTGTTTTTTCCCTTTTTCCTATTGCAATTTTTAACAAAAATTTTGGAAATACTCCTTTTTTTCAGTCCCTGGAGAACCCTGTTTCAGAACCAGCTAAGCCACCTGATTTATTTTCCCCCCTGATAGATGATGCTTCACAAGCCCCAACGCTCACCAGATCCTAACGTTTTCCCCTTTTTCTAACCTAAAACTACTCCAAGTTGTCGGGTTTGGGATTTTTTTTTAGCAAATAGGGATTTTATATTACTATTTTTGGAGTTCGAGGTTTTTACTGGTGCTACGGGGCAGCACGAGGTCAGGGGGGCTGAGCCAAGCTGAAAAAACCACCCGCAGCGAGGTGGTGGCTTCGAGCGCAGCCCTCACCTTGTCAGTCCTGGCACGATTAAATGTGGATAAACCCAACCTGGCAGCACATGAGGGTTTGTTTATTTTTTTTTTGGGGGGGGGGGGGGGAGGGGGGGAGGGATGTGGGTATTTTGGGGATGCCCAAAGCGGTGTGCATGGGGACACCAGCCTTGATCCAGGTCCCTAAATAACAAATAGGAAAGAAGAAATAGTAATAAATAATAATAATAAAAGTTATTATTACCATTACCGCCACCACTTTGGGGGGGGGGGTGGACTGGAGCCTTTTGGGGTGCTGCTGCCCCCTCTTTGCTTTTGAAGCCTTTGGGGGAGGGGTTTGAGCCCCAAGGTGGGGGGTGAATCCCTCGTGTCCCCGAGGCCACGAGCCGTGCGGGGATGGGGAGGGGAGAGGGGGTGAGGACAACGGAGAAGACTCAACGCCCAGCACCCCCGGACTGTTTTCTATAAGAGAACTGGCAGATGTAAGAACCGCCAGCTGTACGCCGAGAGAGACCCTACAGGGCTGTGTGTAAGGACTGCAGGCTCTGTAGGAGCCGCGCGCTGCACGAAAACTACGCACTCCGTGAGAGCTGCACCCTGTGCGAAGGTGTGTACCATGTACATGAGCATGCACAATATAAAGAGAGCTGCACGCTCTATAAGGGAGCTACACCCTGTAGAAGAAAGCCTCACGCCATATGAGAACTGCACGGTATGGAAGAGGAGTAGACACAGCCCTGCACACCTTGGGGGTTGCACCCCTGTGCCAGGGGCTACGGGCTGAGAGCTGTAGGTGCGTGCTGTATATAATACGTATATTGTAGAGCTACGTGCTCTATGGGAGGGCTGGATGCTGTATATGTGAGGGCTGTACACGCTGGATGAGAGAGCTGCACCCTATACAAGCCACAAGGAAACTGCATCCTATGTAAGAGAACTGTATGCCCTACAAGCTACGTGCTGTGTGAAAGAACTGCACGCCGCACGAGAGCTGGATGCTCCATGAGCGAGCTGCCCGCTGGGCATGAGAGCTACGCCACACAATTTCCTGCAAGAGACCTGGAGAATCTCCCCGAGTTGAACCCCGAAAGCCCACACCGTTCCCTGTAAGTGAACCAAACCCCAACCTCCACCCTCCTTTCGACAGGGGAATCGGAGTCCCAAACGCCGCTGGCCCCCAGCAGAGACCCACCCTCCACCCTTTTCTACAGGGGAACTGGGCAACACCCCAAAATACCCATTAAGTTCTGTAAGAGACTCGGAAATTTGCCCCCCAAACACCCCCACACCGCACTTCCTTCTGTAAGATCCACCCCCCCAAGTTAAGCCCCCTCCAAGCTGTGCTGTTGCCCCCAAATCAGACATTTTACAAGCCCCGAAACACCCGAAAGCACCCCAAAATCCTCGCTCGCCCCCAGCCCTTCCTCCTGTGCACAGGGCTGGATGGTAAGGAATTGCTCAAATCATTAGAAAACACCCCCAAAAATTACAAATCCCCCTCCCAAAACTGGAGAATCTCCCACCCCCCCAAAAAAAAACGAGTCGGGAGCCGCAGCGACCCTTACGCTTTATCTCTTGGATACTCTACGTAGAAAACGGGGCGGCGGGGGCTCGCACCGCCCCCCCTTTACAATATAATAAAGTAAGTAATAAAAATAATAAACACCCCCCCCCTTTTTTTTTTAATTATTATGTGCACAAAAAATGGACTTTTTTTTTTTTATGCTCTTTCATGCACAGTTTCTTTAGCACCACGGTGAGGATCCGGAGCGGGACGGGTACCCGGGAGAGGAGGACGGGCAGGGGTTGGGATCCCGGGATGCGGCCGGCGAAGGGGGGTCCCCTCGAGCTCAGCACCCACCGCAGCTGCGGGCGCAGGATGCGACCACGGTTTGGCAGAGCCCGCTGGTGGCCATCACCCCGCACTTGGAAAACTTGTCGCGGCAGAGATCGGCTGCGGGGGACAGCGGGAGAGAAAGGAGCCGCGGATGGAGGAAAAACAGGGGGAGAAGCAGTGGGGAACCCCCCCCCCAAGTCAGATGGGGACATCCTGAGGCTGCGAGGGGGGTGGCTCAGCCCCCCCACCCCCCCCACCCCCCAAAACAGGATCCCAGTTTGGTCCACTGATTGCAGAGCAAGGCCTGGAGCAACTTTGTTCGGTCACTGGGCTTTCCCCCCGCCCCCACCATGGGAAAAGGGGTGAGCTGGATGAGGACGACCCCGATTTGGGGTGCAACCCCCCCCCCCCCCCCCTTACCTCTCAGGAGCTCTTCGTGGGCGCACACGGTGCGGACGCAGATCTCCTTGTTGATCACGTAAACCCGGCGGAGGCTGGATGGGGAAAGGGGGGATTAAAAAAAAGATGGGGGGGGGGATTAGTGCAAAAGCGGAGGGGGTCCCCCCCAAAATGGGCAGGGTCAGGGAAGCTCCCCCCTCTCTCCACTCGCCTGTAAAAGCAGATCTCGTTCAGGCACTGCTTGCAGGGCTTGTGCACGGAGTAGAGCCTGGTGCAGGGGTATTGCTCCTCCCGGCAGTCTGCAAGGAGAAAAGGCAGCTGGTTTCTGACGGGGGTCTGGGAGATCCACGGGGGGGGGAGGCCTGACGCCTCGGGGATGGGCTTAGCGTCCACTCAGCACCTTCCCCCCCCTAATTTTCACCCCGGGTGTGCGTGTGGTGGCACAGCCTCACCCCAGCCGGGCTAAAAGAGAGGATGAAACACCCACCCCAGGGACTGAGGAGGGGGGGAAAAGCACTCACCGAGGGGTCCGGGCTCCGTGGGCTCAGTCTCGGGGGCAGCAGCTGGGGGCAGAGTGAAGCGGGAAGGGAGGAGCAAATTTAGGGATGGAGCAAAAGCATCTTGCTGCCCTTTCCCTGGGTTTTAGGGCTGGAGCATCCTGACACTGGCACCCAGGAAGCTGCTCCGGGGGGAGCACAACTGGTTTGTGGGTGCAAGGGAGGGATGGAGACCCCGAGCTCCCCACTGCCACCCACCTGGGGTCGGGGCCGGCACGATCTCCTGCTGGGATTGCTGCTGGGACTGGTACCGAAACTGCTCCTCGGGGGCACGGGGGGTGACATCTGCAAGGAGAGGGACAGTGCAGGCACACCCCCCCCCCCCCAAAACCTGCCCCCTCCCCACCCCAGCATCCCGCAAGGGGAACCACTTACCGTGATAGTCGTAGTAATCCTGAATTTCTGGGGAAATAAAACAGAAAACACAGCAGAGGCTGAGGATGGGGAGTTTTTAACTATAGGGAGAAAAAAAACCCCATCGGGGCCGGGACTTTGCAGCGAGCTCCTCAAAATTTTGCAGCTGGTTTGAGCAAGGGGAAAACACCCTCCAGCTACCCCAGGAGTGAACATGGGCAACATCCCACTCGGATTTTTTAAAGCTTAATAAAGGCTTAATAAATAATTGGCAGTGCGAGGGAGGGGAAAGGAGAGGCTCGTGTATAAGAGGGGTGATGGGAAGGTGTTAGGAGGGGGGTTGGAAATTTAAGGGTCAGGAGAAAAGGATGGAGCAAAGAGTATTGAAGCAGGAAGAGGCATCAGCCTTAGGGGTATTTGGCCAGAGAAAGCAAAAAAGAAAGGAAAAAGAAGGGGGAGAGAGGTGGGTGAAGCCTCTCCCGGTTCAGGGTGCTCTAACCTGCTTGCTGGTCATACTGGGAATATTGTACCGGCTCGGGGTAGGTGATGCCTTCAAACCTGCTGTACTGTCCCTGGACCAGGAGCGCTGCTGGGGAGACAGAGGGGGGGGGGGGGGGGGCGGGGAAGAAGCGTCACCAGGAGGGGCACGGCCACCCCCAGCCCAGGGATTTGGGGTTCCCTGCTCTGCCCCCACCTCTCCAGCTTTGCATCATCCCCCAAAACGTCGTCCCCCCGCCGTCCTCGGGGGGACACGCTGCCCGGCAAGGAGGCGGGAGAGGAAGGTGGGATGCTCACTGAGAGGGGACCAGCACCGGCGCAGGATTCCTACATTATCCGGGGGGCAGCCGGGGATGATCCCGGGTGATCCCACTGCCTCGCAGCACCCAGGCACCACGACCTTACCCGGCGAAGGCTCCACCATCCCGCTGCCCCAGGGACGCTCCTGACACCAGGGGCAGCCCCTGCGTCCCTCGCAGACACCCGGGGAGCCAATCCTGCCACCGATCCGGGGCGGGGGGGGCAAACGGGGTTCAGATGCCAGCGTGCACGAGTTGATGCGATCACACAGGCAGAATGCTTTTGGGGGGGAGTTGGGGAGGGGTGTCAGGCCACCCCAATCCCTGGGGCACAGCAGGGACCCACCTCCCGGGACCTCCGCGGTCCGTCCAGCTGCCGCATCCTCGCAAGCGGCAGCACCCATGAGCCAAGCACCGCTGGGAACGATGCCGGGACAGGACTTATCTTTTCTGTCCGCTACCCCCCGCGCTGCCCCCCCCTTCCCCGGGCTCCCTCGGCCTCGCCTGTTTAATGTTTTCCATCTGCTCACTAGCCTTTGTGCCGAGCTGGTTTCGCCCAAAGTTTTCCTGGCTCCAGGCTCCCGGGTCCGTCGCCTCCCTCCTTGTTTCCATCCTGCCTTTGCCAGGCCCCCGGGGGGTGACAAATATAATTTTTCTGGATGTCGTCCTGGCCCTGAAGTGCCATTTTTTTGCCACCCCACGGTGTCACCTCTATGTCCCCAAAGCAGGTAGGACACTCTTGGCGCCAGAGCCCTCCGTGCCCCCCCAAATCTAGAGCCAGTCCCAGCCTAAATATGAGCATACGATGGGGTTTTGGGTTAATTCGGGGGTAAAATAGGTGAGGAGGTGATGCTTGTCCCAGATGGGTGAAGGCACCCAAGCATCATTGAGGGGGGTGGCTGGCTCCTGGGGTTTAATGGGGTGTCAGCTCACCTTGGGGACCCCCGGGGAGGGGGCACTCACCTGGCAGACAGAGCAAGAAGAGCCCCACCGCTCTCATCCTGACAGCAGCGATGGAGGAGCAGCGCGGGCCGGGATGCAGCTGGAGGAGTCTGGATGGGGCAGAGAGAAACCCAGAGGGATTAGCATGGGGGGGCCACACGCAGACCCCCCAAACCCCTCTGTTGCTCGCCCCCTACAGCAGCCCCTCTTCCCCACCCCGCCCCGCATGAAGCCCCTCGCACCTCTGCTTGAGATGCCCCCAGAGCCTGGCTCAGAAAAGCAACCCCAAACCCTAAAAAAATAAAAACTATAAAGACACCTCCCCCCAAAAGGCAGGCTGGGCTTCCCACCCACCCCGACTGCATGCTCCCGGGGGGAATTGCAAGGACCGAGCTCTGAAATATCCCAAGGGCAGGATGGGGGATGAGAAATGCCGGGATGTCTGAATCACCGCCATGGGGGACACATCTGGACCCCCCCCCTGCTGAAAACAGACTCAGGAGCTGGAGGTTTGGGAGCTCCTTCCCCGGGGTTTTCAGCCCCGCTCCTTGGCCAAGGGCTTATTTTGGGGGTCCCTGCGGCGGGTGGACGGACGATGCGTGTGCCTGGGCATCCCGTCAATCCAAGGGGCTGTGGAGATTTGGGGAGGGAAAAAACCGCTTTCAAGAAAAATCCCGCGCCGGCGCTGGGGTTTGGCAGCCGTGGGCGCTCAGGGCTCCCCGGCGCTTTCCAAGCGGCGATTTGCATGTCGAGCGTCTGCTTTCCCCGGCGGGGAGCCGGGCCAAGGCCGGCTGTGCCGCCGGTGAGCCGGGCCCCCTTCCCCGGCGCGGGCTGCCAGGGCTGCCGGCCGCCCTTCCCCCTCATCCCCAGCCAGCTCAAGGGGGAAAACTGGGGGGGGGGGGGGGGAAAGATAAATTCTCCCAAGAAACTCTTTCGAAATCCAACCAAACGCATTTGGCTGTTGGGGAGAAAGCGCCTTGGCTTGCTCAGCACACCGAGATGCTGCGGGGATGGGGAATCCCGCCTGGCAGCTCTGGCTCTGCGGGGAAACTGAGGCACGGGTGGAAATAAGCCAAACCCGTTGGTATCTCGCCCCTGCTGAGGGGGAGCATCAGCTCCCCAGGCCAGGAGGCACCCAAGCACCCATCCCCGCTGCCGGTTGAGCTGCGCCTGGGCGCAGCGCCCGGGGATGGGACCGCGGCTCCAGCCCCAGCACGGTCCCTGCGGGGGTCAACGGGACTGACAGCACCATCACCAGAACCCGGCACCTTCTAGCGCCCACGTCCTCACCATCGCCAAAGCGTAGCGCCTTCTAGGGACCACGCCGTGCGCCAGCACCACAGTCTTGCACCTTCTAGCCCCCCCATGTCCTCGAGGTCACCAAAGCGTAGTATCTTCTAGGGACCTCGTCCTGCACCGTCACCCACCGTGTTGCACCTTCTAGCCCCCACGTCCTCACCGTCACCAAAGCGTGGCACCTTCTAGCCACCGCACCCTCGCACCACCACCGTAACTGCATCTTCTAGGCACCACATCTCCAGGCTCACGGGTACTGCAGACGTTGACAACCGATTTCCACACCGTTCCCAGCTTTGGGAAAGCCAGAAAGTCGGTCCCTACCTGAGCTGGGATCAGATAACCCAGCTCAGCCAGCGGTCAGAGTTTGGTGGCCCCAGACGAAGCGCCCAGCCGCACTCCTTCACCAACCCACGGCTGCACCTCGGTGGGACCCAGGTCCCTGCAAGCCCCGGCCGCTTCCCACAGCAAAGGAAGCCCCAGACCTGGGTTTAACGGAGGCTCAACGTGTCCTGGGATAAAGGGGATTGCGCAGGGATGAGCGAGATCAACGTGGGGCTCTGGGCTTGGCGGGCGCTTGGCCGGGGGTGCGGGAGGTTTTATCGAGCCGTAGCGCCTGGCAGACCTTGGGCTTGGGAAAGCAGCTGGGTCCTGGCCAGGGCAGGGCTGCGACGGGGCACGGGGGGGGTGTGGGGGGGTGTGGGGAGGTTTGGGGCTACCTCGAGGTGGTGGAAAGGGGCTGTAGGTGCCCGTCCTGACTGTCGCCGGTTCTCCAGATCCCGCGGGATGCCGGCGCCAACGTCCCGCGGCCCCAAATCACCCTGACCCGGCACCCGGATCCCACCCAGGCCAGCCCGGGGCAGGGCCGCAGGGCAGAGGGAAGCCCACCTCCCGAGCCATCGCACCCAAGGACACAGCCGCACAGCTTGGGATCAACCTGCCCTGCCAGCCCCCATTTTTTTTTTTTTTTTTTTTTTTTTTTTTTTGTGTCCCCCAAAGCAGCCTGCAAGAGCCCAAGGCTTCTCTCGAGGTTTAACTCCCCCTGAATTTCCCCCAAACACGGAGATCTTGGAGCGAGCTCGCATGGTTTGGCCGGGGAACGGGGACGGACGGGTCACGTCTTTCCCCGAAGGCGATGCCAGCGGCTTCTCCTCCCGCCGGAGGACACCGAAGCGCCCGCCGGCACCTCCAAACCCAGCTGGGAGCGACGCCGAGGGTCCCCGCGACACCTTCCTCAAACCCAGCGACCGCAAAGAGGGGCCGGGGCCACCTCCACCCTCCTCCTTCTCCTCCTCCTTCTTCCCCACCTTCAGCTTTTCCTACCACCAAAGCAACTCGGCGAGGTGCCCCGGGGGGGGGGGACCCGAGGTGCTCCCCCCCAGGCTCCTCTCCCCTCTGCGCAGGGGTCCGGCGACTCCAACCGCGCCAGATGTTTTTGCAACTGCACATCTGGGAACAATCAACCCCGAAGAAAGAACACCACAGTCTCTCTCTTTCATTCTGCTAAACCCCACCTTCCCCCAGCCTTTCCCCCCTCCCCCAGCTTTTTTTTTTTTTTTTTTCCTTTTTCCTTTCTTTTCTTTTTTTTTTTTTTTCTTTCTTTTTTTTTTTTTTTTTTTTTTTTTTAAGCTCTCCAGTTGCCAGAGAGTGGGAGAACAAAGGGAATATGAAAGGATTCAAATTTTTTTTGGCCCTCAACCAAAGGTAAAAAACTTCTTTCCCCCATCCCCGTTTTCACACATTGCATTTTCATTAGGGTCCCGTCCCCCTCCAGGGGGGTGAAATAAATAGAAATATGAAAATAGCCCTTTCCTACAGTCTCTTTCCTGGATGGAGGAAAAAAATATACAGCTTCCTTCAGACATTAGGGTATTTTTAGACTTTTTGAAGTGGTTAAAAATCTATTACAACAGCTGTCAGGCTGCAAAGATGGGGACCCCCCTGCAGCTGCTGGCTCTTCAGCACCCCAAAAGTAAGGTGGGTTTTCTTGTTATGAGATTAAAAGGTTGAAACCAGCTTTTGCGAGCTCGCCTGCCCCGACCGATGAAGTTTTTAAGGCGACTTTGCAAAGCCCCAAAGATGGGGTTCAGCCCCATCTGCTGCTGGGGGGGTCCCCAGCATCCCTGCCTGCTGCAGGGGGCTGGGATGGGGGGGGGGGTCTCTCTCGCCTGGTCCTTACCGCTCTGGGTGTTAGTGCTGGTTCTGCCTTTGCCCACCGCCTTGGTCTCTTCGCTCTGCTTTCAAAAACTCCGAAATGAGAGTTAAAAAAAAACCCAAAAACCTCCTACCTCCAACATGGGGGATCCGCTGGGTCCTAATGCCACACCTGAGCCGGCCCCTTCCTACTCCCAAATTGCTGCCTGCCAGGGGGAAAAAATAATAATAATAAAAAAAAGAAACTAAAAATCAATAAGCACACATCGATGCAACGGTCGGCAGAGCTAAGGGTATTTTTCTTCCAGCTGGATGAATTTTAGATTGATTGTAAAAGCAAGGAGGGAGGAGGATTTTGCGCAGCGCCCAGCACACCGGTGTGCTTTAGGCCGCGTTTTGTGCTGCTGGAGGGTGAGATGGAAGGATCAAGTCAGGGCATCGCTCTATGATCTCGGCTGCTCTTGGGGAAACTGAGATAAACCCCCAAAATTTGGGAACCTGGGATCCCAACCACCCCCTCTTGACTCCAAGCTTGACGTCAGCGCTCAGTCTGCCCCCTGAGCCGTGAGGATGCTGCAACCCCACAGCAGATTTAAAGCTTTATCCCAGGATGGAGGGAAAAATATAATAAGAGAAAATAATAATAATAATAAAAAAAAAAAGTAAAAAAAAAACTTTTTTCCCACCCAGGCTGAGGACCTGATCTGCAGCCCCTGCGCGGCGGCGGAGCCAGCATTGCTGGCTGTGGGGCCCTTTTTTCCCCGGCTCGCTGGCGGCTTTCCGGAGAACGTGGGATGCTGAGGCTGGGGATGCTCCCCTAAACACCGTGCTCAGCGCCGGGGGATAAAAACCTGCAAGTTTTAGGCGTGTGGAAAACCAGCAACGGCGCAAACGGAGGGTGCTGGAGGGCTGGGATGGAGGGAGAAGCTCGCTGGAGACGGCCAGCGGCGTGCGCGGGGATGATGAGCAACGGTGATTTTTCACCCGTGGGGCAGGATTGAGCCCATTGCGCCAGGCCCACAGTCAGTTGTGCCGAGGTCTGAGCGTTTCTGCGGCCAGGAAGGGGTCTGACTGCTCTAAAAAGGAGGAGAAAACACAGTTTCAGACTAGGAGGAGAAACAGAGGGGTTCTTAAGGGGCTCCCATCTCCTGTTAAGCTCCATTTTCCAGCCTGGAGGATGGATAAAACCATCCAAACCACTCTGAACCCATCTAATAGCTGCTCCCATAAAGCTTCTGCCTGCCCCGAAATCCAGCATTGTCCCTGTCCCCAGCCCTGTTTAACCTCTAGCTAAGGGCAAGAGCTGCCTGTTAATAATTAAATGGACTTTGCAAAACCCCCTGAGGCTGGGAACACCCTGCAAAAAAAACAGCCAAGCGAAAAACCCCCCGTGGGGGAAAGAAAAAAACAAAGTACAAAGGGGTCCCTCACACCTGGGGGTCCCCTTGGCTTTTAAAATTGCCAAGCGTGGGCAAAAATCTTTGAGGGTTGTGTGATTTTTTTTTTTTTTTTTTTAAGCTCAGGAAGCCTGGTTTACTAACTCAAGCGTTGGCTAGGATTTCAGGAAACCTCTTACCTCTTCTTGTGCCTCATTTCCTGATCTAATCCCCAGCTCCCGGAGGGCAGAGAGGCGCCGCTGGCGCTCGGAGGGGTTTAGACTTTCCACGCAGGCGAGTCCCCGCAAGACCCAGCCTTCCATCCAGGAGCCAGGCTCGAGGGCGGCCGAAAAACCCGCGCAGGGCAACGCAGACAGCGCATCCCCCCTCCACGGCACCAGCTCTTCCCCTTTCGGGATGTGGCATCTCCACCTACCAGCTTTTCCTCTGCTGAAAGAGCGAGGCTTTGCAGTCTTGGCGAGGACACCTGGGTTTTTCCAGCAATTATTATTATTATTTTCTAGGAAAATCCAGCTGGAAACAAGCTCAGGGACTATTTATTCACTGCTGAAATCCCAGCAGTGCCATCCCTTGGCTCCCTCTCTGCTTTCAGGCATCGCGGACAGCATCTTCCAACCCAGATGAAGAATGAAGTGACCCTAAAAGCTCTTTCACCTGCTTCCCAACTCCGTCCGATACTTCACCTGCGCTGTCGATACCATCCTGCCCCAAGCAGTCCATCCACGCCAGGCAGCACAAGCAAGTGGTCAAGAAAAATAGTGTTAATTTATTAGACAACACTCACGACAGCACCATACGGAAACCGAAAGCGGTACACCATTCTCCCGACTGCACTTATACCTCAATGCACTGGAACAGAGTTCAAAAATAAAGAGACTCGGGTTTTTTTTTTTAATGCTACAAAGGTCCCGTCCGAAAGCAGAAGTGCTCTGCAGGAGCATCGCAAGCGGAGAGGGTGCCTGTGGCTGGTCCCTGGGAGGTGGGGATTGAGCAGCATCCTTGGCAAGCCGGGGACGGGACGGTTTGTAAACAGTTCCTACACATCTAGGGTGGTCGCAGGGGGGGAGGCGGAGGGGTTTTTTCACAGTGAGCGAAGACGTGAGGCTGGGGTGGGTGCCCTCGCCGTGAGAAGATCGGGGACCCTCTTCTTGGTGGTTCTGACCAGCCAGGAGAGGAAAAGGGAGGCAGCAGCCCCCTGCAAAACGGTACCAGAGCCCAGCGTGGGGAGATGGGTCTGAGGCCAGCACGGGAGCGGGACAGGTCCTGGAGGAAAAGCTGAGCTGCACCGTTTCTCCTCTTTTTCTGGACCTTCTCCCCCAGTTTGCTTCTCCAGCATCTCCCCCCGGCCACGGCCAGGGGACTGTCACGTGTGGATTCACAGCTGCAACGCTGAGGGTCTCCCCCCAGGAGCCTGCCCGCCGCATCCCTCGATTTAACCAGGAGAAATAAATAAATGACGGTGTCCGAGGGCTGGCAGGCAGCGCTCGCCGGCAGAGCAGGCAGGAGGGAAGCCCGACGCGTGCTATCTCACGGCGATGGACATCTTGGGTGTAGCCAAGAGCGGTTCGTTAAGGGGCGGCCAGGAAGGCTGCTGCTGGCTCAGCTCCTTCTCCAGCCTCTTGAAAAGCTTCTTGGATGCTTTCTTTCGGCGCAGCTTGCGGAGGCAGGAGAGCAAGCCGTGATCCAGGGCAGTCTGCAGCAAAGACGGGAGGGAAAACAGGTTTTGGCGGGGGGTGTGGATCTCGAGGAGAGGGCAGAGCCGACGCCGAGGTGAGCCCTGCTCCCTCCATGCCCACAGCTCCTGCAAAAGGGAATGTTCAGACAGACCCAAAAGGACAGCAGGCGTCCCCTGCGTGCCCAGTGCCCACCCTGGGCTGACCCACCTCCAGCACAAAGGCGGCGAAGAAGTTGAGGGCAGCGATCCCCAGCAGCAGCAGCTTGAAATTCAAGTCATCAATGCCCTGCAGCTTCAGCAGGGTTTTGGGGAAGCCCAGCGGGTAGAGGGTCAACCATATCATCAGGCCAAAAAGGAGGACGAGGACCACCAAGAATAGCACTGAGGGAGAGAAGGGAGAGGGTTGAGGAGGAGGATGAAGGTTTAATGTCTCTATCCACACGGCCAGCATCATCCTCACCGTTGGTGTAGAGTGGCTCCCGAAACGGGTACCCCTTGGACATGGCGACAGCCAGGATGAGGTACTGGAAACCCGTGACACAGAACAGGACCGTGTTCTCGTAGTTGGGCAGGTTTTGGGGAGCTGTCACCGTGCTGTTCAGCGGCACGTACCTGAGCCAGGCAGGGGAGAAGGCAGAGGGTCAGATGAAGCGAGAGGAAGGGAGAGGGTCTAAACACCGACCCCTTGTTCTCCGTGAGCATACGGGAGCCATTCGCTGCGAGGTGGCTGGATGTATCCTTGATGCCAGCTGGCACTGGCCAAAGCTAAGGACGAGCACCCGGGCTCCGCTGCCATCCTCTGCCCCGTTCCCATCACCAAACTCACACGAAGCCGCGTCCCTTACCAGCTCTGCGAGACGGTGATGAAGTAGCTGAGGACTTGCACGGTGATGAGCAAAGCCGTTTGGAGGAGGAGGCTGCCCAGCACGAGGACGCTGATCAACGCCCCTTGGGGCCGTTCCACTCCCAGCTCCTGGGCAGGACCAGTCCGGCCCATCAGCACCGCCACGGTGGTGGTGATGATCAGGTCGAAGAAGAGGAACTGGAAATCGCTCAGGTTGGTGTTGATCTGGGAAGGAGAAACCACCCACTCTCAGTTGGGGGTGGGGGGGGGGCTAGGAAAGGGACAGGTTAAAACTCAGCTGGGACGAGGTGACCCAAAGGCATCCCTGAGCATCGCAGGCATCCGGGCAACCGCGGGACTCACCGTGTAGAGCAGCAGGACGGACACGAACTGCACCAGGCTGTACAGGGCCATGTACTTAAAGACGCCGAAGGAGGTGACCAGCGAGCACCTGCCCTCCCTGCAGGGAGCAAGAGAGATTCACCCACCAGCCACAACACCCTTTCCACGAGCTGTCCCGAAGAGGGGACAGAGGAACTCATGAGACACCCCCCCCACCTGGATTTTATTCCCCCCCCCCCCCCGAGGCTCCCGGCAGCTCACCGGATGACGGTGGGCACGCACTCGATGTTGGCCACGCGGGAGGTGAACGGCGAGGCCACCGACGCCTCCGCCTCCGACAGCGAGATGCCCACGTCGGCCGCCTTCAGAGCCCCGCAGTCGTTGGCACCGTCCCCGCACATCCCCACGCAGTAGCTGCGGAAAGAAGGGGGCCGACATTTCACGGCGGGGTGGGGGAAAAGCCCTGGGTCTTCCAAGGTTGCACCCCCCCCCTTGTATTTAGGGATCACCCCCCCCCCATCTGGGAGAGGGCAGGATGTGATTTCGCAGCTGCCAACCACTCCAGCACACAAGAGAAGTCTCCGGGCAGAGGATTAACCCCCCTTGCCCTCCTCTGTCCCCCGTCCCTCAGGGCTGGAGGGGCTTACTCGAGCTCTTGCAGGCTGCACACTAGCTGAGTCTTCTGGTCAGGCGACATGCGGGCAAACACAGTGGCTCGGATGAGGATCTGCAAAGAGGGAAAGGCTCCGGGTACACATCGCAGCACCCCGCAGGACCCTGGTTATTTTGAGCTTCGTCAGCTCAGCGGGGCAGAGGGTATTTTGCACCAGCAAAAAAAAAAAAAAAAAACAAAAAAAATCAAACCCCACCAAACCCACCCTCAAGGCATTTTGTTTTGGAGCAGCGAGGCTGCGGCATGAAACCCCGGGGAGGTCAACCTTGCTGGCGGATCCCTCGCTGCCAGACTCACCTTCGGCAGCAGGTCGGCGAAGTGCTCGCAAACCACGGCGAAGGATTTGCCGTTCAGCGCGAAGTGGCAGGGCTGTGGCTGGAGGAAGCAGCCGTCCTGCCTGGGCAGACCCTGCCAAGGAAAACAATTCCTTCTTCTGCAGCAGGGCTTCGACTCGCGCTCAGATCCCGGCTGAGACCCTGGGCAATGGTCTGAACCAGCATCCTCAGCCGGCACGGAGCAGGAGGCAAAGCAGCTTTCCTTCAACCTTGTTTTCAGGCATATAAATGATGGTATTTTGGATAAAAAGCCTGCGTGACCGAGCCCTTCGTGCCAAGCCTGAAGCAGGCTCTGAGCAGCACAGTGCTGGCTGCATCCGATGAGGGTGTTTGGAGCATCAGCACCAGCCTGATGTGCTCCCAGGGAGAAAAAGGAGCAGGCTATCTTCTCCTTATTTAATAAGGACAGAATCGCACCCGTAATTTCCTCTAAGCGTAACGATGCTGCAAAAGGAGAGTCCTCCAAGGTAACCGGTAGTTTGGGCTCTCCAAACCCCGCCGAACCGTTGCCTGGGGACTCACCTCCGGCTGCTCTTCGCCCTGGGAGTGCTCGGCCAGGATGAATTTCAGAGCGGCGGGTTTGTCGTGGCTGGGCGGGGAGGCGTTGACGAAGATCACCCGCTCTTTCGGCTCCACCATGCGGCAGCTCCTGGCCACGTTCACGGCCGTCAGCATGTTGTCTCCTGGCAGAAAGAGGCGGCGGGGCCGAGGAGCTGTGAGCAGTGCTCGCTAGCCAGTGCTGGCAGAGTCCCGCACGGCTGCAAGCCAAGGAGAGCAGCTCAAACCTGCCGCAGCCCCTCTCCCAGCCAACACAGCCACGTTGGGGGTCCCTTTGCTTCCCCGTGTTTTGGGGGAGAGCTCCAAAATCGCATTTTTGCCCTGCCCCAAAGAAAGGCAGCAGCTTCAAACCCCGGCAGCGCTGCTTGCCTTGCTGCAGAACACCTGAAGGCGACCCCTAGGTCCTGTCCCCCCCCACCGTTAGCTGTGCAATTCGGGGTGTTCATGAGATACCAACATTTAAGTGATCGGTAGTGAAACTCTGAGCAGTTCTGTTGTTCAAGCTGCCCACCCCAGGTCTGTGGGTTCACACCTCACCCATGAAAAAGCAGCCTGCACCTTTCCACACCCTGCCTGCCGTGAGCCCCCCCGCAAGGCAAGGCAAACAAGCAGCAGGGATGCACAAAACCACGGTCCGGGAGTCTGTGCTGTGCCTCCCAGCTGCTCCAGGCACAGATTTCTGGTGGAGAAACCCTTCACCCCTTGCACAATGCCAAGGGTCGTCCGTGTCCCTGTTCCCCTCCCCAGGGTCACCTGTCACCATGACGGGGCGGATGTTGGCGTTCCTCAGGAGGTGAATCACGGGTGCAGACTCTGGCTTGAGGACGTTTTTCATGACGAGGAACCCCAGGAAGGTCAGGCCGCTCTCTGCAGAGTCCCTGGTGGGATACAACGAGCCATTCAACACCGCCTTCAACACAGGGCAGAGAGGATCCATCAGTATAAACAACTAAAAATCCACCTGGGGAGCAGCCAGCAATTGCTTTAGTATGGGTTAGGGTTTAACAACTTGTAAGCTGCTAGGATGGGGCAGGCTCCAGGGCAGCAAAGCATCCTGTGAAACACTCGGAGCAAACAAGATCTAAACAGAGGAAAAAGTTGTTGGCACCAACCTCGGGAGCTGCAGGGCCTCCTCGAAACTGGTCACTGTGCTCAGGGGTTTGCAAGCCAGACCCAAGACCCGGAAACCATCCGTGGTGTAGTGTCGCAGCATCTGGGAGAAATCCACGGGCACTGCCAGCCACGAGGGGAAAAACAAGGTCAAAACAGCTCCTGAATGAACCTGGGCTGCATAAACCCGGAGAGGGGAGCTGGAGCTGGAGCTCCCAGAGGACCGAAGGGCTTTGGATGCTCGTCCTGACTACAACCCCCTCCCATGTCTTCTGGCTCCTATTTTCTTGCCGCCCCCCACGTGGCTGGAGCTAATTCAAAGCCCTGTGCCTCTGGGAACTGCCCTGCAGCCTCACTGAGGATCATTCCCTGTGGGGCTGAGCTGCCGGGACGCAGATAGGTGACGGAGCAGCAGGACCAGCCGCTTCTCAGCTGGGGAGTGATAAAAAACCACCGTCCCCCAGCACGTACCCGTTTCCTTCCTGCAAAGGCTGGCCACCATCTCCGGCGCACCCTTGACGCAGACGTGGGCTGAGGCTTCCCCAGGCAGCTTCACCAGGACGCTCATCCTCTGCAAGGAGGAGGAGAAGGGGAAACGCCGGAGGATCCCCACGGGTGACTGGTGCTTCTGTGGAGAGGGATCGGGTGTCGGGGCCAGGCAGGAACTTTTCTGGGAGGTACAACCTCTCCAGGGGCTGGGAAGCACAGCCACCCTCTGAGGGTGCAGACCCGGTGACTTGGGGAACCTGAGCCACTCAGGTCCATGGGGCCTACCCTGTCTCGCGGCTGTTCTTCCTCCGGTGGAGGTTTCATCACAGCCAAGACCTTTGTCCCAAACTGCTGGAAGGTGGGCAGCTCACCTTCCTCCTCCTCCATCATCTCCAGGCGCTGAAACCAAGGCAGAGGCTGAGACGGCAAAGCCCCATCCACCCCACAGCAGCCCACGGATGGTTTTAAACGCCCCTTCTCCCGGCACAGCAAGATCCGTGCCACCTCCCTCTGTACAGACACGCAACTTTGCCACCTCTTGTCTTACCCAGCCGGTGGATTCCACCATCTTGAGGTCCACGGGGTCCCCGATGGGCTGTGCCCGCAGCAGTGAGACGGTGTGGCAGGAGGCCAGGGAGTAGAGCAAGGGACCGGCGGGCAGGCAGCGGGGCTCGTGGATGATGGGCGCGAAGTGGTTGTTCTCCAGCGGGACCACCCCCCAGACATCCAGACCTTCCTCTGTCAGGGTTCCCGTCTGCGGGGAGGGTGTGGTGGGTCCAGGCCAGCCCGCCCCCCGAGCTGGAAACCGTGGGGCCACGGCACCGCCCGAGCCTCACCTTGTCGAAGCAAACCAGGCGGATCTTCCCGCAGAGGTTGATGCGGGGAGGGCTGATGCAGAAGATGCCCTGTTTCTTCAACCTGTTCTGGGCGTAGATGGTGCCCACTGTCATTGCAGCCGGCAGAGCCGGGGGCACGATGACGGTGATGAGGTCGAGGGCACGGATGATGATTTGCCCCACGGGGACCTGGCAGGCGAGGAAGATGAGAGGCATCCCGATAGCCCTCACCCATCTCCACCCACATCGGCTGGCGGTCCCAATGCCAGCCTGCGCTCGAGGATCCACCAGCTCCAACAACCATACCTGGTTTTTAACCAAGATGAGGATGCTGTACAGCGTGCCGATAAAAGCTGCGCGGGAGGGAGAACGGGCTTGGTTACAAAGCAAAGCAGGTGAAGGGTGGGTTCAACCAATTAAGAGGAGCTCGGCTGCTCCTGGCCGTGCCTCCACGCTCAGACGTACCCAGGATGGAGAGGAACAGGACAAACTTCACAGCGTCCTTGTAGAACTTGAAGCTCACGGGTTTGGGGTAGAGGATGGAGCTGATGAGATCCCCTTTGGCCGTGCAAAACCCTGCGGGAGACGGGCAGAAGGTAAGCGCACGCCAAGTCACCGCTCCGAAGCTTAATCCCAACTTTCCCCCTCGATCCATTACCTGTGCGGGTCACCACGGCCAGCACTCCTCTGCCCACGTAGGACTTGGCTTGGATGACCTGTGTCCCACAGAACAAAGTGTGCCGCCTGTGCTCCTCGGGGGAATAGACGGTGCTGGCTGCCTGGCTGCCAGCCGGGAGGGGAGTTTTCATCACCGGCACGCTCTCCCCTGTGGTGAGGAACGTCATGGAGAGAGGCTGATCACCCGGGAGGGGTCAGGACCCAACCAGCCCGGATGGGAAGGGGCTGCCATAGGGCCACCAAGGTACGAGGCTTGTCCTCTCCCCCCAAAATCCCCAGTGAAAGGCGGGGTGGTGGAGGTGCGCGGCCCGCAGGGTGCCGGGGCTCTCACCCGTCAGCATGCTCTCGTTGACCATGCACTCGCCCGTCAGCAGCGCGGCGTCGCAAGGGACCAGCATCCCGTCCGTGGGGATGCTGATGCAATCGCCCGGCACCAGGTCCGCGGAGCTCACCACCATCTCCTCTGGCAAAAAAAAAAAAAAAAAAAGCACGGCCGTGCTCAGACCCGGCACCCCGGCACCGTCCCGAACAGCTTCACACCAGGAGCTCTCGCTCATCACGGGCACCACCGCACCCACCTCCGCTGGGGCGGTGGACTCGGACCCCGACAGACATCTTGGCCATGTTTTGCAGCGTGGCGCTTTGCTGCAAAGGGAGGGAGCAGTTAGCAGCTCCAAAAGCACAGCAGAGCATCCGTAAAACAGGTCTCAGGACCACAGATGAAGGGCAAGGAAACCTGCCCCACCAGTGGGGCTGGGGTTGTCCTCACCCAGCTGGGCTCAGAGCGAGTTCAACATCAGCACCAGAGGTAAAACAGCATCAGAAAACGTCACTATTCACTATAATCACTAGGGCTGCTTGTCCCAAATAAGTCCACCACCAACCTTTCTCGTCTCATAGAGGGACAGCCCTAAGGAGATGGTGGAGATGAAGAAGATGCAGGCGGCGTAGTAGTAATAGGCATCGCAGACCCACAGCACGATGCTGAACACTTGGAAGATGTAGAAGGGATTGAGCACCTGGAAGGGAACAGGGAGAGAGAGCAGGTTTGGGGTGGGGCGGGGCACGGAGAGAGCTTCCTCCAGCCCATCGTGAGACCTCCGGGCTCCTTAAGGAACAATTGCTTATGCAGAGGAGAAGCTGGCCCTCCCCCTGGGGCTGGGGCTGAACTAGCTGACTTCTTACAAACCCCAAATCCTCCCTGGCTCTGCTTACGGTCGGTACTGCTGAGGATGCTCAGCCACCTCTGCAACGATCTGGGGATGCTCCTGTCTGAGCTAAGAGGCAGGACAGGTCCCCTCCACAGCTGTATCAGCTCTGCCTTCTCTGATCTCTGCCCAAGATGCCTCTCTCCTCAAGTCCTTTCCTCCGAGCTGGAGAGGAAGGGCTCACAAAGCATTTGTGGTGAGGGACATGGAGCAGGGGGAGGATGTGCCCTGGGACAACCCGCTCTTTCGAAGCACGGCCCATAGAGGCACACCTCCTCCACCAACAGCCTCGCGTAGGATTTGACTGGCACCTCGATGAGGTTCGGCCCGTAGATCTTCCTCCTGCAAAGGGGAGAGAAAAGCAAGAGGAGAGCAAACACATGCTAGGGAAGAGCTGCGTTCCCTACCTGAGGGACCCTCACGCTGCCCAGACCTCCCCAGGAGCCCGGTTATGTGGAGAAGCCAAGCCAGGGCAACCCAGCCCAGCAAGCCGTCCTCTGTTTTGAGGTCTGAATGCAAGAAAAACCCAGGCTCCAGGATTCGCTGGCCCCTGGAAAAGCCTTGTCTGTGCTCCCCAGGGGTCCCACGAAGCTGGAGGATCCCTACCTGGTGTTGTGGTCTTGTTGGTCAAGGCCAGACTGGGAGAGGTGGAGATCTGCGCAGGTCCAGCCTTCATCCAAGACGCTGGCAAGCCCGAGAGGAAAGAAAAACAGCGGAGAAATGGAGTCAAAATCAGCAGGAGCCTGGCCCAGCAGAACAAACACCACCTTCAAGTCCTTGGTGACAAAAAAAAACACCCTTTAGGAGAGGGAGAGCATCTTGTTCCTCGGCCTCTGATGCTGCTCATGAGCGCCAAGGAGCGGGAACAAAAGGGGCACAGTTTGGAGAGCTGTGAGTAGCGCAGTGCGGGGGGGATCGTCCAGCACGGGGCAGCTGCCAAACTGCTTCACCCGGTTTCCTCTGGCCACAAAGACAGACAACATCAACAACCTGGGGGGGGAGAGGGAGCACAGCTTCCCCGACACAACCCCCCGGGGATGGCCTCCAAAGGCTCTGCAGCAGGGAGAAAAGCTCCAGCGCGGTTATGCGACTTCCAGCCAGGTCAGGACCATTCGAGGGGGGGCTGAGGGGCCAAGGAGAGCAGCAGAGAGATGTAGAGAGGTTTGCTGAGGTGGGGTGGGGGGGGACACAGAAAAATACCTGACTTTGCAGAACGCCTGCCGCCGTTCGATCCAGATGTAGCGCATGCCCTCAAAGAGGTAGTACCGCAAGAGGTTCTTCTGAGCAGAGCGGGACAGAACAAAATTAGGTGTTGGCAGGGACACGAGGGGAGCTCAGGCCAAGGGAGAGGAATTACGGGGTGGAGGTGGGAAGGGTCACCAGTGTTACCTCCTCCTTGTCATGAAGCTGGATGGTGTCCCGGCTCTCCTCCTCATCCGACACGCCGATGGCGATGCTGGTCCTCCGGTCCTCCAGCCTGGCCCCGGGGTGTTGCTCCAGGCTGCTCGGAGGGTGGAAAACCAAGGGTCAGTCCCTCCCCGTCCACCAGCGCCGCTGCAAACGCCCCCTCTCCCCACCCCCCAACTCCTCCTCGCAGCCAAAAGCACACGTGAGCCCCCCTGCATCGCCGCAGGGACCTGAGCCCGGCTCACCTGCCCTCGCCCAGCGACTCCGTGCGCACGCGGGTGGTGAAGCACTGGCCGAATCGGTCCTGCAACACGGGCACGGGTCTGAGCAGAGGGAAACGGGGAGCTCCCCGCGTGTCCCCCCCCCGGCTCCTTCCAACGGGGACAGTGTTGCAGGCAGGGAGGGAGTCCCCGGCCACCCGTCCCAGATGATGGCTGGGTTCCAGGGATAATAAAGAGAAATGCAAAGCCAGGCTGGCTGCTACAGAAAGGGAAAGCAGAGAGTTATTCCAGGAATAACGATTATTCCAGGAATAATTTGGCTGTGGGGTAACGCATTGCTTAATGAGATGGCAAACGCAGTTCGGGAGGGGAGGGTGACAAGCGGCAAAGAACGTGCCCAGGGTCCCCCTGGCAGGCCGGTGGCAGAGCCCAACCCCAACCCCCTGGACCCTGCCGGGGCTTTACCCTGATGATGACCCAGTCAGCCTGGCCGAGGGTGCAAGGCTTGCACTTCGCCTGCACCTCCAGGCTCGGCTTCCAGTGGAAGAGGACGAGAAGCAGCCCTGCCGTCAGCACGGAGCAAGCGTGGCACAGGGCCACCCGCCACGTCTTGGTCTGGTAGCCCGTGACCTCCTGAAAGAAAGGAGGTCACCTTTACGGGGACGTTTACCCATAAAATAAACTGAAATTAAGATTATCAAGCATCTAAATCCTAAATTGCTAAAAGCCCTAAGCCTCCTGGCGTGATTTAACACCAAGTAGGTGACAACCAAGTAGCTTTGGGGCTGGAAAACCACCATCTGGTACTGGCGTTGCAGATAATCTGTGGGTTTTGTGCCAGCCCTCCCCGAGCGTGCCTTCCTCCCCGCGGTGAAGCCCTCAGACCTACCATGTGGGATTTATCGGCGTCTCGCTGCAGCGTCCCGTACCCCGGCCGCTGGTTCCCCAGCAGCCTGCTGCTGTCTGCAAAGTCAAAGAACGGGTTAAAAAAAAAAACAAAAACCAACCAAAAAACCAAAAAACAGGGGAGATGATCTGGGGGGTCATTTAGGAGAGAGCCATGGTGATGGGCTCCCAGCTGCAGCGATGAGAGCCCCCAGATCACTCCCAGAAGGTGGCTGGACTCTGTGGCCCCTCCGCCATCCACCCTGGCTCCCGGGCCACCTCTGCTGTGCAGGGGGATGCTGCGGGCACGGGGCACCCCAGCGCTGCCCGGTCACCCTCCCGCGGCACGTGACAGCCATGCAAACGATGCCAAAGGAGCCCGGGGAGAAAAGCTGGCACGAAAACAGCGGCTTAGCAGCTGGGGGAAGGGAGCAGGGCTGGTGCAGAGCCAGGTCAAGCACAGGGAGAGCTCTCCCGGCCACTTTTCATGCTTGTTTGCTCCTTGTGCTTTCTCCTCGCGTGGAGGATGTGGCCACAAAATTTGATTTTTCCTGTTTTAACGATGCCCGGCACGGCTCAGCACCTCCGATTCCTGCTAGTCTCTGCTGCACCCCAATGCCCAGCCTGGGAGATGGGGATCACCGGAGGAATTGCCATAATCATCCCAGGTGGGATTTTAATCATCACCCTCTCACCCATGAAGTTGCACCCGCTCATGCCCTAAACCCATACCAGATTATAAACCGTGGTGTCCCAACTCTGGGATCTTAAAGCAGCATCGGGGAGATAACACGTGGCACAAACACAAACCCAGGAGCTAGTTCCCACCCTTGGGGCCAGCAGGAAATTTCCTGGTTAGGCTGGCTTCAGGTTTCCAGGAGGGCACTCAGACCGGCTTAACGATTCACGCGCCAGGGTGGGAGCCCGTGCACCCGTCCTTCACCAGAAAAGCCACCCCAGCTGGATTCCTGACACTCCCCGGTCTGACCCCAAAGCTCCTCTGCAGCTGACAAAAGCAATTCAGTAAAACCACCCCCCTGGTTTTGATGATCACCAGGGACGGGGTCTCCAACTCGCCAAGGGACCCAGTGGGTAAGCCAGCTCCCAAAATGCAGCCAGTGCTGCTTCAAGGGATAAGTTTCAGGTTGAGGAAGCGGAGGATGAGCCCAAGGGATGGTTTATTAAAACAAAAACCCTCCCAGGAGCCAAAACGAATGACTGCAAAGCTTGCCCAGGGCCTGCAAGGAGAGGAGACGTCAGATCTCCCCACTGCCAGCATCAAACCCTGCAAAAAGTGTCGATTCCAGGTGTTAAACAGGCATGGGAGGGTGAAGAGGAGCGTGTGCTGCCTCTCCAAAGAGCAGAACAAAGGAGAGGGCAAGGGGGTGCCTCGCACAAAGGCTCCTCCCCAGTGTTGTCTGCAGCGGTTGCAGGAGAGAGAAAGTATCAAAACAACCTGAGAACAACCCAATTTGCTTTCTGCACCTCCCTGAAGCCAGGCTAGGCAGCAAGCAGCACGGCCCACCTCTTCGCCTGAACTCTGCTGTTAGTGGCAACAGGAATGTTATGACTTTCTTGACCCTATAAGCAGCAAATCTTTTGGAGGAGCGCATGAGCACGGCCACAGCCGGCTCTGTCCCGCAGAGCTGCGGCTCTTGCACAGCCCCGTCCCCGGGGGGTTTTCTCACCCCCCGCTCCCACCCCGGCTGCTCCCCCAGACACGGCGAGCGAGGAAGGGCTCTCACCTTGACTCACCGCGCCTTACCCCGCCGGTTGCCCAAGCGGAGCCGTCCCCGGTTGGGATGGGACCGGTAGAGCCACCATCACCTGCCCGCCGGCGGGACGTGGCCGGGAAGCGTTCGGCGCCGGCGGAGGGGAGGGCAGAGCGCCGCGAAGCTGCGCGACCAGTTCGAATCGCGGCGCGGCGGCCACACCTCGTTGGCAAACACGGCGTGGGGGCACCCGGCCGTCCCTCCTCCAGCTCCCGAAGCTGGGGAGTTTTACCCCTGAGCTCACCTGCAGAGCCCTGGGGAAGACGTTTGCTTCTCTCTCTGCTGCTAAAAGGGGATTAAGGGGAGGGGAACAGCCAGGAGCGGCTGCAAACTTCAGGAGGGGTCAGCGATGCACCAGTCTGGCTTGCAGAGGGAAGAGGGGAGCCCCGATTCCCCGCTGATGTCAGGTTTGAACAGCCAAAAAGCTGCTCGAAGTCTCAGCACCTGCTCCTTGCAGCTGCCTGGCTCCGAGGAGAGTTGGTGCCTTGTCTTGCACCTCTCAGAGAACCACCACGTGTTCCTGCTGGCGAGGTTCGGGGAAAACTGGGGAGAAAGATGCTCAGGATGGCCTGACATCTAACACAGGTCCTAGCAGAGGACGTACCCTCTAACACCAGAAAGCAGAGCTGGAAACCTTGAGCCTGCACATCTCGTGGCACTGAACATCCCTCTGCAAAGCAGCCTCAGCCCTGGCAGCCACTGTTTGCAAACACCAGCGCTGGCCCTCGCCCTGAGATTCTGGCCTGAGACGCAGCCTTTCTCCCCAGCAGCACACACCCACTGAAAGTGGACGCATGCTGGCCCCAGAGATCTCCTCCGCAAGTTCCCTTTGCAGCCGCAGCCCTTTTACAAGCACCTTTCTTGAAGCAAACAAATCCCAAAGGGACTTCAAGATCTCCCTCCACTCTCATGGTTCTTGTTGGAGAAGCCCTGAGCATCTTCCATCCATCCATCCATCCATCCATCCATCCATCCATCCATCCATCCATCCATCCATCCATCCATCCATCCATCCATCCCTCCATCCATCCCTCCATCCATCCGTCCATCCCTCCGTCCATCCATCCGTCCATCCATGCACCCCTCCCTCCCTCCCTCCCTCCCTCCATCCATCCCTCCCTCCCTCCATCCCTCCATCCCTCCATCCATCCATCCATCCATCCCTCCCTCCCTCCCTCCCTCCCTCCATCCATCCATCCATCCATCCATCCATCCATCCATCCATCCATCCATCCATCCCTCCATCCATCCATCCATCCATCCATCCATCCATCCATCCATCCATCCATCCATCCCTCCATCCATCCATCCATCCCTCCATCCGTGTGGGCTAGAGGTTGAACGCAAGAAGAGGAAGGTCCACCCAGGGAGGTTCCTGCTCCAGCCAGCAAGGTCTGCTGCTCTCTGGTCGATGGGATGGGGCTGACAAGGTCAATCCAGGCCCTTGGGAACAGGGACATGGAAAATCAGGATGAAGCAAAAGTAATGAAGGAGGGATGGATGAGGAAAGGAAAATGGTGCTTGGGGCACGCAGGGCAAGATTTAACTCATGAAGGTCTTTCAAAGCAGCCCTCAAAGCTGTAGTTTGGGATGGGAGATGTCACGGCCAGCTGCAAGCCCAGACCCAGCGAGGGGTTGGGATGAGATGGCGTCGATTCTCCTGCCCTTTTCACCAAGCCAACGTAAACTCATCTGCGTGAGCCAACCAGAGAGAAACACGCTGCCCTGCTTGCCACGCAGCCGGAGCAAACGTGTTTTACCAGGCGGTCTGGTCCTGCCCAGACGTGGCGGCATCTGCGGGGGGAGCGCAGCCAGAAAAACGCCCCAAGGCTGGAAGAAACAAAAGGATGAGACAGGCTTGATACAAGGTGAGGATGTGGAAGACAGGGATTCAGGCTCTGCCGTTGCTGGTAACCCTGGGGAAATCATTCTCGTGCATCAAACCCTTGAGATGGGTGAGCAAATAAAGTCCTTGTAGGCGAGGTGCCTTCCCAGTAAACCCGTCCACCTCAAACTGGTTTTGGTTTGGATTTGTAGGGAAGGTTCATCCATGAGGAGGAAGCTGGCAGCACAGCCAGCGTTTCCTTGGCCACGTGCTGACGACACCGGCTGAGACACCGGCGGTCAAACCCTTCCAGCAAGGCGGGTTTCTCCCCCACCCCAGGCAGGCATCACCCTGACCTCTCCCGCACCCAGTTTTGCAAGACCTTGCCGTACGCCAAAACCACCTGCCAAGCTGAAGATAAAAGCCCGGCGGCTTCAGAGAGCATCCTTGCTTGGGCAACCACTGGCAAGGGGGGGGAAAGGAAAGGTCGTTTATATCCAAACCCCACATTTTCCCCAAATTCTGGTTAACTAAAGGGCTCTTACCTGCCTTAGGGAAAGAGGGGCTGTGCTCCTTGCAGCCCATTGTGCCCATGTTGCTGTGTTAAGCCAGGATTAGAGAATCTTCTGCCTCTTAAACCAGCCTCCCAGGCTGGCAGCGTTAAACCTGGGTACCCTTAAATTAAGCGGCGCGGGGGGGAAAAAAAGGGTGAGGTTTAATCTCTGAGTGCTGCTACGCCGCAGAGCTGGAGCAAAAGATGGGTGAAGGGGGTCCGAGGGGCTGTGAGCAGGGTCACCACGGTGGCAGGGACGCCGGTGGCAGGGACCACGGCCGCGGCACAGCTGGGCAAGCCCCACGGAGCCCAGCCCGGGCCCCCAAAGAGCCCTCCGACGGGTGGCAGGTCACACTCCCCCCTTTTTCCTGCCACAAAACTCTTCCTCTCTCGTTCCCGCGTCGCCTTTGAGAAACGACTCGGCGCTGACTGGGGCAAATTTGAAAGGAAACGGGTGAAGGTTGCACAGGCTGCACCACTTCCGTGTACCCTGGCATGAGAAATGCTGCCAACACAAGGGATAGAGGGCACCTCGGTTGCTTTCTCCAGCGCGGTATCACACCCAGCACTAGGCTGAACCCAAAGCCACGGTTTTCAGCCTCTTCTCAATGCCTGGATGCCTCTTCCCCCTGCCAGCCTCAACCCTGCAAAGGGTCTTTCGGCTGTAAGGCCAAGCCATGGTCAACACCGATGCCCATTCTGGGCTCATTTACCCAACATTGCGTTTCGTCCTTTATCAATGCAAGAAAACCCCAGGATTGCTCTACCCATAGGGTCCGAAAGGCAGCGTGGTCCTTCACAACCCTAAAATCACCCCCGTCTCCACGATGCCGACCAAAACCACCGCAAAGGGATGCTTCGCTCCAGCTGCAGCCCCCGGCGAGCTCGGAACCTCACCGAACGCGGGGAAGCAGCCCCCGGCGGGCTGCAGGGGTTCAGCCCCCGGGGATCGGCGGTCTCCGAGCATCCCAAAGCGACGCCTGGGTTTCGTTTCCGCACGTTTTGCAGGGATCGCTGGGTGCACGCCTCAGCGCAGAGTTTTATGCACCGACGCTCAGCACGAGCGGGGGCCAAGAGCTCATGTCCCGACAGGGTGAAAAGCAAAACAGTCCTGCGGTAACGAAGCACCGACTAAAGGCTGCAACATCCCGTGACAGCAAAACCACAAACCCGGTTAACCGCGGCCTCGCTGAGCGTTTTGCAGACCCACAGCACCCCAGGGTGGGCAGGGGCTCCCGTGGGACATTGCTGTGCTCCCCCCTCTGCTCTGCCACCCCCAAATCTGCGATGCCAGGGAGGGGGGCAGCACCCTGCTTTGCACCATCCCCGTCTCCTCCTTTTGCAAACCTTGCTGGAGGGGAAAATAAAGCAAAATAAAGCGAAGCTGCCCTCCCTTCTGCACCCTGCATGCAGCCCCCCCCTTTCCTGCACAGCCCAGGGGATGAGCGCACACCCCGTGGGGCCACGCACGATGAAACGGCAGGAACATGCAGGTTACAACCCCCGTGGGGCTCCCCGGTGCAAGCCGGAGGGGGGGGTGGGGGTCGTGCACACCGCACCCCCCCCCCTCCCTCCCCTCCCCCCCGCCACGCGTGGGACTCCTCACCTGAGCTCATGGCGGGCGGCCACGCGTGGGGCCGGGGTCCGGGAGCCCCGGGACCGGAGCCCCACGCACGCCCAGCACCACGGCGCGCGGCGGAAGGGCGGCCCGCGGGGGCTGATGGGACTTGTAGTCCTTTACACACACACCCCCACCACCACCCAAAAAAAAGAAAAAAAAGAAAAAAAAAAAAAAGGCAAAGAAACACCCCGAGTGCGTTCCTCCGCACCCACGGGGTTTTGCAACCAGTCCGTGGCAAGGCAATGCACCGGGCTCTGCCCCACGAGGGGGGGATCTGCACCCCCCACCACAAAATACTCAGGGTCCTGACCCAAAAAAGGGCTTTGCACCCCCACATTTTGCAAGGAAACGCACTGGGCTTTGCAGCCCCCCCTCGTTTTTCTCCCCCCTTTCTGGCACACGCCTGCACGCTCATGAAGAGCCAGGGGGCAAGCACAGCTCCTGCTGCAGCACGGCTGCCTCTTGGAAAGCTGCAGGAAGGAGGATTTTGAAGCCAAAACCCAGGTGCAGACCCAAATAACACCCCTAGAGCAGACCCCTGCACCCAAAGCTGGGCTTTTTAGGGTTCCAGTTGCAGCAAAACCAGCCAGAAATAGCCAACACCTGCGAGAAGGGCTGCTCCTGCCCACCACCACACTCAGCAACTGCTCTGCCCCCTGTACCCATCCTGGCACAGGGGAGTTGTGGTTTCTTTCACAGGAAGGCAGATAAGGCCAATGTTTGCTTTGGAGGTGCCTCAGGTAGAGCCTGTGTTTCCTCCCGAAGCCAAAGGTGAAGCTGATTTCATTAATCAGACCAGAAAAAACCTCAGCCAGTGCAACAACAGTCAAAGCAGCAAGCAGCTGCCTTCAGTTGCTGGGCACCCTGCTGCATTTCCATCCAACCCTCCCCTCAGCAAGCTTGCCTAGCTTTTAAATAAAACAAGGCAAAATCCCAGTTCATTGGTGTTCAAAAAAACATTCACTGAAGAGAAGGGAATAGTGGGACTGGGGGTGGTGGGGTGGATCACAGAGGTCTTTATTCAAGCTGCTGATGGGAACCCCTTGGATTTAAGTGAGATGAGTACGAAGCACGGGGATGCAATAGATGCAGAAGTAGCAGTACCGTGGGACTGACACATCCCTGCTTGCTCACATCAGCAGGGGGGTCTTCACCACAGGACCTACACTCACCCATCCTTAACCACAGCTCACCTGAAACACAAAAAAAGGGGGCAATTCAGTGACATGGAAGAGCAGCCCAACACACGTGGATTTTACATGTAAAAATCCGACCTATGGAAGTCTGTCTCACATCAGCCTTTGGGAAGGAAGACATTAGCTCCAAAAAAAGTGCTATTTCTGCAAATGAAAATTAACACTCCAACACATCAGCTTGGCTTCTTGAGAGAGCCACAAGGTTCCCTTACTGCAGGATAGATAAATGGAAAACCAGGGTCACTTCTGGGATCAGCCTTTGCAGAGCTGTACACTTTTTATGCCACCTCAATCTTCATCTGCTGCCCACTAGCAGCATCCTGGTTACCACATCAGGGCTCAAGCAGCATCACGACATTTCTAGAAGTTTTTAATAGATTTGTCTAAATGTAGTAAACAGCAAAATAGAAAGCGTTTCTTCTCTCCACCCCCTAAGACTGCAAACTGCTTCAAGAAACAACCTACCACAAATATCACAAGTTTGGGAAATCGGGAGCTAAACCACACTTGTACTAGAGCCAAGAGAAAGATTCAGTCCTGTTCTAATAAATCTCATTTACTTTAGGACTTGGAATAAAAATTAAGCACCCCAGCAGGGCAGTGGCAAGACACCTCTTTCCTAGCGGCACCACCACAGGTATTTTGCCACATGCCTGCAGCCCCTGAGCTCCAGGTGCTCACTTTGCTCCTCACCAAGGAGCCCAGGGCATTTCAGAACAGGGTGAGATTCTTCCAACATTCCTCTTTCCCAGCCACTTGATTGTTTTCTTGCTAATTGCCACAGGGCTTATTACTTGCAGGTCTCTTGCCACTGAGGCATTTGCTTTCAAGACATGGGATCAAGGTCACTACAGAAATTCTGTCTCTGTTCATATCTGCTGTGGGGCCACTTTCAAATCCTCATCCCACAGCAGAGCCTCAGAGGTGACGCCAACTGCTCACACACTCAAAACTGCAAACCAGAGATGTCAAATACTGTTAATAAAGTAACAACTCTCATTTGTTCTTTACAGTATTTATTGTACATGCAAACCTATGGGAAAAATACCAAACTCCTTGCTGGAACCTTCTCTTGCTAAATCATGTATAAATTACTTTCAGGTAAAGCACGTTTGCACATTACACTTCCAGTTAGGGAACAGCATTACGCAGCGGTTGCCTTCTCTTTGTAAGTTGCCATCATCTTCTTGATCTCAGCAATTGCTTTGCCAGGGTTCAAACCCTAAAAAGGAAAAGTTTGTTAGCTCCTCTGGAAATCAGCACATCGGAGCATCCTGCCCCCTTGCCCCAATCTAAGTCACAGTAAACTCAGAAATACACGCTACTCAAAAATAGCTGGCAGAGAAGGTGCTCAGCAACCCGTTTTTTTTTCTTTCATAAAAGCTGGAGTTCAGCCTAATATTGTTTCTTCTCAAATGCTGGGGGGTTACAGGATACCGAGGGACAGCTCTCAACAGCCTGCTCCAGGCAGGTTGAGCATTTATGGTATGCAGAGCCCCTCGGTTAAGGTGTGTTGATGCACATTTGCTGCACTCCAGCCTCAATTTACAAGGGAAGAGTAAGGCAGCCCGGAGTAGAGACGCAGTGCTGGGAGCTCACCTCCTCTACCTGGAGGCTGAACCAGCAGCACTTCCCACTGCTTGAAGAAGAACGCTCATTTGACTTTGGAGGATTGGTTTTAATCAGCAACGCGAGGATCAAAGAGAAGAATGAGTGGCTGAGTGATAGGAACTTTTAATAAAGCTCAAGCAGGACTAAATTCAACACTTTTACAGGTGTTACGAGATGAATTCTGGAGGCAAGAAACTGCCTTAAAAGCTTGACAGTGACAGTACAAGAGATGTGCTTTTTCTCCTTGTCTGAAAACGCTGTGTATTGGAGGACACTATGAAAGTGAGCAAGAACATTAAGTCACAAGGTGAAAATGCTCCTCACACAAAAGCCAGCTAAGCTTCCCTAAGAAGGTTTTTCTACAATATAGACACATGTTGCAAAGGCCTTTAATCCTGCAGCACTGCTACCAAACCAAGCATGCCTAATCTCAAAACGAGAGGGGGATCACAGCTGCCTTGCACTATCTTTGTGCTTACAGCAGCAGCACTGCAGGACAGAGAACCACCAGGAAATTACCCCAGTGCAGAGCTCACCATGCAGTCTTTCCGGGCTGATCAAGACAACAGCCAGGATTTAGAGCATGTGATTGGAAACATGTTATTAACCATAAACATGTCTCAAACTTGACACCAAGCACTATTTCCCTGTACTACATCCGTTCCTACACGGAGACAGATCTTCAAGTCAAACCTTCACCTTTAGCTGAACTACAGTTGACACCAGATCACAAGCTAGCTCCCCATACAAAGTGGGGAATTATCTGTAGTCAGTGAATCACTTTAGAAAAATACATACAAAAATCAGCATGCACTGCTTCCGACAAACACATCAACCCAGATAAATCCCAAGCATCTCATCTTCCTCACATCTGTGATCCTCTCAAACATTTGCCTTCATATTTCACAGCTCAAGCAGAATTACTCCACCACCAGGTGCAAGCAAAGGCTGGAGAGAAAACAGCACAGCTGGCAGGAAAGCAAAACTCAATAACCTGCCCAGCAACAGGCACAAGGTCATAACAAGATGAGGAAGAGGCATGCTCTGATTTGGGCAAGCTTGCTCAGTTTTTGAAAGAAATACCAGAGAGGACAGACCATTTGGGAAACGCCCTGATGGCAGGACATCAGCACAAAACACGTTCCCCAAGTGCTGAGGGCTTGCCATTGTCTTCTCCATTACACAAGTTGCACAATACATCGGGGATAGCTACTGCTGTTGAAGTTTAAGGTTGTACTGTGTGTGGGTTAAGCACATTATTCAAAGCTCATACCACTGACAGGACTAGGCAGGACAAACTTCCCTGTGCTGTGTCTGGCAGTGTTCCTCGCATGACCAGCACCCACCCTACTGCCACACTCCTAAATCCTGGAAATAGACAGGTGCTCAAAGTCACAGCCTTGCTGAGGAGGAAGAGATGTTCCTGTGATGTGTAATACTAACTTTGCCACATCCTCTTGTACAGTCACTATCATAAGCACAACTGCTGGTACCTCGCCATGTTTCAAAAGGCTGAACAAGCCAAGGCAAGCCTGAGGAAAACAAAAGCCTAAGCGGGTATTTTCCTATTGGTTTCAAGCAGGGTGCTTGGAAACAAGTCAGTAGCCCCAGAAGGGACACACGCAGGACACACACATACCTTAGGGCAAGTCCTTGTGCAATTCATGATAGTGTGACAACGGTAGAGAGAAAACGGGTCTTGAAGCTGTGCCAGGCGTTCCTCTGTGTAGTCATCTCTGGAGTCAATCATCCAGCGATAGGCCTGAAAGTCAGTGGCATTGGACCCACCAAATGCTTCTTCAAGGTGGTGTAATCAGCGTGAGATTTTAAAAAGCAACACCTAGCTCAGGAATTCTGCTCCAGGATCTGGACTACATAATACTATCCCAGCTGCTCTTGCAAATATTTGCACTGCTTTTAGACGGGGAATCCCTCAGCAGTCCCACGTGACAAATGGGATCCATCCTTACCTGCATCAGTACCGCAGGACCCAAATACTTGTCCCCATTCCACCAGTAACTGGGACAGCTGGTGCTGCAGCAGGCACACAGGATGCACTCGTAGAGTCCGTCCTGCACGGGGGTGGGAGACCACAGTCAAGCCACTCCAGAAACCCATGATGAAAACTTCAGGTTTTTTTTAAAAGAGGGGATTTACAAGAGCACATGCTTCCCTTTCCTCTAGTGACTTGCTGCAACAGTGCCTCCAAAAACCTTACACTGAAGCAGCACTGCTGGAAGAAAGCAATTCCTACATGCAGGTCCTCTGAAACAAGATGCATGCAATCCTCCCAACTCAACCCATATGATAAGCTGGGGTTTTGTGAAAAAGCATACACTGAAAATGTGAAAATGGCTTGATCTTCCTGCATTCCGTCCTTCCAGCCCGTCCCAGTAAGCAGCTAAGAAAAGGAACAGATATGTAACCCATTAAAAATCCAAGGCCATGTTACAGAAGAGAAGAGCAAAGTCTGCCCAACAGCCTAAGTGAGAAGAACTCATAGTTTAGCACGTGCTTTGAGGGGATCCCCAAGCACTTACAGAATGGGAAGGGTGCAAGCCTTCAGCCATTTCACTATTTTTATAGACATTAAGGCCTTTATATTTCAGGCACTGAAGAAAAGAAAGTTAGACTTATGTGGAGGTGACACTGGGCAGAAGACAAACTCTGAGGAGCAGAGCGTCTCCCAAGTCTCCCAGTAGCTCAATCAACCCCTCAGGCTAAAATAGGGGTCCAGTCTGGCTGAATTTATGCATCTGAAAGCTGTTTTGGGACAAAGGTCTCAGTCTCAAAAGATACCTGATGCCAGAACTCCTGAGAGCTTGTGACAAATCTACTGCATTAGTCTTTTGGAAAGCTAGGCAAGTCAGAATTACCTTCTCACCCTATATTTGTCTTATTTCTAATTGTAACATTTCAAATGATTGATGATTTAAGGAAAAAGGTGGGAGTTTTTCACATGGCACTGTATCCAAGTTTCTCCTGCACACAGGCTGTTCTCAAAGCCAGAGAAGTTTCAGCAGTGAGGTAAAAAGCAAGTTCACTAGTTGCGAGAAAGATTCAGCCAGCTCTTGCAGTTGCTTTTGGGTTTGCTTATTTCTACTCAAATGAGACATTGCTTTATGAAAACCATGCGAAGGGAGAGTCCCTTTAGCCCCTTCATATGGATCACACAACATTATGAAGTCTTGTCCTTGCACAGAGGTTCTTTCAGACTGTAAAATCCTATGGCTGTTAAGACATCACAGCACCAGTTGCACAGTGCTGCCGACATCTCAGGCACGTGAGCCGTCTATTCATCGACGTTAACTTCACAGCAAACACACATAATGGAAATCTTTCAAAGATAACTGCAGAGAATCAGGCTGCAGCTCACATGTTCTCATTGAATCCTCTTTAATCAGCCTTCCTCTTTGCTGTTCACATTCACCCCTCTTTTACCACTTGCCAAAAAATCGAGTCTGCCCGCCCACTTTGCACCTACTCGGTGACAGCACCACAGCAACGATCACAGCTGAGCACTGACAGGCCGAGCTTTGAACTGTGAAGCAAGTGATGGATCTATCAAAACAGGTCAGAGGCAAAAGAGAAACTACTGATTTAATGATCCTTACTGTGGCAGCCAAGAAAATCCAGACAAGAACGTACCCACACGATAAGCTTTTTAAAAAGCTATTATGTCCCAGCTGTTCAAATGGCTCCTCAGCCACCCTTCAGCTTTATGCAGTAACTTTGGACCAACATCACCACATTCCCAGAAAATCCCCTCAAAATAACGCCGTGCTCAAGACAGACATCCAAAGACTTGCACTAACACATCATGCTTATGACTCCACATCCAAAAGGGTTTAGCTTTTGCCAGTAGTTTTTAGGGCTGTAAAACCCAGCAAGCAGCAACATGAGAGCACTGCTTAGCATGCTGCAGCTAGACAAGACAGACAGTGCTGAGCCCGAGAGCCTACATGCCAGCATAAACTGCAGGGCCTTATCTCCACTGGAACATTCCAAGCCCGCAGCCTTCACAATGGTTATAAAAACACACAGTTTTGCAGTGCAGACAGCGGAAGTGAGATCAGAGTCCCCACCGTGACCGCGACTGCATTTCATTAGCAAACGTTACCCCTAGCAATGCAGGCATGCCATGACACTGCATTTCAGGGAGCAGATTCCACCCACGTCAGGCTTTGAACCAGACAGCTTTGTCATTAAAGGAACTAGAAGCTACTGCATGTTAACATTTAACCCTGGTCTTATCTGGAAGGGATTTCAATGGTAGAAAAGAAGCAGTAACCAGTTTCTGACGGTCTTCTATGGACTGCAGGTACTGTTCCTTGCCCTGTTTCGACTCATCCTTCTTCTTCAAGTAAGGCTCGATGGATTTGTACTGTGCATAGAAGTTACTCAAGTCCTAAGAGTCAAAAGGCAAAGAGGTCACATTTATTAAATTGATGCATGAGAGATTGAACATCTGCTACTGCTCCAACAGAAGAAGGCATCTTCTACCTTAACCTGCCACATTCCTCCAAATGAGGACAGATTTAGTCACTGCTGTGAAGCTCAGACCCACCCAAGCCAGAAAACACCAGCAGGAGTAACAAGTAAATTGTGAGACCTGATCTTGGCACCTCCCAGCGTTACCCTTTCCCACCCAATCTGAACCCCACACTGCCTGGAACGGTGTCACAAGCTGACAGAGGCAGATACTCACCGGAACAAGGTCTTTCACCACATACATGTGGGGGAGAGGGTAGATTTTAGTGATCTTGTTGAGATCAGGATCGATTCTTTTGATACAAGCCAGGGTGTTTCCACCTGCAATGTTCATAGCGCAAGAGCCACAGATGCCTGAGTGGGAGAAAAAGAGTAAAGCATTCGATATTTACTCTTATCCTACTTGAGGAAGATTCTCTTGGGCCCAAACATGCCCCTGGGTTGTCTTCAAGAAACTCTGTACGTGACAAGGAAAACGCCAGAAGTTGCCATTGGGCCAAACACATTGCTATTTAAATAAAGAACAAACATAGGAGTCACTTTCATTACAGCTCACACATTCTCCATGTTGGACTTCCTTCCACAGCAGAAAACAAGCGGCTTGGACACTTCATCCCTTTTGCATTATTCATTAGTTTTACATGATACTTAGGGTGGGGAAAACATTTGTTCACAAGTTTGAAGCACAAGTTCATATTGATGTGAAGCAGCTTATGCTAAGATTGTAACAGGGGAACCAGGCACATCCCCCATTAGCCCTATAGTTACGGTCAGAAGCACCCCTGAAGGTCAAGAACATAAAACAAAGTCCTTAAGAAAGAAGCTTCTTTCTTTGCCTTCTGCAGCAGGATAGAGCAGTGCCATAAACTGCGTTCATTAACTCCCGAAGGTGAGAGGACAGGCACTCACCAGAACAAACAGCATATAAATAGCTTAACAAATGGATTAAATGACAACACTAATGATCTTCCAGTAATAGAAGGATCAAATGAAGCCCAGGAAGGGCCAAGGTTTGCAAGAAAAATCACTGCAGAAACCGTCGCAGATACTGCTCGAGTCAGGAGCTCAGGTATCCAATTCAGACTGATGCTTAAAACATCATATTAGAAACAAAACAAATGTTGAAAGGGCAAAACTCTAATTTCAGAGGATTTGACACCTATCAATTGATAGGAGTCAGAGAAATGCCACTGCTCCTCACATTGACGAGCTAGTCCTCCTCAGCATCTGATGCACTGGCCTTCCCCTCACTGCCAGAAAAAGGCTGGCACTTGAGCAAGGTTATTCCTCCCACTCGAGAAATGGTTACAAGCATTTTCCAGTCATCTGGAGAGGGAAAAAGAGGGCTGCAGACACAGGCCCATGAGTATGCAACAGGCATTGGGGCTTTTTTCCTGCATGGTAGAAGCGGGACAAGATTGAACCAGCCCAGCTTGAAAGTCTGTCTTCATATTCTCAAAGTATAATTCCAACAGTGTTGGCTATCTAAGTATCAGACATCGAGAACCACCACACCATATGAAATTCCTCCACCTGCCATGCAGATTCTATAGGAAACTACATTAGCTGCATTAAAGCCTACATTTTATTTAGATCCAAGTCAAAACATCTTTAGGCATCAATTGCACCTAAATTTCTCATACTTGCAAACCCACCTAATTAAATCAAGTCATTCCATAAAGGCATCCTCCCTCCCCGCATTCCCACAACTATCATTTCAAGCTCAGCATCCCAACATTACCCATGAATTAGGAATTTTTTTTTTTTTTTTTTTTTTTTTACTGAGAAAACCACCTGGACAGGTAAGTTTTAAGGCAGTTAGAGACATGCTGATTTGTACCTGTATGAGAACCAGCCGGTCGCTCTGCAAGGTAAAACCACCAGATGGCCTTTTCCTCAATCAATCATTTAGCTTAGTCAAAGGACCAAAAAAAGATTCCTGAAGCTATTCCTAGAAGTCATAAGTACTCTCCCAGTTACACCCTTTCTTATTCCACAGCAGCACTAGATAAAGCAGCCCCTACAATTCATTCCCATTTGCCACCTCTGCCCCCTCAATTTTGCTGTTATCTCTCTTGCTCTGTTTCCCTACACAGTCCATCACTGGAGGGCAGCAAGATGAACAAGATTAGGTCAGAAACAGGAACGACTGGGGCTGTTTAAACATATTGCTCACAGCTCAGTGTTGTGCGATTACACCCTGTGAATATGAGCTTTAACTTTACTACTTGATTCATTGAGGTATTTCATATGCAGCAGCTGGAAGAGGAGAGTGGTACACTGCCAACAACCCTGAAGTTTTCTAATGGTTACACGTACACTGTCAGTAACAGTCTTCAAGGACAAGCTACAGTTTAGCAGGCTGGAAAATCCTTCTTACCTTCCCTACATGATCTGCGGAAGGTCAGAGTGGAGTCCAACTCATTTTTAATCTTGATCAGAGCATCAAGCACCATAGGCCCACATCTGTAACAGAAAAAGTTGGTGAACCTGTATAATTCCCCCCAGCTTCAGTGACTGATCTCTAGCAACGCAGCTAAGCACCACCTAAAAGGACATTGATCAACTACAATTAAGAATACGGGGGGGTTTTTGCCAATCCCAGGCAACAAGACAGAGATCTCTTGATCCTGAACCATTTGCTTCCATACACCCCCCAGGTCAGGGTGAGAAAAAAGCTCTTTCTTTTGCTGATGCCCAGATCTGGCTCAGCTGGAGACAGTTCAGACAGCACAACTGAAAACCAAGTGCCTTGCTACCAACTTTTTCCTTTTGGGTCAGGTTTTAACAAGTCTGCCTGTCCTCATTAGTCACAACACGCAGTGCTGCAGACAAAAACAAACAGTCCTGGACAACTTATGTAATTTTATATATGCTAGACAAGGCAACACCCAGAAATTATTAACTGATGTAAGTCACACAAAAATTTGAGTTCTCCGTCATGTGCTTCTTAAGTAGGGAGCTGTGTGGCTTTGTAGCTGAAGCTTTCAGAAAAGGCTTGAGGTGAATTCTTCTAGCAAGAGCACAGCAGCAACTGGAGCTCAGGGAAATCAAGGTACACATGCCCACATGAAGGTTTCTGCACCACAGGGAAAACTGCACTCCTTCGCAGAATCAGATAAGAGCTTTCTTAGCCATAGCTATACCAAAGTGTGCAGGTGGTTACTACAAGTTTAACACGACCTTTAAATCAGAAGTATCTAAGTGTGAAGTAAACTACGAGTTGATAAAGCTTCCACCTTATCTCCCAGGTCTGAGACTGAGTTTTACATATTTGTAAAACAGTTTCCTTTCAGAATATGCCCCCAAATTTTCCATATAAATAAAGCTTAAAGTCATGAACACCTTCAAGTCTTCAACACAACTCCCTCATAGAAGTCACAAAACTAAGTGACCATTTTACTGCTGACAGTGATTGAGACACTGGCATTCAGTGTAGTTTTATTTGCCACACTTCGCACCAATAGGTGAGGGAGAAGAAAACAATCCCACATGATCATAGTAAGATTTGCTTTATCAGGAAATAACATGATCATACCTGTGCCAAGGATAAGGAACCCTATAAGACAGCTGAGGCACCACCTCCCCGGCCACCCCAACATGGTTTTAGCAGTCCCTGAAACTTAATGAGACTGCTGACACCTTTAGCTGTCAGCTCAAGTGCTCCTCAACCACCCTCCATTATCACTTGTTAAGATAACCTGCGTGCACACACAGCCCCAGTGCACCTGCCTGCCAGCAAAGCCTCTCCCTAATGGGGCATACTCACTTATTCAAATCCACTTCATATGTCTGCATGCGGGGCTTGTCCCCAGGCTTATCGGGATCCCATCTGTAGATGGCAAACTTCTTGATACGGGGCGACACCGCAGCTGCCGTCTGCGCTCCCCGACACATCTGTATTCAAACAACAGCAAAACAGCCCTTAGGGCGGTTCCTAGCCAGGCAAAAAAGTGACCTGAGGCCACATGTTTGGGGTGAGAGCTGCAGGATCCATCACTGCTTTGTATTTGAGCGTTCGAACTGTTTTTGGGAAACACTCCCACAGATTTTCCGCAGCAGTGTACCCTGGCACATACAACCACCTCCGTCCTGGGGCTCCCTCCTCTGCAAGACAGGGAAGATAATCTTAAAACTAAGCAGCAACCCACAGGTGCTCCTGCGGTGCCTGCAGACACTCCCTCCTCCACAGCCCTGCAGACTCTCCTTGCCCCAAAACTGCCCCCAGAAGCTCCCAGCTGTGTCTTCCACCCAGCTCCAGGCCAACAAACCACCTCCTCCCAGTATTCCCCCAGGAGCTTCCTCACCCTTCAGGCCACCCGCCCCTGCTCACCTCTCCCTAAATTACCCCACATCTCTATTCATCGTTCCCACATCTCTTCCCAATCTCCTTCCATACCTCCTACACCCCTCAGCCTCCTGTCAGCCTCTATCTCCCCTTAAACCCGTCCTACACCCCTTCCCACTCCTTTCTTCCCCCACACCCTCCCCTGCGACCCCCCTCACACATCCTCTTTCCCCCCTAAACCCACCTCCCCTTCCCTTACTTGCTCTGAACCCCCTTCCCACCCTGTACTGCACCATGTATCCCCTCTTGCCCTCTCTCTGCACCCCCTTAACCCCCTCCCGCCCCCCAGCTCCCACCCCTCTTGCCCATGCCCAAACCGGCCCTCCCGCCCACCAGACCCGCCTCCCTCACCCCCTCAACTCTCCTCACACCCCCTCCAGCCCCTCAGCCCCTCGCTCCACGCCTCCCCCGAGGACCCCCCACCCGGCTGCCCGCGGCAGGGCGGCTCTAGGCCCCTCACCGGCAGCGGACCGGCCCGCAGGAGCCGCGCAGGGACGCCGCGCCTCAAGGAGACTCCCACTACGGCCGCCGCCATCTTGGCGTTGCGCAGTCCCGACCCCACCCCGCCACCCGCCTCCCCGCCCCGGAAGCGGAAGGAACTCCTCGCGTGCGCGTGGCGGGCCGCATTAAGAGGGAGGAGGGGCGGCCGCTCTGGGGGCAGCCATCTTGGGTGTGGCGGCGGCCGCAAGGGAGGCGCCATGTTGAGAGTGGCGCGCCCCGTGGCCCAAGGCGTGATGGCGGGGCCGGGACGCCTGGATTCCCGCTTAATGGAGCGGGGGGGAGGCTAGTGCGTCCCTCTATTAATTCCCAGCTTCATTCTTTTTTTTTTTTTCAGGGGAGGCGTTCAGCCCCTCCTGCCTGCCCCAGCAGGGCAAAATGGTGGGTGCGGAGAGCCGAAATGGCGTCACACCCGACCCCCCCCCCCCCCCCCCCCTCTTTCCTGAGGGCTTCCCTCCCTTTCTTTCAGAATTATCACCTGCTATTATTTAATACTTCGCCTGTTTCCTCACAGCAAATTCATTTATTAACTGAATCACAAGCAACACACACCAAAAAAGCCGCCGGGGGCGAGAGCGCAGGGGGAAGGAGGCCCTGCTATGGCGTTACGTGCCACCATTTGAAGGCGAAGGGCTGCCGCTGGACGTTGGTCCCGCAGTAGACCTCCCCGAGCCTGCGGTGGTAGGAGGCCACCTCCTCGAGGAAACGGCAGCGTAGGCCCAGCGGCTCCAGGAGGGAGCGGGTCCGCCGCTCCAGGCAACATTCGCCCCCCAACACTGGGCCGAAGGGTTTGGGGATGCCCAGGTCCTTGGCCAGGATGATCATGGTGACCTGTGGGGTGACACAAGGCGAAGCCCAGTGGCGTTGGGACTGAGGAAGATGAAGGAAAGCCGCTGGCCACCCTCCTCCATCAGCCTCACCCCAGGACAGGGCATCGATGCCGCTTTTTGCAGCCACCCTCCCCCAGGGCCTCCAAATCTAGCGTCATTTCCCCCTTTTTTTATCATTAAAACGCGCCTCACACCTTGCAGATTCACTGCTTGGAAAGGTTTTCGCCTCAGAACTATGTAGATTAACCCCAGCTGGAAAGCTGTGGTAGACCTGGGCTTATCTTTATCTGGGTAGCTGTAAATAGTGCGCATTTCTGGGGACTCATCCTGGCTGAATAAGCTGTTTTTTTGTAGAGGACCTGAGGAGCAGGAACTCCCCTCACCATGTTGGGGAAGTACGGCACAGCTTTGCCATGCTTGTCGAGCTTGAAGAGAGCTGGCAGGTCAACGATGTCATCTTCTGTCAACCCCAGCTCCTTCTTGAGGATATCCCTGTTCCAGTCAATGCAGCGCTGGAGGGGATGAAGAAGAGCAGGACTAGGTGGGGGACACAAGTGGGCATGGTCCCCAAAACCATCTCATGCAGGAGAGCCAGAACACAACACCTCCCTTAAGGGTTTGCACCACCCTGCAGCAGTTATCGCAAGAAATATCAATTATTACCAGGAGTATTTGTTATTACCTGGACATACTGGTTCTGCTGCACCAGGATATCGTTGGAAAGGACCTTGTTAATGGTGACCCGTTTCGTGTCTGTTCCCAAGTACCCTAGAAATGCAAACCCCCATCAAAATGAAGTGGTCCTATCAGAAGCCTGACTTAAGACAGGGTACAGAGATGGGAAAAGGTCCCCAAAATCCTGATTTCCTGAGCTTGGGGTTAAGGCTGCTGGGAGTCCCAGTTCTTAGTTTATTAGGAACCTGGATGGAACAAAACATCTGCCTGCTATAAAGAGCATTGGAAAGGTCCTGTTGTCCACCCTCCTGCCCACGGGAATCCTTGTCTGCTAAATTTCTCCACACGGCTCTATAAAACCAGAGCTGCCACCTCCATGAAGGACACCCCTTATTTGGGATGGCCGGGTCCCAGGCATGTGGCAGTGACCTCGAGGGACCCACGGAGGTATGGAGACCTTCCCCCAACCCCATCGTGGATGGACGACGTTCAAAACCACAGTTAAAGGATGCCCGAACTGACAACCAAAATGTCATTGCTGCAGGGAGGGAAGGGCAAGCGAGAAAAAATGGTGCTAATTTGGGGTGATGTGAGAGCCCTGCTTTGTCCCACTCCACACTGGAGCTCTGCTGGCATTTACAGAGATGCTCCATCCCGCCAAGCAAGCATCCCCTCTGTGCAGAGGGCTTTATCCCTCCCGTCCCACTCGCTGTCCCAAAATAGGGCTTGAGGAGGCTGGGTATGGTGGGCAGGCATCCCGCTTGCCAGCCGTGAAGGGCAGCCAGGTGGGAAAAGGTCCCCACGTCCCCCTGATACCCGCACGTAGATCAGGCGCTGCCGCCCTCGGGCCGGCTGCTCTGTGGGGCGGCTCCGGCTGTCTCAGCTGCCATCAAAGCTCGGCCAAAGCCGCCCGCTGTCCCCTTGCCTTTGAACATGGTGGCTTCGCCCTGACCCTCCTTCTGCTTCTCCCGAAAGAGCTTGTAGCACGCCGCGGGGCTGGCCATCAGCATCCGAAATCGCTGCGGCGAGACAAGAGGGAGAGCAGTCACCAAAAGTCCCTTATCCAAAGCCTCGGGAGACCTCAGGAGTTCATTTTTGCAAGGCACCTGAGCTTAAACTGTTAAAATTAGGTGATTTTCCTGTTATTTAGTGCCTTTTTTAATGCAGTGCTGAGGGCATGTATCTGAATGAGGTGCAGTGATTTACACTGTTGGTAAATACCCACCAAACCACCCCCGAGGAGTTAAACTGCTCCTGGGGCAGGGAGGAAAACTGCAGCCTGGCTGCAGCTGGGCCCAATCTTGCTCACCCCAGGTGGGGCGTATAAACCCCTGGGAGGGGGGTTGTTGGAGGTTTGAGTGAGATGGGGAGTGAGCTGATTTTTTTTTTTCCCCCCACTGGGCTAGCATTTCCATGTAAGGAGGAGGATGGAGTGAGTGAATAATCGTGTTCTGACTTTCCTAGTAGATGCCAAAAATCAGTATTAAGCCAATCCTGTGGAAAACTGAGAATTGTGACTCTGTAGAGTCTGAGCCCCATGTGTGTCCTAGCTTGTTTCCCACTAGCAGAAATGGCCTCCTTGGTGGAGTCCAGGAGGCTGCTTACTGTGATCTCAATGGCATCTCTTATGAGGGCTTAGCACAGCCCTGGGGAGGGAAAAAGCACTTCATGGAGGGTTTGTGAAAGGGTGTGTGCATAAATACCCCTTTTCTGAACTGTCAAGGCATGATTTCCCCAGGGGGAAAAGTCTTTTGTCAGAAGCAGTAAAAAACAGGATAGAAGAAAGAGACGGCTTCTGAAAACGTCTGGGAGATGCTGAGCAGCTGTGAGCCCTAGCCAGCCCATGTGAATATTGAGGATTAAATTTATTGGATTACCTTTGCAGGCATCTTTTTTTCTTCTATCTGTGTTGATTATTAACTCAGCAAATCCCTTTTTGTGTTCAGAGCTCTAATTTTGGGAATGGGCGTGAAAACCCATGCAAATAACTGGCTGGGACTGTCAAGGAAAGGAGCTTTGGGGTTTTCCCTAGAGGTTCCCTAATGGGATTAGTGTCTCAGAAGAGAAGCCAAGGAGCAGCATGGGGTTTTGGGGTACCTTTGCATCAGAGGTGGGCACAAAAGTGACAAACTCGTCGACGTGGCCCACGGACAGCCAGTCGGAGTAGAGCTCCACGGGAGCCTGCACTTGCTGGGCGTAGAGGAAATCCCGCACCACTCTGGTCATTCTCCTCCCTGCGGAACTGGGGGCAGAATACCCCCAGGAGAGGGAATAAGGGGAATAAATATGCATGCAGCAATATGTACATATGCATAAATTGCTATGTAAGAGGAAGAAAGAAAGGAGGGTGCAAATGTGAAGGTAGAGATTGGGTGCGCACACTCCATAGGGTACCAGATTTGCAGCTGGCCAGGGAATGGCTAATTAAGGCACTTAATGTGATTTTTGGGGATGGTATTTAGGGGCACTTGTGGTTCCTTTGCTCCCAAACCTGTGGGTTTCCCATTTCTTACATGGGGAAGCTGCTCCCGATGAGGATCCTTCCCAAGGGATACTCCTTCCCTGCCACGGTCACAGGTGGGCTGACCTCCAGGTTGCCAAAGGAGTCGAGACTGGTGATGGCTTCAAAGAGGGGCTCTCTGCTCACGTAGCCAAAGTCGGGGCCCTGGGGAAAAATAAAATGCTGTGGGCTTTGCCCTGAGTCTCCCCTGCCTCTATGACTTTGCTTTTATCCCTCCTGCTGGGCTCAGACCTGCTCCAGTGGGTAAAAATATCAAGAGTGAAGCAGTCCATGGATGGGAAGAGGCTAAAGGAAAGGCAAGAAGATAAAGGTCTCTGGGTCAGCTGAGCTCAGTAATAAATGGCAAATGCCAGGGCAGAGCTGGGGTGTTGTGTCTCCTCTGCTATCCTGCAACCAATGTTTAAGTGTCCATATTAAGCTAATTAGGTGCTGGGGTAACCCTGAAGCTGAGTTTCTGGATAGCTCTTGTCGAGCTAGATGAACTTCAGCTCCCGAGGATAAATCCACCCCAGGCATAAGAGTAACCCTAAGGGCTACACTTCACTTAAATCCTATTTAAGCCCTGATATTCAAAACTTGATATATCTGGGATTTAAGATGTTGTACATTCAGGGGTAATTAACCCTTGGTTGTCATGTGCCAGGGTCAAATGCCCAAAGGAGAGGTGGCAATGTTAAAAATAGGGCAAAAATGGCAGTGGTGGGACGAAAATCCAGCCTTGAACCTGTCCTCGCTCTCTGGATCAAGTCAATATGGGCTTGAAGCTCGTGGCAGCCCCTGGGACAAATCAGATATCTGTTGGGCTTGCATTAAATCCCAGTCACTTATTAATGCTGGGTTTCCTTAGGGGTAAACCAAATGTACAGGTTGGTAAAAATGAGTGGGGAGACCTGAGGGTGCATGATTGTGATCTAGAAACTCCTTTTTTTTTTTTAACTGAGGTTGTTTGGAGCAGCAGAGAGCAGTTTCCACCTTTCCCCAAGGCTCCCCATGCATTTTTAGGGTCCATATCTGGAGGACGGCTGGGGGTCAGATCCTTTTCCTGGATACTGTGGGAGGGACTAAGCATGAAATGCCAGCTCTCAGCTTATTTCAGTTTAAGAAATCACGGAACCAGTACAATTTGAACTGTCAAGGTGCTTGTTCATCCCAGATTTTCAGGTTGCATCCAAGTCCTGTCAGTTCCAGGTTGCTTTTGAGGAGCTAATTCTCTCTCGTCTCCTTTTTGCCTGGTGGGGGGTCCCAGGGCTTGGCTGGTGTTAGAGGAAGAGCCACGCGTGTTGCATTTGGCTAAATATTCCTAACTGGAAAATGTGATTGGAAAGATAGGAGTGGGGATTAGGGGAGGCTTCAAAGCAGAAATTGAAGTATAATATGTTAGCAGCTCCAAAGGCTGAAATTGCATCTCTAAATATGAAGCAAAGCAATTCCTAAAGAGGACAGACAGGAGCGGTTGCCCGGCTTATTTGCAGAGGAGCGGATCAGCACGCCATTCCCATCCTGCCTGATGAATCCGGGACTGCATGTATTCATTTCACGCATGAGAAATCATATATTTCAATGCTTTTGAAAGTGCTTAACCTTCCCCCAAAGTGAGGCACAGCAAAAAGCGAGCTGTCTTCTTCACCTGTTACTGTGGGGGAGAAGAGCAGGGCTGCTGCCAGGGCTTGGCTGGGTGTATGGGGCAGAGATTTGGTGGCTACTTGGGGATGTCCTGCCCTTTCTGTGTGGTGACATCCCAAAGGGGTCATTCAATCCATCTTTTTCCCATGCTTGTCTCTGCTGATCTCTCCCAAAATGCCCTGGCCAGGGTCACTGCTCTCCCAGGCAGCTTTCTCTGCATGCCCTGCCCGTGGCTGGCCCTTTGCCTTGGCAAAGAAGTCCCCCAAGGATGTTTTTTGGCAGCTGGCTGCATCTTGTTCTCTTCCAAGGAAGTTGATTGACCCCTTGTATGCTTTCCTTTCCTTTCCTGCTCAGGATTCTGCATATTCACAGGTGTAGAGGAGGAAAGGAATAACCAGCCCATTGCTGGGATACTCAGGGTGAAGGAGTCCACTCCTGTCCTGGAGCTTGTCAGGAGTCTTTTGTTCCTAGAGGTGTGAGCTCCTCCTTTCGTCTCTCATCCAGCACCTTCTGGATAAAAGGTCTTCTACGTGGCTGGCATGTGGATTAGGCTCTGATCCTTGGTTTGAAGGGGGTGAGGCTGCTGGTGTCCTGGAAGTGGACAGGGTAGTATCTCCGTGCTGTTGCGTGCAGGTGTTAAACTCTAATTTTTCAGGCAATTCATTGTAGGGCCTCCAAGGAGCCAAGTACAAGTAGGGTTTTAGGAGTGGTAAAATAGGCCAAGCGTAAAAACCTGCAAGCTGCTCCTCAGGCAAAGAAAGTGACTGTCCTGCTCTTACCAGCAGCTTCTTGATGGGGAATTGCTCCAGCCCTGTATCTTGAGGGGAGTCCAGCACCACCGGAAAGCTTTTGTGGGGAGCATGGGTGTAGCCAAACTCAATCTCATCCTAAAGAAGGGAGGAAAACCTGCATGGGGCACATCAGCAGGGAGGGAAGGCTTTGCCCCCTCTCTGGTGCCCACCTACCTGCATCCAGCGGTCCCTACGGTTGATGTAGCCTAAGCAAGCCTTCAGCTCACAGCCAGCTTTGTTCACCAGGTTTTTAATCTCCTTGATGAAGAGATAGTTTTCCTTCATGCTGGGAAAGTGGATTGCAGGAGAAAGGGGGATGAAGGGCTGCTGGGGGATGGATATCCCCTGTGGGCAGCTGCCTTCCCCCTGCCCATCACCTCCCTGGCGTGTCTTGGTGACCTCCAGGGAGAGCGTGGGGCTGATGCTGATTTGGCTGGGAAGGCATCTCATCCCCTGGCCTTTACCTGCAGATGAAGACGTTCACTGGTGCCAAAGTGTTGGGGGTCATGATCCACGGTGCTACCCTGAACACTACTGTGTCGGTGAAGATTGGTGTATGGGGGATACCCTGGGGGAGGCAAGAAGAAATCAGGGACTTTCCACACCCTGTTTACCACTATTCCCCCCCAAATACTCTATCCCTGAGACCATTTTGGGGGTATATTAATGGGGACTGGTCTCCATTCAATCCCCATCCCCTTCTCCACGCCCCTCAGGCTGTTGCAGCCTCCCATTTACATCCCTTCCCTGGAGCCCCCAGACCTCAGCTGGTGTCTCCAGGAGGCTGATGTGGATGGAGACCAGCCCAGAGAAGGTGTCATCAGGAAAGCGGAGCCCCTCGACAAAGAAGTCGAGTTCAGCCGCCCCACCGGTGTACTGCACGGTGTGGTACAGCTTCCTCTGGCCCAGCACGTGGATGTAGCGATGCCCAAAGAAGGGGTCTGCAAGAAGACAAAGGGAAAGGTGGGCAATTACTGAAGTTTCAGTGGTGGTTTCCAACCTATTTTGCTTGTGTGCACCACAATCCCTCTGTGCTGGAGCTTCTCTGCCTCTGTGGGTAGATACAACTTCATCTGGCACAAGTACCTTACAACAGGAGTTAAGGGGCTTGCAATTTTGCAGTTGTGCACAAGAAGGGTCAGGAAAAACGTCTCAGCCTTTCTTTGGATGCAGCAGTCATTGGGAAGCTGTTTTCATGGGGTTTCTGCCTTTGCAGCCCCCTCTAACCTGCCACGGGATGACAGTGCTGCCAACCCTCCTGCTGACAGACTGCCTCTACTTGGTGGCATGTTTCTGGGCTGGACGAGGGCTTTTGGTCCCAGGAAATAAATCACTGTGTCGATAACAAGGAACAAGGAGGGGAAGATGTGTTGCAGAGCATGTTGCCGTCATGGATAAAGCATCTGGGTGTCAGGACACATGACTATTTTTGCTACTCCTTTGCTGGATAACCTTGGATAAATGGCTTTATGACCCTGTGCCTCTGCTTGTTAATCTCCAAAGTTTTCCAACTGACTGAGAAGAGAGGATATTCAATGCTGGAAAACTTTGGAGGAGGGATGGTGAGGGCATGACTTGCTTGAGAGATGCCATTTGAAGAACGTGGAGCGGACAAGGTCAGAAATAGAAAGAAAAGAGCTTGCAGGGATCTCAAAAGCACCACAAATGAGGAGGAAGGGGCAGAGAAAGAGGTGAGGAAGGACTTACTCTGCACATAAAAGACCCCAACTTTGTCGGCGTCAGAAACAGGAATATAGAGAATGATTTCGTACCCCCGGGGCAGGCGCTGTGGCCCTTCGGTCCTTAAGACCATCCGAGACATGTCCAGCAAATCTGGGGTGCAAAGAAAACAACCACTTGGGTGATGGGTAATTGCAGCATGCAGCTCTGGCTGGCGTGCATGCTCCCTCCTGGGGTTTGCATCTCCCATGCCAAGAAAGCTGCTCTTCCCTTCCTACCAGCCTTTGCAAGCTGGAAAAACAACCTGCGGTGCTGCTAGCATAGCAAACTTGTGACTTGTGCTTTGAAATAAATGCCCTTTCCCCACCCCCCGCCACCAGCCCTGGCACAGCCAGTCTCTGGCCTCAAAAAGCCGATGGGCACTGGCTCCGTGTGGTTTTAGTTTTCCAGGAACAGGCGGGTGTATTCCTGGCTGCCTCACCCCGAGCTCCTTTCACCCGTGCGAAGCATCCCTGGGCCAAGCTCTGCCATCAGTGCCACCTCTGCTATTTTTCTGGCCGGGCTTCATGCCCCTGCTTGACCACAATTAGTTTTCATGGCATTAAAAAAAAAAAAATTCCCCTATGGGAAACTTACTCAGCAGCTTGGTGGAGAGCAGCTCAAGGGCAGCTGGTTCCCAAGCAAAATTTCATCTCCAAAAAGGTGAAAGAGGGGGAATAACGGAGCATTTTTTGCTTTATATGATTTTTCTTTGGAAGCTGTGTTACCTTCTTTGCTGAATACCCTTTCGTCATTGCAGTCTGATGCCGGAGTGAAGGGGCTCTCCTTGTCGCAGCTGACGAGCAGGATGGCCCCGTGTCCCTCGGGACCCCAGGTCCAGCTTGCCTAGAACACCCCGCTGGGGCTTTAGTGAGCTCAGGCTCTTGCAAGCCTGTGGACTTTCTGTGCAGTGGAAGAGGTTGAATTACCTTGTTGGGGTTGTTCTTTTCCACCACGCCATCCCGATCCGCGTCGACGTCCAGAGAGATCCCTGGATGGATGGACCCCACCATCATCCCAGGGTACGGCAAGGTTGGGTGGATGCAAAAGCCCCCCCGCCCCGCCCCGGCAAACTTGGGTCCATCTCTTCCCCCACATCACAGCACCCCACTCCAAGGGACTGAGAGGGTGGATTAGCTGCGTTGCAGAAGCCTTCGTACTCACCGATGCCGGTGAGGAAGACCCCAGCTTGGTTGATGGGCTGCCCTCCCTCTGCATAAAAGCTGACAGTTACCTGCAAACCGCCAAATCCCTGGTTGGGGAAGGATGCTCTCCCTCTGTGGAGGTCCAACACCCCAGCACCCAGCTTCTTACCTTGTTATCATTGACCTCGGTGCTGGCCCGGCTCATGCTGAACCTCAGGACGGTCCCCTCGTCCAGCGGCCACCGTGTCCCACTGCCAGGGGCTGGCCTGACCTCTACTTGGCCCCGACATGCCACCTCCACACTCACCCCTTCCGTGTGCTTCACACTGAAGGAAGCCGCCCCAGCCGGGGCCGCCCTGCCAAAAACACACTGTATTTTTAGAGGTTTGCACTGAAAACACCTGGTTCTCACTGCAATTAATTTCACTGCCCAAAACACAGCCAAGACTGGGCACGCTGGCGTCTCCACGCTCACCACCGGCACCTTTCTGCCCTTTCCTCCCTGCCTGGGAACACCTGAAGTGTCTTTTTTTTTTTTTTTTTTTTTTTAGGGCAGAACACACTATTTTATCAAAATGAGTCTATTTTGTAGCCACTGGTGCAGATTACAATCTATAATAATCACAGCCAAAGCACTCAGTGCCACTGGAACCGAACTCAGGTTTGCACTTCAATGGAGAAATCCATGTTTATTTTCCAACCAACGCAAACCTGGTATTTAACAGCTCATCATAACGGCGTGGCAGCCCAGCTGAGAGACTTTACCATGGGAAACTCTAATTTTTCTGGGTGATTTTATCCAACCCTGAAGCAGCTGATGTTGCATCACTCCCAGTCCAATGTGCCCTTACTCTTCCCCAACTGCTCCGTGCATACCTTTCCCCTCTCCTGGCTTCTTTTCCCTAATTTCCCTCTCTTTCCAGGGTTATTACTTCTGGGCTGCTTGCAGCTGCCCAGGTGCAGGCTCCCTTTGAGCATGCGTGCTCCCAACACCCGAGAGCTTGCGCCGTATCACCGTTACAGCATCGTTTATTGGGTTTCTGGATGCTGACAGCCCCGTCCAACCTGCACCGGTGCGGGGGGAGAGGAAATCTGAGCACTCCTTTGCTGCTGCTGCCTGGGTGTTTCTTAAATTGTTAAATTACGTTTAATTATGCATGGAAAAACTGGTTTGGTTTCCTTGTTTCTGGGTTTTGGGAATCCCAATGGGAGGAGATTTGACCTGGAGAGATGCCAGATGAGTTGTAACTGTGCTGCTTGGCTTGAATATCGAGGGTGAGATTTGCAAAAGCAGCAAAGAGCAGAATTAACCATGAAATGAGCTTTTAAACTTTTCCCTTTGAGGGAGTAATTATCTAGAAGTACAGCGTTCGGTTTGTTCTAGGGGAGCAGGGTTGGTGTTGTGGGGACTTGCATGCTTTCCCAGGACACTGCTTGGTCACTAGATCTTGTTTTCCTCCCCTCTCCCAGCTGCGTTCCCTCCTTTGCAGTCCATCCCCGTGCCTCCTGCTCATCCCCCTGCTCTCCAGCAGCTTTCTGAGATGCCACGGGATCTGTTGACTGCAAATGGATCAAATCCCTGGCCATCGCAGACCCGGGGTAAATACCGTATCATGCAAACGCGGGGGCTCAAAGCTTTCCTGGGACTTGTGCAGATTTGCAAAGCCCAGGGAGGATTTTGCCCGCAAATTGCTTTAAATCACAGCGTCAGGACTGTGGGTTTTGGGGGAGCAGAAGGGAAAACGAGGAGGGGGGATTTGCAGAAGGACGAAGAGGGCGGGTAAAGGCGAGAAGAAAGGTGGAGGTGCAGAGGTGGAGGAGGGGAGGGAGGGTTAGGGCGTCCCACTCACCCGTAGACATCGGCGGAGATGCGGGTGCCCAGCACGCACAGGGCCTCGATGCGGTTCCCGTGCTGCAGCCGGAGCGTGCGGTCCCCCGGCATCTCCCCGCGCAGCAGCCCCGACGCCCCGACGATGGACACGCACACCCTTCCCCGCCCGCTCCGCCTGGCACTGAGCCCCCCCCGCCCCGGCAGCACAGAGCTGCTTCTCCTTCCTCCCCGGCACACCTCCCTCCTCCTCCTCCACTGGCCCCGCAGCAAATCAATGGGCTTTTGGAGCTTGTAAAGTTTGGTTTGACCAATTTCCAGCCCCCACCCGTCCAAAGGGAGGGGGCGGTTGGATTGGACCCTCTAAAGCCCCATGAAAATTATCTCCGAGGGAGGGCAGCTGGCCCGAAGCCCGGCCGGCTCCCGGCCCTGTGCAAGGAGCTCCCTCAGCTGTCCCCAACTCCTCATCCCTTCAGCATCTCCCCGACCCCAAACGGGGACAAGCAGCCCCAACGCGGAGGCAATTTTGCAGTGCTTTGGGTTTCGGCTCTTTGTTGCTCTCTAGGGAAAAGCTCTGTCTGGTCTTGGGAGGAAGGAACACAATTTCCCAGCCCTTAGGCTAGAGCAGGACTCTTTTTTTTTTTTTTTTTTTTTTTTTTTTTTTTCCCAGCTTATTTTCAAAGGAAAGCTTGGGAGCCAGTTGCTGATGAGGGGAAACCAGAGGTGGTTTTGCACGGCGAACCTGCTGCTTGTCACCCCACACCACAGCGGAGCAGGTCAGGAGCAATTGCTGCCCACGCGGGAGTTTACATTATTTATGAAGTTAAATATTCATTTTAAAACCCAAACTTCTGCCCCAGATTTTGAAAGCCACAAGCAATTAGTGAGGAGCAGAAATGTTCAGGTTGATGTTCTTTATTTATATCCCTTTCGGGCTTTTCTTTTCTAGTACTCTCTTCCCTCCATGGCTGGGGCATAGGAAATAAGCTCAGTTTCCCATCTGAAGCAGATCCTAGTTTGGTTTTGGGTTTTTGTTTTTTTTTTTTGGTTTGCTTTTTTTTTTTTGCCATGACCTGAGCGACTGTGAGCAAGGACTTTGTGTTGCTGAGCCAACACTTGGGAACACAAGAAAATGGCAATTTTGCTGCTTTTCTGCACATGTAAAAAGAGATTTGTGGCAATGGGGAGATTCTCTTAAAGGCTGTAGATGTTCCCCCCGCCGAATACAAGAAAATTTAAACCACTTTGCTCCCAGCCTGTGCCTTTTGTAGAGCAGCATCATGGTGAGGGCAGTACTGTTGCTGTGCAAAACATGCTGGGGGCTTGGGTTATATGACCTTCCTCGTTTAGACACCCTGACTCAGGAGCTGCCCCCGCCAGCAGCTGGAAAATGCTCCTTCTTCTGAGAAGCACCATGTTTAACCCCTGTCTGTTTAAACCACCAGTAGTAAAAAACACTGATGAAAGAGGAACCAGAAAGAGACAGAATTTTAAAAGGGAAAAAAAAAAAAAGGAAACCAAATCTCCATCATTTTTGCACAAGCAAGTTCTGTTTTCTAGCACTATATGAGACTTATTTTCCCTCTTCTTACCCCACAGCAGAGCCAGCAGCTGGCATCGCATGGGCTGGGAAGGCCTTGCCTCCCTGCGCTCTCCTGGGACCTGTGTGCTGGGGAAATAGAGGTGTAAACCCATCAGCTTGGAAGAAAACGAGCAAAAAGCAGCTTCTCTTTTACCATTTTCACTTCCCAGTTCCTGCGCCCAAGGATTCATTATTTCAGTTGTCAGTGAGGAAAACACATGCTATTTAAATCCTCATCTTCTTCAAAAAAGCCCCCAACCCCAAATCCCTCTCATCTTACAGAAAGACCCCAAGGTCACCACAACACTTGTGATTTTTAAAATCTGCTGGAGCATTTCTAGCTGGTTGTGGGGGCATTCGTGCTGTGGAGTGGTGGCTGAGGTATCCTCTCCATATCTGCATCTGTCGCTGGGGACAAGTGCAAGGACCTGCCTGTCCCCATCCCACGAAAGCCTGGGCGACTCCCCTGTGAGTTGCTAAATAAACCTGTTTATGCTGCAAGAATGGGTTTTTTTCAGAGGCAAAAGTGCTATTTGTGATGCAGGCTTTGCTCTGTGCTATCAGGTGGGAGATCAGACATGGTAAACCATCACAGGACATATATATAGATATATATACACACACATGTAGATGTCTGGAGGCTCGTGGTTTCAAGGCTATAGTCAATCTGGTCAGAGGAGTTCTTCAGTTCTTTTAAAAATCAGATCAGCCAGATTAAGAGCTGCTCTGCATAAACTTCCCCGCTGCTGATGGATCTCTGCCTGCCCTAATTTCGAGGACCTGGGAACAGATCCCAGCGCTGGAGCTTGCAAACAACCCCAGCGAGCTGATTCCTGAGGGTTTTCACGTGCGCATCGCCCAGCATCTTCTCCCCAAGGAGGACCGAGCCGGTGAGTGCAAAGGGGTTTTAAGCTCCATGGGTACTTGGTGAGGGGTTTCGGGGTAGTTTTGTGGCTCCCTTCCTGCAGGCACGTGCCTTATTGCGAAGAGTAGGAGGGAAATGTTCCCCCCACGGAGTCCTTTCAAGCTGACCTTTCGCGTTTAGGAGGTGCAAACAGGTGCCCGTCCCAATTGAGCCACGCAGCGCTGCCTGTTCCTGCCTATTCCTGCCCGCGCTGGCTTTATTTTGGAAGAGGCAGGCAGCTTCGAGGAGGTGAAACCAACCCACTGGTGAGGATGAAGGAGCCTGGGAGAAGCTGAGCCCACCCGTGGCTTTATTGCTCTCCCTGGGGGAGGCATCCAGCGCGCCCCAGCGAGGGAGATATTTATAGGGCAGCAAATCTCATGCAAAGCTGGGGGAGAGCGTGGGCAGGGCGAGCGCAAGGGTACGTGCATGGCTGCAGCCCTGGGGCAAAAAGCAGTTTTATGGGGTACTTTGCTCTTGGATTGCCAGGTATGAAGTCTCCCAGCAGGCAAACGCCTTTATTTTGGGGACAAGAAATAATCAAGAGGGATTTTTGGTGCTTTCTCACCCAGGAGAAGGTGGTTGCAAAGCCAGCTCTGATGAGTCCTGGCCACAGGTGTTTTAGAAGGATGAGGACCAAACTCTCATGGGTTTTACTGGCTTTAAAAGCATTTTTTGCTGGTCGAAACCAGTCTCCTGCCCTGCTTTGCTGACTTCCAAGTGGGATGGGGAAGGCAGGATCCCGGGAGGGGACTCGGTGCCTGCCTGGGATGCTCCTGCTGAGCTGTTACTGCTACGCGCCTGTAGAAAATAAACCCTCATGCAAGCCAGAGCGGGACTTGATAACTGGTTCAATGCTTGCCCTATTGCAAGTAATTAGGCTGACATGGCTCTTAAAAATTCCTACCTGCAATTACACATGCAGAGTAATAAATAAGGTGTAATTATCAGCTTAAGGAGATTATCAAACTTTCCTTGACAGAGTGGTGGTGCAGGATGGGTGAGAAGAAACACCCCAAGGGGGTCTGGGCTATTACTGGGGTTCCTGGGGGAGCTCTGAAGGGGTCGGGTCTTGCCTCTTCATGACAAGAAATAGGCTGAAATTGGGAAAAAGATGAAGTGAGCCCCAAAAAACAAGGCTGACCAAGCTCACTCAGTCTGATGGAGAGGCGGGATCCCATCCGTCGTGTACCAGGGATCTTAATAGCACCTTCTCAGGACAAGGTGTCATTAGAAAGAAACACTCAGCTCTGAATGGGCCAGATGATTTAAAATCGTCATTCTCCCTGTGCACAGGCATGTTGGTGCTAATAGCAGGTGGAGGAGGAAGAGGTGAGTGTAGGTACCACCCAACGAAGACGAGGTGTGTTGGGCTTGACTGAGCATCCCCAGTGACCGTGGTGGCTCAAAATGTGCCATGACTAAACTTGCCAAAAAAAAAAATCCCAATCCCAAAATGAAGATGAGGTTTCAGCACTGTGTCTCCATCCTTTCTGGATGGGTGTGATGCTGGGTGTGTTTGGAGAAGCACATGCTCCCAAACCCTCTGCTGAAGACCTCACGCTTGCTGGGAGCCCAAAACCACCATCCTCCACCTTCCTCCAGATTACAGACCATACCAGCCTGACCCCGTGGGGATTAAGGTGTGTTCCCTGTCCGGCACAGGGCTCAAACCAGCTGAGCAGGATACGATGCTAAAATCACAGCAGGCGGCAAGCTCAGCACCATGCCCAGTCCAAACCAGTGCGACCAGCATCCACGAGTGGGAAATCCAACTTGCAGCTCTCTTCGGTACAGATGCTTCCATGGCCAGCCTCTTCCTCAGAGGATGCAGGGAGCTCCTCACCCACTATGCTGGCTCTGCTTTGCCCCAGCTTGAAGGGTTTTAGGGGTGCGTGGAGGTTTGTCCTCCCTTGGGAGGGCTCAAGAACCAACAGAATTCGCAAGTCTATGACCATCAGGAGATTGGCTTGTGCTGGGTTTCGGGAAATGGGATTTTATCTAAAATCTCAAGCAAGGCAAAGTCCTGGAGGGCCTGGAAATGCCACTAGCGTTCCCTGCTTGAGCATCCTGGCTGTCCCAGCAGGCTCCCACGATCTTATTAAAGCCGTTCTCGCGTACGAGACACGGTGCTGGGGTTTTTTTCTGGTGCAATTAGAGTCAGAAGAAGCCCTTTAATGTAGACTGGCTGGGGGATGTTTAAAGCAGCTGGTTTGATCTTGCAGGTGAAGGTGCGCACAGGTTGCTGCTCCTCCAGCTGAGGACTTGCAGCTCGGTGCAGTGGTAGGGACCGGTCCTTCTAGCTCTGCTGAGCCTGCTTTGACCTTTTCGGCTTGCAAGGGGTCCTGCCGCTCGCAAAACTGGGTCTGTCCTGTCTCCAGCCCTCTCCTGCCCGTTGCACTGCTAGCATGACCACATCGCCCCGTGTCCACCTTGCTGTGAAGATGAATCTTGCGGCAGCGGGGCTGTCGGTATGTTCTCTGTCCCTGTGCTGCTTTTTTCCTCCGTATGAGCTACTGCCTCCATCCCCGAGCGTGGCAGAGACCTCCTTCCCAGCTTCAGCAAGAGTAATCGCACCCCATTTCCCTCTGTGCAGGCAGGTGAAGCCTCCTGGGATGGCCTGGAGAGAG